TTAATTTAATTCGACATTGCCCCAACGTAAACATTTTCTACCTTTCTCTACATATTTTTTCCAAAATAAATTTTTTCAACAACAGATCCTACAATAAATCACATGATCGAACTCAATCAAGACGACGGTGGGAAGAATATTTTAAATCACAATTGGATTTATTTAAACAATTATTTTTTCTGTTATCATATCGAATATGCAATTGCATATTCGAACTCCCGAGGCCAAAATTAGTTACCCTGCCCCAAAAAATTGTAAACTTCAGATTTGACGAACACAATGTTTCCATTCGCCAGCAAAAACGAATGAATAAAAAAAGCTCAAGTCAAATAATTTAATTAGTTAATCTATTTATTTTCAATATTCAATCTTTTCAATCAAAAACAAGCCGAAATGTTGAATAAAACATTGACTTAACGTATTCCCCCGCTGAATGTAAATTGTCGTACAGATTATGATCTGATATTCCAGTCTCAGACATTTAGACGCGAACGAAAACCACTCGAGAATACCAGAACCAGATACTAGTGTATTTGTTAGATACATCATAGTATAATAGTTACACGAGTGCGAGGCCCCCGGGGTGATTCGCCACGATGGCCATGACCATATTACGAGACAGAGGCTCGAGGCACTCGCGGGCCAATAGACAATGACTTTCATCCATCCAAATGACATATCCGCACAGAGTTTAATGCTTTCAATGAGTCATTACAGAAATACATACGATTCGCTGTATTGTCCCCAAAGTGGGCTTCATTAGACTCAATGGCGGTTTGTCAAGTCATCGGAATGATTGATTTGTCGTTAATTGATCGCAGGGAAATGACGGAGAAATCCTCACACGGAGAGAAATATTCAATAAAAATTACCTATCTTTTCCGTAATTCCCTAACGAAATGTGGCTGTAGGAAATTTTACGGAACTGTCACTGAATTTTTCCGGAGCGTTCCGTAATTTTGATCTGAATCTCCTGTGATAAATTACGATACCGCCGCTTAAATTTTCTGAGTCGATTCCGAAATCGGTGAGTGAATTGAGAGTTCCGCAATTTTTATTGAACATTTCTCTCCGTGCACTCGACTATTAATTTGGGAATTTTTCATTGATTTTAGAATGCATTTTTTTTCTTTTGCGAATTTTTTCGCCTATTTTAATCACTTGTGCGTAAAGTCAAATTTTACTCACGCCCCACGCGCGCGAAAGCCTTCGGCGAGCGCCATATATGGGTCGAAAAACGCTTACGCAATCGTATCGAAATATAATATTCTTTAGATTGACATTTCTTTCATTCATTTTGGTTCGTTTAATTTCCACAAGTATTTTTTTAATCCTTTTCATTAAGTAGTAAATTTTTTAACAATTCTAGAAAGCGTTTTTTTAGGAAACACATTCTATTTTTTTTGTTGTTCAGGTTCTTTTTTTTTTCTGTTTCATTTAATTTTTCACAAAAAGTTTCGCAGCTTTACCACGCTTTTTTTTCATAGAGGATGTCCAATAGAACCTATTGACAGAAAAAAATCAATAGAATTTCATCGTTCTACAGTGTACAGAATCTACACAACTTTATCTATTGAAATTCTATTATCTATGGGAAATTCTCAACATGAATTTTCCCATTTTTTTCCACTCCACATTTCATCTCTTTTCGTTTAAAAAAATCAAATGGAAAAAAATCGAAGAATTGAGCCGAGAAATTGTTATTATGGAAAAATCTAATTCTATTGATTTTTTCTCTAGATTATTTTCCACTGCAAATTTATATTGAAAAAGAGCACAGATGAGCTACGGAATTTTCCAATAGCATCGACCAAAAACTAATAGAAAATTCAATAGAAACCCAACAGGATCTCCCAGCGAATTCCCATCAATTTTTTTTGTACGTATCTCTAATAACAAAAAAATTAACACATCTATTAAAACAAGCAAAGTACCCATAGCCCGAGGCATTTTCCACGTACATATGAGTGTCCGTGCGTGTCCCATAGAAAGTTTTCTGTCGAGAAAATCATTAAAATCAGTAGAATTTAATCTTTCTGTACAATTTTTTCTACTGAGACATTTTCTGTAGCAATTTCTCAACATGAATTTTCCAAGTTTTTTCCACTCCATTTTTCCAAAATTTGAGCCGAGAAATTTCTATAGAAAATATCTCGATAGAATAAATTGTATAGAAAAATTAAATTCTATAGAATATTTTCCATTGAAAAAAAACCCACAGATGAGCTACGGAATTTTCTAATAAAATCAACCAAAAACTAATACAAAATTCCAGTCAAATCCACCAGAATCTCCCGGTGAATTCGCTGGGGGTTTCCCATCAAATTTGTTCGTACATGTCTCTAATAATAAAAAATAAGAAAAATGTAGAAAATTTGAGCCTAGAAATTTCTATAGAAAATACCTCAATAAGAATAAATTGTATGAAAAAATCTAATTCTATAAAATATTTTTCATTGAAAATTTCCATTTAAAAAATCCGCAGATGAGCTGCGGAATTTTCCAATAGATTCGACCAAAAAGTAATAGAAAATTGAGCAGAAATTCGCCAGAATCTCTCAGCGAATTCCTCAGATTTTCCCATCAAATTTGGTCGTACGTCTCTAATAATAAAAAAATAAGAAAAATGTAGAAAATTTGAGCCTAGAAATTTCAATAGAAAATACCTCAATAAGAATAAATTGTATGGAAAAATCGAATTCTATAAAATATATTTTCATTTAAAAAAACCCGCAAAATTCAACAGAAATCTACGAGAATCTCCCAGCCAATTTGCCAAGTTTTTCCATCAAACTTTTTCGTACGTGTCTCTAATAATAAAAAAACTCACACATCTATTGAAAAAAACCAAAGTACCCACAGCCCGAGGCATTTTCCACGTGCATGTGAGTGTCCGTCGAGTGCGTCGCACGAACAAACTTGAGATCCCTTGACCCAGTAAACAATATATCGTGTACATACCAGCAATGTCCTTCGATTCGAACCCGGAGACGTCTTTGAGTTCTTCGTTTTTTTTTCCTCTGATTTTTGAGTCTCGTTTCTCCGCCCCTCGCACAACCCTGTGGAATTTTTCGTTATTCTGCCCTTGGCTTGAGTTTTTTTCAGCACTCGTTTGTTGATATATTTAGTTTTTTTTTTATGGAGCTCCCGGCACTTTTATTACTCCAAATATATTCGGAGTAATTATGTCTCGGGTTTTATGATATTAGTATATTTAGATGTCTGGAGCTGCGCGGTTTATTACCGAGGGGTGAAAATTGTTACAATTAGACCATTATATTTGTACTCGACCTCAATTTTTTTTTTCTCTCTACCTCGTCTTTGTAGACTTGTTTTAATGACTTAAAATGAGAGTACGGAACAACAGTGTGTAATGATAGATATTTTGAGTAATGACGAGCTCAAGGATTTATCTTCGTGTTTAAAGTTAAACTTGTTTGTCGTGTCTCTCATTAAATCCCGATACCGATGCAAATTTGGTGTTTAATTGGTGCACTCGTTGAAGGCGTGATATTTTTCATAGGGAAATGATAATTTCACGATTCCTATGCGAATTTTTCCAAGAATAGCTCGGAAATGAGTGAGTACAGGAGGAATGTCAGGAGATATTTCTCGAGAAAAATTTCAAGAGCTGTAAAAAAAAGAACTATAAAAGAAAAGACAAGTTTAGCTTGGAAATGGAGAGAAAAACTTTTTTTCTGTACTTCGTGAATATCTCGGGAAATAATGGATTTATCGAAAAATATGAGAAGAAATTTTTTGTTGAACTGGATATTTTCTACAACTTTGTTTTCGAGCATTTTCCGATAAATCCATTATTTGCGGAGATATTTGCAAAGTAGGTTTGGTGAAATTTTGAAATTGTCAATATTGATTTTTCCTTCATTCCGCGAATATCTCCGAATCTGTTGGGTTCTGGAAAAAATGTCACAAACATTTTTTGTAGAGAATTGCTAGGGCTATGAAAAAGTTCTCTGACATTTTTCCCTAAACCCAATAGTTTTCGAGATTTTGGGGAATAATTCTTTGGAATTATTCTGTTTTTTTCTAATTTTTCAATAATTTTTTCATCTCAAACCCAGCATCACCGCTTTATTTCAACGCCTCTGAACACTATATGTCTTTGGAAAATACCGAGTAATATAAGAGAAGGTTCTCAGAATAATAAAACCAAAATTCTACCGAGAGAATTACATCAAACTGAACAATGACTCGTTAATCCTTCATTACACTTGTCCTAACAAAAACAAAATGAAAAAAATCACGAAATCTCTTCGTTAATTATTCTCGTGAGACTGCACTGGGGATTATGATGCTCATTACGCGCTTAATATTATTTCTGGTATGAATTTATTACGCGTAAATTATCAATTGATCCAACGCAACGTTATTTCACTAGCAAAATGATAAAACAAGACAGTATGTGAAGAAACGATCCCCCTTCAATCCCCAATATCTCAACATTGGCAGAGTGAAAATCCAAATATCTTACGACATTGTCAAGGTATTTTTCCACCCTTTAAAATGAAAAAAGATTTATTCAAATCGGATCATTCGTTCACGAGATATTGAGTATTTAACACGGATCGTTTTACCTCATTCTCTGAAATTTCGATTTCGAAAAAATTGAAATTTCTCGTTCTTTTCTTCTTCTAGTGATTTCTATTCGTCATCATGCTCAGAATCATCTCCATTTAATTCAATCATATAATGCTTATATTCTGTGCTTTATAACTTTGTTTACATATTTATAGTTATTGTATCGTTTCCTCACAAATTGTTCATCATTTCTCATCATTTTGGAAAGGCGTTAGCATTAGATCAGATTAGATTCCCCGTTTATTCGTGTGGCTTCAGAGTAACGGAATGAATTACCCCCTGACGGATGAACAATACATTTCAGGGGAACAAAGATTCATCCAAATTACCGTGATTACTTGTTCACGAATATTCAACAACAATCACTCTCTCTCATCCTCTGAAATGAATTTCTATATCCATTGAATTTCCGTATTCCTTTTATTTACTTCAATCAATAATCATTTTATTTTTCATTACACTTCTAAAGTCATCTTAGCACGACACATTATCATTAATATGAAACGCTGAATTATGGCATTAATGAATGATCGAAAGATGACAACTACTAACATAACAACAATGCACACCTCGAAATTCACGTAATGAATGCCTCATCTCGATGATTCATTCACCATTTGTTCTCATAAATTTTCTCAATTCATTAGAAATTTATATTAATCCTCTGGTTTTTTGTCTCTTTAATGCCATCAGTCATCAGTCGTAAACACGTATGAAATACTCGTTGATTTAGACTAATTAACATTACACATTTTTCATGATGTATAAGAGCTCTTTAATTCCTACTGTCTCATCATAACTCCCATTTTTTTAGACACACGTATTCGTTATTATTTATTTTTACTCATCAACTATTCTATTATATGGTGAATAGCGCTTTTATTTCATAGCATTTTTATATATATTTTTTTTCGTTTATTATTTATTAATCTCTCAGACGTACACTCACGTAACTTTACATAATACAGTATTTTCTTACTTAATTCATATTTAAACACTTCCATAATTATCTTCAAGGAGCTCTATTGTCTAGTTTTTTATCCTCTTGTTTTTAATCGGAAATTAAAAGTCTTTGTTTGCATCAGATATTTGTAATGATTTATTTAGAGAAGTGGTTGAACGAGAGAATTCAGGTTTTCGCGGATTAATCTGCGTATATCTCGATGAATAATGGATTTATCGAAAAAAGTCACAAAACGTTTTTTGTAGCTCTTGACATTCTCGAAATTTTGTGTCATGAACATTTTCTCGATAAAACCATTATTTTCGGAGATATTCGCAAAATAGTCTTCATGAAATTTTCAGATCAATTGATCATTGTTGCCAGAATGTTTTTAAATCAATCATTTCCTCTGGATTCATCTCGGCCATCACTTTCCGTCGATTGAACTCATCGTGTCACGAATTTTCGTCATATTTTTTATAAAGAAAGCTTCAAAAGCATCGTCCTCAAGCGCGGGGAAGTGAAAGGTAACAATGGTGAACGATTAGCATTTTTTTCCTCCTTTAGTCATTATTTTTTTCAGTAAAGTTGAGCGAGAATAAAGACTGATAACAATTGTTCGTTAATATTACCTTCGTCCTTACCTCGGTTTGACTCCTCTTAAAATCATATCAATGATACATTATTGACTAGGTAATGTAAGTTAAATAACAGTAATTGGGTGATTGAATGAATGAAGAGGTGAAACTTTTCATTCTCAGTATTTAATAATCTAAATAATCTCAGGAGTCTTGGTGGAAACAGCGATTATGTACAAAACAATGACATGGTCAAGATAAAGCTGTAATATGTAATAAAGACTCGTTAACATGTCTAATTAACTAGAACGAAAAAAAAAAAATTAAATAAGTGATTGGGGAGAGTGAAGGGTTGTGACCGAGGCTTGAGGATGAAAGAGAACTTAAAGTACGAAAGGCAATGAAGTAACTGGAGGTACTTAACAGATAATTACGTCATAGACTATTAATAATTATCGAAGATTAGGGTAGACATGTTTGGTTTTGGGGAAAAAATTATTCGAGGGTAAAAATGTTTTTCAATACTCCGTTTGTGGATATCTCTGTAAATAATGGATTTATCGAAAAATATCATAAGAGATTTTTTGTTGTCCTGAAAATTTCCTACAATTTTGTCTTTTGGACATTTTTTGATGAATCCATTATTTACGGAGATATTTGCAAATTAGTTTTTAGGAAATTTCGAAATCGTCTAAATTGATTTTTCTATTATTTCGCGAATATCTCCGAGTCTATTGGATTTTTGAAAAAAATGTCACAGACATTTTTTGTGGGGAATTTCAGGGGCTGTTTAAAAGTCTTATGACATTTTTTTCTAAACCCAATAGTTCCAGTGATTTTGGGCAATTCTTTGGGAAGAATGGCTTTTTCAAGCTTTTCGATAATTTTTTCTCCTCAGACCGAGCATCATCGCTTTGTTTCAATACCTCTGAACACTATATGTCTTTGGAACGTACCGAGTACCATGAGAGAAGGTTCTCAGAATAATAAAACCTGAATTCTACCGAGAGAATTACATCAAACTGAACAATGACCCGTTAATCCTTCATCACACTTATCCTAACAAAAACAAAATGAAAAAAATCACGAAATCACTTCGTTAATCATTCTCGTGAGACTGCACTGGGGATTATGATGCTCATTACGCGCTTAATATTATTTCTGATATGAATTTATTACGCGTAAATTATCAATTGATCCAACGCAACGTTATTTCACTAGCAAAATGATAAAACAAGACAGTATGTGAAGAAACGATCCCTCTTCAATTCCCAATATCTCAACATTGGCAGAGTGAAAATCCAAAAATCTTACAACATTGTCAAGGTATTTTTCCACCCTTTAAAATGAAAAAAGATTTATCCAAATCGGATCATTCGTTCACGAGATATTGAGTATTTAAGACGGATCGTTTTTCCTCATTCTCTAAAATTTCAATTTTGAAAAAATTGAAATTTCTCGTTCTTTCCTTCTTCTAGTGATTTATATTCGTCATCATGCTCAGAATCATCTCCATTTAATTCAATCATATAATGCTTATATTCTGTGCTTTATAACTTTGTTTACATATTTATAGTTATTGTATCGTTTCCTCACAAATTGTTCATTATTTTGGAAAGGCGTTAGCATGAGATTAGATTAGATTTCCCGTTTATTATTGTGGCTCCAGAATTACAGAATAAATTACCTCCTGACGGATGAATGAGATCTTTCAGGGGTGAAGATTCCATGTTTTCTCCAATTGTCAATTTCATCGTTAATCTACTTAACTTTTTATCGTTAATACTTCACTCATTGTCAATTAAATCAACAAGACGAGAACCAATAGCCAGGAATATTATGCAGTTTTCCGAACAAGTCTTTATAATTTCAAAAATTAAAAAGAAACAACATTTCGTATCAACATTTTAGTAGAGGAGTGGTGAGACGAGGTGAATGGGACTTTACTCCATAATTAGTTTTTGGAAAATATTTAGAGATCCACTAAAAATTTTCAGTCAACAATTTTCTCATCTACGAAATAAAGTCTGTTTTAAATGAAAAAAAAAATTATTGACGACTTTTTCTCAGTCTGACATTTTCGTGAATATCTAGAAATCCACAAGAGATGGCAAAATTTTTGTCGGAACCTTTTTTGTAGAGAATTTTCTCACCTTCAAATAAGATACATATGAAAATGTCTCTATCTCCAATAGATTCAGAGATATTTACAAAAAACTGAACATGAAATGAAAAAAAAAATTACTAATAACTTCTTTCTCAATCTCAATCTTTTGTAAATATCTAAAAACCTACCAGAGATACAAAAATTTCTGTTGAAACCTTTTTTTCGAAGAATTTCCTCACCTACAAAAAACATCTGAACAAAAATTCGCCATCTCAAACAGATCCAGAGATATCCCCCAAAAACTAAATCCCAAATAATCTCATCCCACCAAATTCCTCTCAGCCCCCCTAGAACTTACTACTCGACTTCTCCTCCCTGCTGAGTTTCAATGCCAAAGCAAGATCAGCCTCCTCCTGCTCCTTGATCCTCTTCCTCTCCTCCTCAGCCCTCAAACTCTGCTGTGCAGCCCACTCCAACTGCTGATGCTCACTCAAATTCCCAGTGATCATTGACGCAGCCTCTTCACTCCACACTTTACCATTATTATTATTCTTGCTCTTCTGCAAGTTGTTGTGACCCAGGCCTAATTTATCCTTGAATGCCTGTGCAATGCTCACATTATCAGACCTCTTTGTTCGTTCTCTCTTGATCGATGAGAATGCCTCATCAAAATTAATCGGCTTGTTCACTGGCTTCGGTGACGATGAATTATTATTACTGATATTGCTATTTTTCTCAGGTGTAAAACTGAACTTGTCATTCTTGGACTTGACAAAAGGCTGAGAAAATGTCTTCGAGAAGTCAGACTCAAAGTCTCTAGTGAATGGATCCCTCTTGCCATCGTTCGTCATCTCAAGACCGAATGGATCGAATTTAACGTCTGTTTTTTTATCCTTCGTCTTCAATTCATTCGCATTTGTCTCGTCATCAGCGAATGGATCAGCTATCTCGAAGACATCCTCGTAACGATAGTTTCGGAAAGGATCTTCAGTGAAGTCTGGCAGCTTCTGGGGTGGGGAAACTGCGTTCGAAGGTCGAGAGGCCACTTCCGGCTAAAGCAGGTTTTTTCGTGTTGGTTTTTTTTCGAGTTATTGAGGTTTTGAGATTTTTTTTGTTATGTGCTTTTGGTTTATTTATTTATTTTTTTTGCGAGTTTTACTGAAAAGCAGAAGAGGGGCGAAAACCCTGGTTATTGGCTTGGATTAGTTTTGGGGTGAATTATTGTGAAATTGCAACGAAAAAATTGCTCAGGGAATTGAGAGGTTTTTGTGAATGGGGCTATTTGACACTTCAGGATTTGCTCATTTATTAAAAAAATATTTTTAATATCTCTCAAAATCACTGATTATCGAGATAATTTCGTAATTAATGAGATGAGAAAATTAATTTATGACAATTCACCTTTTTTGAGAATGTCAAATTTTCTACAAAAAATGTTCCCCCACAATTTTTCAAAAATTGTTCATGAAATATTTTACGAGAATTTTTGCTAATCAATCATTTATCCTCTATTGAAAAATAATAATCTAAATGTCAAAATCCCCTCCTATCGATCAAAATGATCACATGCTCTCAATAATAAAAAAAATCACGGAATCAATGAAAAAATAAATAAATAAACAACATAACAAAAAAATCTATAAACGTAAGAAATATGGGAATATTAAACACAAAAAACCATCGAGTATTATTTGACAATTACGAAATTATAATAGAATTAAAGAGTAGAAGAGGGGCCCAAAAACCCTGGTAATTGGCTTGGATTATTTTTGGGGTGAATTTTTGGGGTGAATTCATTAAAAAGACTTCTTTAACATCTCTCAAAATCACTAATTATCGAGATAATTTAGAAATACTGAGATGACAAAATTAATGTTGAACAATTCTGCTTTTTTGGAAGATATCATAAAATTTTCAGCGAAAAAACTTTCCTCATATTTTGTTTAAATCGAGAACTTTCCGCTGTTCACGGATTTTTCCTCCGCATTGAAAGGAAAAAACCAAATATCAAATTCCCAATAATAAAAAAAATGATGGAATCAACGAAAAAATAAATAAATAAACAACATAACAAAAAAAATCTATGAACGTAAAAAATATGACACTATCAAGCACAAAAAATAATCAGCATCGAGTATTATTTGACAATCGTGAAATCAATTGAATTGAAAATGATAATTCGAGAAAATTGATTGATTACCTTCGAGTCGAAATTAGCGAAATCAGCGAATCCAGTGATGGTGGAGCCAAATCCAGTGTTTCCATTGTTGTTGTCATTTTGTGCAGCGAATGGATCAGAACTTGTATTGTTGAAGGGATCAGGCGTTGGTGATGGGGTTGGTGGGGCTGGTGCTGCTCTGAGATTTGGACCAGCTGCTGGACGAGGTGGGGCAGGCCTTGGTGGTGGCTGTTTCGCCTTCTTCGGTGGAAGAGCTGGACTTGGACTCTCTGCACGTGTTGGGGCGTGGAGATTGGCGAATGGATCGTCACCGAAAGGATCTTTAGTCTGCTGTTGAAATAAAATAGAAAATAATTAATCTCAATTTATTTCAATAATTTTTTAAATTTATGTAGCTCGTTAATGAGTGGTTCTAGATGAAAATGTGAGAAGAACTTTTTCGTGGAGGAGAAAATTTCCAACAAAAAATGTCTTATGACTTTTTTGGCTAAAACTACTTGTTGACAAGGTAACTCGAGATTTTATCAAATGTAAAAATTGATTTGTTGAGTTTTATGACAAAATAATGGCCTCAAATCTGATATTATCCCAGGAATCAGTTTTTAGTCGAAAGTATCAAGAAACATTTTCTTCAGAGAATGAAGTTTCCAGAAGAATGTCTTCCGATGTTGAACAAAACGAAATAAAAAATAACAAACCAAAAAAAAATTATCATCTTCCTCAACTCCAACGCACCTGTATGCTCTCCCCTCCAGCTTTATCATTCCTCCTGCCGTCCCCGAAGGGATCGTAAGCCTCCTGCTTAGCAGCAAAAGGATCACTGGTAAATCCACTCGAGGCACTGTTCCTCCCATCGAAATTGGCAAAAGGATCTCCCCCAGAATTCCCAAAGGCCTCAGCAGCCTTCGAGGAAGCGAAGGGATCCTCCTGACCAAACCCATCACTGGCCCCATTGACCCCCGTGAACCCGTCCTTTCCCGTCTCACTGACCCCATTGATCTTCGCTGACATTTCACTCTCGATCTGCTCCACAACATCAATGTCCGGATGCAGTTGGAGAATTGCGTCTGACACCAGCGAGGGATCACCAACAGCTAATGCTGAATCGTACATGGCAATTGCATCGTTCATCTGCCTCTGCTGCTCCTCCAGGTGCGTGATCTTCAGCTTCGCCTGGCTGATCTGCAACTGAGTGTTCTGAAGATTTTTCGTCAACTCGTTCAATTGGTCTCTGCTTCTGTTTTGCTGCGTCTCAAGCTGCTGCTCCTCCTGGCGCAAGCCCTCCAGCTCCTGTCTCTTCGAGTTCAATTCCTCTTCCTGGGTGCGGAGGACTGACTCCTGCTCCTCAGCTTGCTGACGGAGTTTATCCACCTTTTGGAAACGATCTTCATGAGTGATGAATGGAAAAATCAGGGAGAAGGAAAATGAGAGGATTTTTAAGTTTTGGTTTTTGGAAAATAGCTGGGAATTGGAGAGAGCTAGCGAAATTTTCATTGAATACTTTTTTGTAGGGGGAAATGAGAGCTACAAAAAAGGGCATCAGGAGTTTTCTGATATCTCGCTCGAGTGAGGAGATATTCAGGAAAAACTAATCAAGTTGAATTTTGAAAAAATGAGAAAAATGAATTTCACGTTCAGATTTTGGGAAATATCTTCAAATTAGTAGGAGATAGCCCAATTGTTATAAGGACCTTTTTTCTGGAGAATTTTCTCAGCTACAAAAAAGGTCCTCACGAATATTTCCGTATCTCCGTTAGATTCTGAGATATTTCCGGAAAACTAAACATGAAAATCTCTTCACGTTCTGTTTTTCTTTTGATGAATGTTTTTTTCAATATCATTGTCGTTTTTTCATATTGGGCAATAAAAAATATGCAGATGATAGGGGGAATGTTGTCTAAGTGATGGATGTAATGATCAATCATCCTCGACGAAAAAAAAAATTATCATCCCATATCAATATCTCATTCATCAAATGCTCATCTGTAATGCATTTAATTTCATCCAAAGTGCATGTGCAATGCTATCTTCAGTGTTCGATAATCTCATGCAATCATAAAACAATAAAATTACCTTGCACGTAATGCGCTCGTTAATATGGAAGCCACAGTCGTCATTCAATATCTGAATTACCATTTGGTTTTATATCGGTTTTCTTAAGGGAAAGAAGAGAAAATAAAAGAAAAAAAAATTGAGGGAATAATTGTGTACCTTTTCCTGCTCCTCACGCATTTCCTGCTCGACCTGACTCAATTCTTTTTCTACATCATCCCGCTAGAAAGGCCGAATAGTGACAACAAAAAAATTTCATAAAGTAAACAAAAAGAAATGAAAAAGGCTGATTAAAATATTGGCAAAGTGGTAAAACATAAAATGTTGTTAAATATTAATTTATCTCAATGAATATTTCTTTTAGAAGAAAATTTCAAGAAATATCTTCTCCTGAAGTCGATAATTGTCAAGATAATTTCATAAATAATGAACAAAAATGAATGTTACCTCGATCCGGAAATGGAATTTGTCAATTGTTTCATTATCTCAACAAAGAAAAAGGAAATGTTCAAAATATTTCCTCCTAAATTCATTCAAACCCCAGATAAATTTCACATTCAACACAAATATTAAAAAAATTCATGGTTTATCAATTCTTTTCAACAACTTTTAAAAATTATCTTCTCTTAGAGTTGATAATTATTAAGATAACTTGATAATTAATCAACGAAAATGAAAACAGAGTCGATGTAAGAATGAACTTTGTTAATTATGTAATTATCTCCTCAAATAAAAAACAAAATATTCAAAATATTTTATCCTTAATTCACTTAAACCCCAGATAAATTCCACATTTACCAAAATTTTCAAAAGATCACGTTTTACCACTTCAAAACTTAAAAAATAAATAATCTCAAAAAAATGATAAATCATAAATAATGAAAAAATAAATTGAACTTCTACTCCTCATGTCATGCATGCATTCAGTGGACATTCTGTCGAACTTTAGATTTAACTCTGGCTTTAATCGTTCAATTTTAATGCAAAGCTGATATTGTTGACTTTAATTACTTGAATAATCTCACCTGAGCCTTCAGATCATTCAATCGCTTCTGGGCCTCGCCCCTCTGATTCTCCAACTGCTTGAGTGTAGCAGCCAGCGTGTCCAGTTCACTCTGAAGACTTTTAATTTCACCGTTTTTAATTTTAATATCCGCCTCCTTCTGTGCAACATCCTGCTCCATTGCTCTACGCTCCCTCGCTAATTCCGCAATGTCCTTGCTGATCATGTCTAGTTCGGGATTGGAGTAGCCCGAGATATTATTGTTCTCCTGCGAAACAAAAGAAAATTGAAGGATTATTCAATTCAGCAGTGACTGATGATCGAAATCATCAGGGAGAATATTCCCAGGAAAATATTTGTAATTTTGCTCTTTCATTCAATTTATTTGATATCCTTGACTGCAACATTTAAATTTTCTAAGAAGTTGGAGGATATCAGGAACAAGTGGAAGAAGTTCTCGAAGGGAAAGGGCAAGGGCAGGAGATTCTCCTGGAGATCAACCAGTTGGAGTCTCAGAGGGCGAATGAAATCTTGAGGGCTTTCCACGAGGAAAGATGAAAGGATTATTACAAGTGTCTGGAGCCCGAGGTATTGTTTTCCTGTAAGACAAAAGGGAATCAAAGCCCGAGATGTTATTGTTTTCCTGTGAAACAAACAAGAATCGAAGATTTAATCAATTCAGCATTCACAGACTATGGAAATAATCAAAATCATCATGCAGAATATTCCCAGGAAAATACTGCTTTCCACGAGGAAAATTGGAAGGATTAGTACAACCGTCTGGAGCCCGAGATATTATTCTTCTCCTACGAAACAAAAGGGAATCGAATGTTTATTTAATTCAGCATTGACAGACGATTGAAATCACGAAAATCATCATGAAGAATATTCCCAGGAAAATGCTTATAATTTTGCTTTTTCATTCAATTTATTTGATATCCTTGAGTTCAACATTTAAATTTTCTAAGAAGTTGGAGGATATCAGGAACAAGTGGAAGAAGTTCTCGAAGGGAAAGGGCAAGGGACAGGAGATTCTCCTGGAGATTAACGAGTTGGAGTATCCGAAGGCGAACAAAACCCTGAGGGCCTTCCACGAGGAGAGGTGGAAGGATTATTACAAGTGCCTGGAGATGAGGCATGCTGCAGCTGGAGTTCATAAGACTCTTTATCCTGCCGCGGTGGTGACAATGCAAGGATCTTCAGTATTGTGAGTTTTATCGTGATTAATAATAATTAGCTCTCATTCAAGGGTTGATTAATTATTTTTCAATTAAAAATGTCCAATAAAAACTATTTTATTTAACACTACGCCCTCTGTTCGCTAAACCCCATATGACCCCTATGATCCTTATTCTGACCCTTAAGACCTTGATTTTGACCCTTAATTTTGGAGTCTTATTTCGAGCACCAAATTTTCATCACCAGAACTCGATTTGGATTTTTATAATATAGAGAGAAAATCATCAGAATTTCATCATTCTATACTTTTTTTTATTGAGAATTTTCTACAGGAATTCCTCTACGTAAATTTTCCAAGTTTTTTACACCCTGTTCTTCTCCTCTTTTCATTAAAAAATCCAAAAATTTTCCATGGAACATTTCTATTGGAAAAAAACGCAGATAAGCAGAGGAATTTCCAAATAAAATCAACCAAAAACGAATCACAAATTCAGTAGAAATCCAATAGAATTTTCTATGAAATTTTTTGTAAATTTTTTCTTGTTTAACAAAAAAAAAATTTCTTGAAGACAGACTCGACTGCGGAATTTGCATCTCCCCAAGCGAAGTTCACACAACAGAATCAATCGAATGGTTCTACAACAGCACGACGGATGGTAATTCGACGAATGTGCCAGTGAATAGCGACGGATACACCATAATTTCCTCGAGCGACAGGAGCCTCCACATGTTCAACATTGGTGCGGACAGAGAGGGCTTTTACTGGTGCCAATTGGAGGACACAATGTCCAATCCGTTTTACGTGCACGTCAATAACGAAACGGAGTCGCTGAGGGCTGTGCAGGGGGAGGAGGCACCTGATGCCCTCCATCCCGAGCCTCCGGAGGTCATCGAGGAGTACGGGCTGAGGGTTTTCACCGACTGGGCCACGTGGTCCAGCTGCTCTAGGTGCGATGGTGTGGGGAGGAAACAGCGGTATGGATATTGCACGATAGAACTGGTGAATTATGGAGGGAGGGAGGTCCGGCGGAGGAGGAATGAGGGTAAATAAGATATTTTTGATGGAATGCACAGATTAATTTTCCGCATTATGTCGATTTTTCTTCTGAGGATTTTTGTTTCAATAAAAATCGCAAATTTTGTGATATTTTTCGTTGAAAATGTTCAGTCCATTTCAGAAATATATTTGAAAAACTGAACTCTTCTTGCTCAGAAAAAAAGACAATAATTATTAATTTTCACCATTTGTCAATTTTTTTGGGACGAGTTTTCGAGGAGGAAAAAATGTCAAAACATGTCTTACTGGAAGTTTTCTTCTCTAAAATGAAATTCTACACGAAAATTTCGCTATTTTTCTCCATTTCGGAGATATATTCAAAAAACTAAACCCTTTTCGGTCACAAATTTATTAAAAAATCTTTCTTACGAAATAATGATTACTTTTTCCTGTTTGTTAATTTTCACTATGAATTTTTCTCTCTGAAAATGGAAAGTTTCGTAACATTTGTCGTTTATGTAATGAAGAGATTTATTATATTGATCTAAAGAATAAGAGTTTTCAGGGAAAAAAATATCAAGAAACATTTTTTATTGGAAATTTTCTCCTTCAGAAGAAATTCTTGCACGAAAATTTCGCTATTCCCCTTTATCTTTGAGGTAAATTCAAAAAACTAAACCCTTTCTACTCAAAAATTTATTCAAAGCGCTTCCTTATCCTTTTTTCTGTCACAAAAATAGATAAAATAATAATCTGAAGTGAATTTCTCCATCTCCTATTTCCCAAAAACCCATAAAAATGAAAATATCGAAAAATTCCTCTGATATTATTCCAGACATTGAAGAACCAATGGAATCCGACACAGACCTCTCATCCCTGATCGAAAGAATCCTCATTTTCTTCGGTAATAAACTCCCCTGCAGATCCTTCTACACTCCCAAGAGGATCCAAGAACTACCCCAGATAAAGAAACGAATGAACGAAGTGATGAGAAAATTCTGCAAAGTCAAATGCCAGGAGAATGTCATCTTCGAGATACGAGACAAGTATGGTAATGTCATCGAGAGTGCAAACAACAGCGCTGGAGTTTATTCGGTATTTCAGGGTGTGCCTGACCCCCTGCCACCAGTTCAGCGTGAGACATTGTATAGTAAACATAACAGTAAAGTGGAATTGAAATGCCCTGGGTAAATAATCTCAAATGACGATTGAAGAAATCATTTGGAAATGAAAAAATATTACGAGACATTTTTCGTAGCGAATTCCTAAATCTATGAATTTTACGAACTAGAAGACCTTTTCAACAAAAATTTAAAAGTTCTATCTCTTAAAATGTTGTCTTTTCTTTTGATTAATGACGAGATGAACGAATGAATTAATTCATCATTAATTATAAAATCAATGAATGTCCGATAATTACTGAAGAAATCTTTTGAAAATGAAGAAAGATCACGGGACATTCTTCGTACAGAATTCCTAAATCTGTGAATTAATCAATGAATAAATTAATTAATTAATTCGAATTGATTGATCGATTAATTTGATAATTCTATGAATTTCATGAACTAGAGGACCTTTTCAAAAAAAAATTTAAAAGGTCTATCTCTTAAAATGTTGTCTTTTCTTTTGATTACTGACGTGATGAATTAATTAATTAATTCATTATTAATTATAAAATTAATGCACAAATGAATAAATCGATAATAAAATTGATGAAAGAAATGAAAATTGATTATGATTTTCAGAAATCTGGACAGTGACACTCCAATCACATGGCAAATAGCCAGCAAAACCGTGAATCCATCCTCAATAAGTCAGGATTCAAACGGAAGAATATCCCTAGACACTCACGATCGATTGATCTTCAAGAAATTGCGTTTCGCAGACTCCAATGTGTACAGCTGCTGGCAGAGGGGTAAACTTGCAGGGACTATAAGACTCGAAGTCACTTATGAAATTGAAATGAAGGCTGACCATCGAGTCATGATGGTTGGGGCCATTGCCATTGTTTCGACTTTTCTCATTGTCTTCTTGCGTGCATTCAGGGGCAGAAAAAGATACACTAAACATTGAGATACTTTCGAGCATAAAATGCAGTGAATTTCAAAATGATTCCTACTTCTCGGCCATTAATGGTCATCACAGCAATGTTAATTCAAAAACGAAGAAAGGAAAGAATGAAGAAAAATAATAGAGAATTTGCATGAATTTTTCTCAATTTTCTAATCTCAAGTTTAGGACCTGAATAATTCATGTTGTATTCACAAACGTTTCAAATATTGCTCATTAATTAATAATTAGTTAAAAGTCCAATTTTTTTCGTTAAATTCATATTGTGGAAATAATTAAGGAAAGTTTTGCCAAGTGAAGTATTAAATATCGAATAAATTATTGATTACGACCTCAGCATAATTTAAAGATCTTGAAATTCTCTAAAAAGAATTTTTGATATTTTCTCCTCACAACTCATTACAAAGATAATGAAACTATTAGTAATAGACGTTAACGAATAATTCACCACTTCTCGAACAACATTTTCACTTGCGAGTAAATGCAAATGAAAAAAATAAATGAAGAAATAAAATTATTTCAAATAAAAAAACGGACTCACCACTACACCTCCGTCTTTAGCTTTCCTGAGAGAAGGTGGCATCATTTCAGGGGTCAGTGCCTGAGGTGGATCAGTACCCCTGAGTTTCTGTTTTATGAGCCACATGGCAAGAGCAAACTGTTCCTTATTGAGTTTCCCACTCTGGCAGATGTCACAGAGGCCCCTGTAGCATAATTCATTCAAAATTGCATGAGCTATTCATGAAAACCCAAATACTTTAAGGAGAAACGGAACCCCTGTGTCTATATGAACTTCTGGAACTGTTTTCTCCTATAACTATTAATTTTTATATATGAAACAACTTTATCGACTCGATCATTGCATTGTTGAGCCAATGATGTAGTTTTATAACTAAACAAGTGGGAAATTGCTCTTGTATCGCCTATAGTATAGTTATTTTTTCTAATAAACTAGCAATATGCCTCCGAATGGTTATTTTGTACATCATTTCCTCCTATCGCATATAATTCATTGTTTATTTCATTTTATTGAATTGAATAAGATTTATTTTCAACTAATTTTGTCAGATTTTCAATTTAGTTGAATGTTATCATCATCATATTTCTTATTATGCCATTCTCCTATACAATCGATTGTCTTTTTTACAATTCTATCTCCCCCCTCCGCGCTTCGATAAAATGTTAATGGACAAATTTTATTTACGTTTTTTTAAGTTACAAGATCACTATCATATCATTATTATTGTTTCATTTAAGGGTTCATTTCTTGTCTGTGATTATTAGGCAGCCGAAACGAAAAACTATTATCTCTTGTTTCGCATAAAACAAAAAAAAATATTTTCTTGGCACAAGTAAGACTTGTTTGAGAACTTTGTCGTTTTTCTCAGTGCAGACGATCCGTTCTTTCTCCTGACTTATTTCATACTGCCAACTTTGTTACATACACACACGTACGGATGAGATCTAAAAATTGCATTTTCGGACTTTTTGGACCATATTGGGCCGATATAACACAAAAAATCCAAAACTGAAATTTGAACGATAAAAAAACTTCCATTCGGAAGCAAAAATAATAATTGCAGGAGAAAACGCAATTCTAAAATTTTATGTAGACACAGGTGTTCCGTTTCACATTAACGAAATTGAATTTATACCAAATGTGAGCTAGAATGTTCTGGGGCAGTCCACTCTGTAGAAAGACGTCCTTGATCTCACCACCAGACACGAAACCATCCATATCCATGTCAGCCTGGAGGAAGAGTTTATCAGCTGCTGCCTGATCCTCTGCTGTCACTACCCACTGCACTTGAGGCTGGGGTGATGGTTGCTGGGGTGGCATAGGCTGTAAAATCATCGGCATGAGTATTTACTCATAAGAATCGATGATAAATTAGGAAGAGAAGATAATTTAATTTCTCTATTTTAGTTTTTGTTGCATATCTTGAAATCGGAGGGAAATATGTGCAAATTTTGACAAAGAACATTATTTTTTGCAGCTCTCACTTTCATTTTCAAAAAGGATTACATGAAAATTCAATTATTCAGAATGGATTCAATAATATTTAATGAAAATGCATGTGTTGTTATGAAAATTCAGCTCAACTCTTTTTAATTATTTTTCTTTGCTGAATATCTTTAAAATGAACGAAAATGGAAAATTTCTTCTGGTTTTCAACACATTCAACAAAAATGGAATGTGCAAATAATAAAACAGCTCATCGAACAAATAAATTATCTTCAATGGCCATTCTGCATTCTTAATAATCTCAGATACCAGAATTTATCTGTAAATGCATGAGAAACCATAGGGATTTACCTGTATAGACTCCAACCCAACTAAATTATTAACAGCAGCAGCTGTTGGTAGAGGTGGAATGGCTGGTGGTACTGGGGATGTTGAATTCATAACGAGAGTCTCTTTTCTCTTGCCAGGGGGCATAAGTTCTGGTGGTAAGACACTTGGAATTGCGTATTTCTCCAGTGCTTTGTACACCAGGTGCATTGCCTGCATAAAAGAATAAATAATCTCCATAAAACTTGATTTCGTTAACATTGTTTTATAAATATTTATGAAATTATCGTCTCATTGGCAAAATAATGGAACATTCTCGGAATTTCACGTTTAATTTTTGTGTTTTCCTATAAATTATCCGATTATCTATGGAATTTTGTAGAAGAAATGTGCCCCGACAATTTTGTGTACAGCTACTCATAAACGAGATAATCCAACAATTAACAAGAATTCACCCACAATTTTCTCGTCTTTGTTAATATGCAATTATCTCGTTAATGAGTGGTTCTACGAAAAAATGTCAAAAGAACTTTTTTGTAGCCCATGAAATTCTCTACAAATTTGACTTTTCATATTTTTCTCTAAATTCCTTAGTTCTCGAGATACAAGTGACAGAATGCAGAAACTCACCACAACAAACTCATGTCTATCCAGCATTCCATCCTTATCCATATCAGCAAGATCCCAGATTTTTCCTAGTGTATCAAGAGGCAGTTTACTGTCCATAAGCACTCCCTTAACTTTATTCCCAGGTATGTAACCATTAGCTGGCTGAAGACTATCGAACAAACGATCGTATTTGATCCTCTCAGCTGGCTTTATCGCCCAATCCCCATTGGCAATTGAACTTATCACTGGTGGAGGTGGTACAGCTGGACTCTTCTTCGGTATCACTGGTATCTCACCCATTTTTGGTGGTGGTACATCGATGTTTACATTGGCAATATTTAACTCATGTCCAGCCTGGGCGAAGGCACATAATTTGAGGGCAACAAACATGCCAGATTTGTCGAGGGAGCCACGGGACTGGGGATCCGCCATGTCCCATATTTTACTGAGGATGATGTCACTCAGCTGGGATTTCTTGAGAAACCGAGCCGCCTCCATGGCTCCAATCCTTCCACAATTATTTGGATCCACCTGGTTGTCAATTAATCATTAATTAATCCAGAATAAAATTATTTATGCATTCATTCATTTATTTTATTCTTAAGGATATCCAAGTACTCTGGCTATTTTTTTCTCCAGTGAAATGTTTTTTCTCCTTTTGCGGACATTTTACAATGACTTTATTATTTAAACTTTGCAGGTCTGAATTTGAATATCGATATCGAACGGTTGGAAAACATTTTAATAATCTAAAAAAATGGAAAGTATAGTTTTGGAGGAACATTGATGAAAGAATTTGAAAATTCCAATTTTTGAAAATTACAAGCATTTTCTATAAATAATTCATGAACAATCAGTTTTTCAGTATAAAAATCTTTTGCTCAGAAATGTAAACAAATTTATTTATATTCAGAATTTTACCACACATCGATTTCATGCCTAAAAAAATCAGGCTTTCGAAGTTTAAATAATTGCAATTATTTATGCAAACAAGGAATGTTTAAGAGAATAATGATTCAGAGCAAAATTTAATTTGAATGACGCTGAATATTCATATTTTTTGTTCCAATTTTTCTCACGCGATTCAATAATTAACACAATTTCATGCAATTTAATAATTAATGGAAAATTTCAGAATATGAAAACGGTTTAAGTCGACTTATCTCCCAGCTGACTGTTTGAGTCATATCTCCGAATCTAAGGGAGATACCGAAATTTTCGTGATTACATTTTTTGTAGCACTCAATCGGCTCTACAAAAAACGTTATAACAAAAATTTTGCCATCTCCCTTAGATTCCGAGATATTCATTGAAAATTGGTCAATAGTCAAAATTGACTTGTACCGTTTTACCACTTCGCTACTGATTTCACTTTTAAAAAAATAGCCACAGTACTTGCATCCCCTCAGATCCGAATCCACCCCCGAAAATCAAAACTCAAATAAAATAAACTTGGTTAGAAACTCGAAAAATCATACATCACCTGATGATAATACGCTTCATAAATGGCGACATGGCTTCCAGCCACCTGAAATAATGAGCTCAATTGAAAATACAATCACGAGTGAAACAACAATGATAAATATATTATCAGTGACCTTCTCGGCTTCCTCCAGCCGAAGAGAAGCTACGACTTGTCAAATTCGATAAGAAAAAAATAAATTAAAATAATCAATAAAACCCGTGATTAAACGACGAATCAGTGATGCTGGAGTCACTGAGACATCGTTTACCCATTTAATATCACGAATGAGAGATTATAATAGGTAAAAATTGTTAATATACCTGCGTCGGTGACGGCAGGGCAGCCATACTTGCATGGACTACTGGCTTAACCAATCGGACGTTTAAATCGATAGCACTAGTACTTGTTTCTAAAAATTTTGTGCCACATTTCTTGACAGTACCACCACCAACAGCTGATAATATTCACCACTGAGAGAAAGATAAGATACGAAATTCCTCTCGTTTCCCCGTGATTACGGATTTTCTCGTTTCAGAGATGGAAAAATTTATGACTTTTTCCAGCGGAAAACACTCAACACCTCACGTATGCCTTAATTACATTCAGCCAAGGAGCACTTGAACGTTTTTATTGGTCGTTGTTGCATTTGACGGGTTCATCAATTCCACTCAACACTTGTACACTACAACAATATGTCCGGAGAGCGATTTTATTGATAAATTATGATTGAGAAAATAGCGCTGTGACGAGGGCAAAACGCCGCAGAATCGATGATTTGTGGTGATTAAGGGTTGGTGGGGGAATTTATGGGCGAGAATTTTGCACTTTTGTTGGTCCTGCGAAAATAATTGAAAATAAAATCTAAGGGACCCAGTGAGCACGACTTTCACGATTTTATGCCCTCGGGGATTTTTACTCGTCAACTCGCGCCACTTGCCATCGGCCGTTACAACTTCGCGTTTTTGGCGAGTGCTTGCGACTTACGGGTTTGCGTCGTTTATCGCCGTTTGCGATTGTTGGGTTTTTTGTGTGTGTCTGTGTGTGGGGGGGGGGGCTTTTTGGGGTTCTCACTCACGCCCTGAGCAAGTGGGAAATGGAGTCGGTAGGTGTCGCCTGTTGCTGGACCCTTCGGGTAAAGCAGGAATGGTTTGAAAATTATTTGGAGGGATTAAGGTGGGTTTAAAGGACTCCAGATGAGTCGTTGATTGTAACAAGAAATAATGACTTTTAGATGTGAAAAAAAATTCTTCATCATTGATTTTTACTTTCATGAGTGTACGAAATTGATTCATCAAATAATTTTTTTTAAACCTATCGTTTGACCAGGGTTTTTCAGAAACATAAATTATTTATTGCGCAAGCTTGACATTGACGATAATTTTCATATTGGGCATAGAATTTTTATTTATTTTTTCTGATTTTTCGACATTTTTCTATAGTTTAATCTTCTCTCCAAAAATCCATTCTCTGGCGACTCTCACATCACAACAAATAGTACAAATGCTTCGTGAGGTCTCCGAGTATTTCAACTCGTTGCTCAATGCACTATTAGCTGCATCCGCAGATTGCAGTGCACCCCCTTTAAGTGAGGATCTCATAGATAGAAAGAAATAGTGGATTTTTAACAAAAATGTGGAGTTTTCAACAACTGGATTACTATCAGTTTGACCGTGACACTTTGAACTACTGATACCAATTCAGTTGTTGAAAGCTCCACAATTTGTTAATAATCTCTTCAATAATCTCTTGTTCAAACCCCCCCATAACCGATGGCATTGAAGACTATATAAAAAGATTGACCGGATCCATTGATATCAGTGATCTTCATCCAAGCGATAGACGATGAAGTGCCTTGTCTTCTTGCTTCTACTTTGTGTTTCAACAATATTTTCGATTGATGGTAATCCAAAGGTGATTATCATCGGCGCCGGACCGGCTGGCATAGCTGCAGCTTCTAGATTACTACAGAATGGTATTAACAATGTCACCATTCTGGAAGCTGAAGACAGATATGGTGGAAGAATTAAGAAAACAAAAATAGGTAAAGCAATGAATTTTTGTCTGAAATTTCCGGTACAATTTTTGAAAATTGTTATCGAATTTAATTATCACTGAAATTTCAAGGAATTTCGTAATTGAAAATTCAGAATTTCGTGGAAAAATCAAAGAGAACTGTAAATTTCAGTTCCATTTCTCCCTAAAAATGAATAGGAAACCAGAAAGATCTAGTAAATTAATTCTTGAATTTTCAGAATAGTGACAGTGAATGCGATTTAGGGGGAAAAATCGTGAAATTTCAGATTTCACGGAAAATTCAAATAAATTAAGGCATTTTCGTCTTTATGCTGCTTAAAATTCTGGAATTTTACTGAACTTTCAGTGAAATCTGAAATTTCACAATTTTTTTCCCCCTAAATCACATTCAGTGTCACCGTCCTAAAAATTAGTAGTCAACGGTCCATGAAATTTTATTATTTTTCCAACAGTGCACACTGATAGAATGATTCATTTATTCCAAACAAGATTCGTTAAATATTAACGAATGGTACAGTTGAATATGACCAAATAAATATTCGTTAATAGTTATGGATGGTTCACTTGAAAAATGAAAGTCGAGTCAAACAAGACTTCTCAAATATGCATTCGTTAACTATTAACGAATGAACATTTGGTGAGTCTAAATAGACCCTAGCCTTCAACCAAATCTATTTGTTAACAATAACTAATCCTGTCTATCAGTGCATGATTCATACGGTGGAATTTTCCAGGGGAATATATCACAGATCTGGGGGCTCAATGGGTCCACGGAGAGGTAGGAAATGTGGCTAATCAACTCGCTGCGCCATTAGGTCTTCTGTCGAAATCCGTGAGGCCGGGGGATACCGAGCCAATCTATGATGTCATGGTTTTCGATTCTTCTGGAACAAAACTCCCGGAAGAAGTAATCCGTGGGTTTCCAGAATTCGGGGGGGAAATTAAAGGTGACATGATCGGGCTTGATGATTTGAAAAATGGATCTTTTGGAGAATACATGAGGAAGAGGTGAAATACATACATAAAGTATAATAATGAAACAACTAAATTTACATTGCATTACATTTCAGTTGTCTTTTCCCGGTTTCGCATTGTTTTATTCATTTTGTGATTTATTTAACTAATAATTGTTCTAGTAATTGAGGACAATCAATATTGCCTTGCACTAACTTAATTAAAACAAGTGGGAAATTGCTTTCATCACAACATAGTCAATATAGTTTGATAATAAATTAGAAATTTGCTTCCGAATGGAATTTTTATGGCGATGTATTTTAAATTGAATTTAAAGATTCATTGGATTCAACATCGCCCCAACGAGTGGCTAATTCATTGGAATCAATTTCCTAAAAATGATAAACTTTCATTATTTATTTCAGAGTTGACGATTGGTTCGCGAAACGCCCCGAGATTGATCCTAAATTACATAAACCTTTAACTCACTCAATGGAACTAGTTATGATGGCGATAGTTGGAGCCGAAAGCTCAGACGATGTATCTGCACTGGGAGTTAAAAACGCTCCTGCATGTCCTGGGTTTGGGGACCTCAATTGGAAGGAAAGAACTTATGGAACTATTTTGGATATACTCATGGTGAGTATCCAGGGAACATCCCCTTCCTTGAAGAGCAATAATAATTTTCATAATCCAGAAAAGGTATCCAAACCCCGAAGAAGAACTGCCAGTCTTGAACAAAACTATGCTAAACAAAAAAATAACGAAGGTTAACTATGCGGAGGAAGGACCAGTGAGAGTGACTAGTGCCGATGGAGAGGAATACACGGCTGATCATGTTATTTTTACCGCTTCATTGGGAGTTTTGAAGGCCGATCATGAAAAACTTTTCGAGCCCCAGTTACCAGAAAAGAACAAGAAAGCTATTGAGGTAATAATCGGCAAATTCAAACTACACTATTGGAAAATTACTCCTGAAATTTCAAGTAAAAAATCTTGTAACTTTTAAGAATCACTCATTCACCCGAAATTTTCATGTATTTTGTTATTGAAAAATCAGTTGAATTTGCGGGTATTCAATCGAATTGCAATTTTCAGGTCCTTGTACTACTCTCATTACGTTTTCCAGGGGGTTGGTGATTTTTCAGAAGATTGTCCTCAAGAACATTCTCCAGTAGGAGTTGTTTATTTTTTTTAGATATATCACGTTCAAAAAATTTTTTTTTGTGTGAAAATCGCAAAAAAATGACCATTTCACCCTTTTGCTACCCTCAAGTATCTTTCCCAGGAGGTGGGTGATTTTTTAGGGGATTGAGGGAGTCCTTAAAAACATTCTCCAGTGGGAGTTGTTTAGTTTTTTTAGATATATCATGTTCAAAAAAATTTTTTTTTGTGTGAAAATCGCAAAAAATGACCTTTTCACCCTTCTGCTACCCTCAATTATCTTTTCCAGGGGGTTGTCGATTTTTTAAGGGATTAAGGGAGTCCTTACGAACATTCTCCAGTAGTAGTTGTTTATTTTTTTTAGATATATTACGTTCAAAAAAAGTTTTTTTTTGTGTGAAAATTGCAAAAAATGACCGTTTCACCCTTCTGCTACCCTCAATTATCTTTCCCAGGGGGTGGGTGATTTTTTAGGGAATTAAGGGAGTCCTCAGAAACATTCTCCAGTAGGAGTTGTTTTTTTTTAGATATACTACAACAGTCCGCGCGCTCCGCGCGCGTATGTCCTATGCCATGGGGCTCAATAGGTAATATATGTAAATTGTAGTGAATAATCTTATATTAAATTTATAAAGTTAATATCAAAGTTTCCGAAGGAAAAGTTTCAGGCATGTATCCTATTTTTGATGTAAAATAAATCAATTTTGTCCGCTAACTGTATTTACCCGTAATAACCAGTGACCATTAACTGTTTCAATATTTTATTAACAAAAGTTGATTCCTATTCATTGTCCTCATCTTTGTAGGCACTTGGCATGGGTAAAAGTGCTAAGATATTGCTGTATTATGAAAATCCGTGGTGGGAATCCGGAGGACACTGGGCCATACACACATTTTTATGGACTGAGGACGACCGCAAAGCCCTAGAAAATGATGTAAATGAAAGGATTCTCGCTAATCATTCACTTGAAAATCGAATATTAATATTTTCATTATACATTACAGCCTGAGAGAGCATGGATGTTGGGCCTGACGTACGGCTTCGAGGTCGAGTACAAGCCGAAATTGTACCAGATTTGGTTGAGTGGGCCTCATTTAGAGCAGATGGAGCGCCTTTCCGAGGACTTATTCAAAAATCAAACTCTGGAAATAATTCAAAGATTTTTTGGCAAAACGCACAATTTAACAGAACCCACCGAGATCCAGAGAACATCGTGGAATACTAATGAGAACTTTCGTGGAAGTTACAGTTATCCAACGATGCAGTCAGTGACGACAGTGTCAGGCCCTGCCGAACTAGGCGAGCCAGTGATGCGCGGGGGAATCCCCGTTCTATCATTTGCAGGAGAAGCTACCGAACCTAAGTATTTCGCAATGGTTCACGGTGCAATAGCCTCCGGCTGGCGTGAGGCAGATCGCCTCATAAATTTGTATCAACAATAACAATTCGGTTAATAAAGCTGATTAATAAAGTTAAAATTGTCATTTTTAATTGACGATCGACTCTTTTCAGCTCTCAGTTACCTCAGATTTGTTCCCCGGAAAATCGTTCCCCATATTTCCCATACTTTATTTTTATTTTTCCTTTCCGTTCTTCAAATTTCCAGCCCCGAAGAACTGTACTCTCTTTCTAGTTGACAAAATCGACTTTTGCCAAGTTCTTAGTCTCGACAGCAATGGGTTTTAGTACCTCCCTGACATGGATGTCACGAGAACATCCAGTATGATTCTCACCTTCACCCAAATAGATACAATGTCACCCTAATTTCACATAAAAAATACTTGACTAAGTTCATCGAACAAAGTCTATTACACGTTTATCTTATCGGTGTCGTCTACCTTATCCCACACAATCTGCAGCTGTAGAACCACTCACTTGCGGCATAGTCCACACGCAATACCCCCTCCCGTGTGCACTTCTAGTGCGGTAAGGTTTTGAGGTGTTTTCTTATGTTTTCGGGTATGAGAAATCCGAATCCGGTGGTATTTTTTATGTAAGTGTACCAGCTCTTTCGTTTGAGCCCAAAAAAACATTCATATCTTGTCTGACATCGCTGCTACAAACTCGGGTCTACAACTCGGGCCTTCAATTGAAAGCCCGAGTTGAAGACCCGAGTTTGTAGCAAAGATGTCAGACAAGATTGAACAACAGTGTTAATTCATTCATTTACCCCCGCTTCCGATTGATCATTGAAACGCGATCGTCAGAAATTGATATGTGGATGCGGATGAGTATTTTTTTCGTTTTCAAGTAACGGTGTGGAGTTGTACAGATCGATCATTCGCTCGCTTCACCCTCATTTCATTGAATTTTGACTTCTATGTAGGATTATCTTCTTTGAATTACTCCTTCAATTGTTGCATCCATGACGAAAGCATCAAAATGATGTGAAAATGGGTGCGTACGCGACACGGAAGAGGTTCGAGCGGACTGCGCGCGCCGCGCATCCTCCCGCGTTCACCTGGTGGACCATATTTCGGCAACGGATTGATGGATTTCGATTTAAAAAATTGATCATTATTTATTACACAAAAAGGAACAACTTTTGTTATGAACATTTTCTTCTATTTGCCAATGTTTCCCATAAAAAAAAATCATCAAAAAAACCACTTAATTTGTTTATAACTATTAATTGCACGCATTTACATAAAAAATACCACCGGATTCGGATTTCTCATACCCGAAAACATAAGAAAACACCTCAAAACCTTACCGCACTAGAAGTGCACACGGGAAGGGGGTATTGCGTGTGGACTAGCATACGCCCCGGCCTATTACGAAGATGTTATGACTTGCATTAGTTGACCATTGCCCCCGCTGATTTATTTTTAATCCATCATCTTCATAATTCGCAAGGCGATATCCCACTCACGATAACGTGATTTCATTGAAAGAACCGAATTGATAGAAAAGTCTGTGGTTTCGAACTGATAAATCTGTATCGAGAGTTCGATGCTGCACAGTCATATAATTTTTCAACGAAGTATGATTGATGGCTCTTTGTGAGGATTGGATTGAGTTACTGACATTAGTTATCAACAACTGAGTAATCAACGATGAAGTATGTCTTGTTTTTCCTTCTGTTGTGCATTTCAAATACTTCATTGATGAAAAGTAATCGAAAGGTGATTGTCATTGGTGCTGGTGCCGCGGGTATAGCTGCTGCCTCGAAATTGATGCAGAATGGGTTTGATGATGTCATTATTTTGGAAGTTGAGAACAGATATGGTGGGAGGATTTATTCAACGAGGATAGGTAAACCTATTCAATTAATTCAGTAGCGGAGTGGTGAAACGGTACCAGTCAATTTTGACTATTGACCAGTTTATAAATAAATATCTCGGAATCTGAGGGAGATAGTTAAATTTTTGTTATAACCTTTTTTGTAGAGCCGGTTGAGAGCTACAATAAATCTGTCGTAATTACGAAATTTCGCTATCTCCCTTAGATTCCGAAATATTCCTCAAAAACTCAACTTGGAGATGAGTCGACTTAAACTGTTTTACCACTTCGCTACTGAATTCATCATCAAATGTGAATAAATGATCCATATCTCTGGGGGAACATCGCAGGGGAGTACTGGGGGGATTTGGGTGCCCAGTGGGTCCACGGGACAGAAGGAAATGTTGTTTATGAACTCGCTTCGCCATTGGGTCTTCTCTCGACCTCACGCGGCCCAGGAGAACCCGAAGAGCCGCCTTTTCAAGTCAAACTTTGCGGATCTTCGGGGAATACATTACCAGCGGAAGTCACGCAAGGTGTGTTTGATTATATAGATACTATTATGCATAATTACACAGGACTTGAGGATTTGAAGACTGGTTCTGTTGGAGAATACGTAGAAACCAGGTAATGGAATTGAAGCGAATGGGAGAATTCTTTGGATCAATATTTCATTCATTCTAGATTCAATGAGTGGTTGAAAACACATCCGGAAATTAACGATGAGCTTCGCAAATCACTGTTGCATAATGTAAAATTAACGACGCTGTCAGAGGAGGGTGCAGATGATTGGAATAAAGTATCCGTATTTGGATCTAAAGATGCTCCTGCGTGTTTGGGTTTCAATGAAATCAATTGGAAGGAAAGAGCTTATGATACAATTTTCGATATTATGATGGTGAGTAAAGAGTGAAAACACAATCACGACCGGAATTCTGAGACGCAATAAACGATTTCAATCTCTTAGAAACGGCACCCAAATGCCGAAAACGAACTCCCTGTCTTAAATAAAACATTCTTGAACAAAAAAGTCTGCAAAATAAATTATGCCGAGGAAGGGCCGGTGAGAGTGACTACTACAGATGGGCATGAATACACAGCTGATCATGTTATTTTTACTGGATCGTTGGGAGTTTTGAAAGCTGATCACGAGAAGATTTTCGAGCCTTCGCTACCAGAGAAGAACAGAAATGCTATTCAGCGGATTGGAATGGGCAGAAATGCTAAAATTTTGATGTATTATGAGAATCCCTGGTGGAAACCACGAAATCACACACTCAACTCGTTCTATTGGACCGAGAAGGATAGGAAAGAAATTGAAAATGACGTAAGTGTCAATGATATATTTTAATTTTAATTAAAGAGCAAATAAACAAAAAAACCTGCACTGGTAAAATTTTTTCGAAATTTCCCGGAAAATATGGTAGTAATTCTCATGAGAGTGACATTGACATGAATTCAAGGAAATTCATGAGTTTTCAGTGACAGTGAGACGCAAATTTCACAACTTGATTGAATGTTCAATGAACATGAACATTGAGAAAAAAAATGACATGAATTTTCAATTTTTCCAAATTTTCCCGGAAAAATGGAACTGAAAGATCAAAATTTTTATTGATTTTCAGATTATTTGAACAGAAAAACAACGGAACATTTGATTTTTCAATGACAATATTTCCTCAAATTCAGTGAAAATTAAACATGATAAAAATTTCCGGGATTTGATAGTAAAAATTCAGACGAAAATTTTTAACAGTGGGTTCCAAGCAATGATCGGCATCAATCATTATTTCTGAAATATTAAGAGTATTATTTCCCCAAATAACCGAATTCATTCGTTTATCATTGGGACTTGGAAAATAATAAATAATTGAGAATTAAAATTTTTTCAATAACTATTAAATAATTGGAAATTTTTTCAAAAAAATATTGGAGATTATCAAATAATTGTCATTCTTCCGAATTCGATTATTGATTGGTAAAATAATTCGGAATTCAGATATGTAATTGTTGATTAATTTAATAATTGAAAATTGTTAAGTTCTATTACTTGATTGAGGATTATGAAATTAATGGCAATGATAATTTATGATTATGCCTATCTCTGGTCCTAAGAAAACGATGTTTTCAGCCTGAAAGGAGTTGGATATTGGGAATAATAGACGACAGCATAGTCGAGTACAAGCCGAAATTGTACCTTCTCTGGATGAGTGGACCCTACGCTGAGCAAATGGAGCGAATACCTGATGAACAATTCAAGAAACAAATAGTGGAATTTCTAAGAAAATTCTTCGGAAGCACTTGCGAAATCACAGAGCCAACCAAAATTATAAGATCCTTTTGGAACACAAATGACAACTTCCGGGGGACTTACAGTTATCAAACTATGCAATCTGTTAGAACGCACGTGGGACCGCGTGATCTTGGAGCGCCAGTAATGCGTAAAGGGGTGCCTGTTCTGCAGTTCGCGGGTGAAGCTACTGATCCGGCCCATTTCTCGACTGTCCACGGCGCGATAACTTCCGGCTGGCGTGAGGCGGATCGCCTCATAAATTTTTATAATCAAAAATTATCTGACCAATAAAGCATTCTGCCATTTTCATTCCACTCTTTTTCTGCCCATACGGAAATATATATATTTTGAAAATTATATATTTTATGTATGGAATTGACCTGATTGATATAAAAGTTATATAAAATATAAATTTATATATGACGAGAAAAAATGGACGAATAGTATTATTGGATGAAATAGCATTGGACCAAAAGATATTGGACCAATGAAAATTGGACGAAAAGTACCGCTCCCGTTCCATATATATTTTATATAAATCTTATATATATTTGAAGAATATATTAAACTGGCCAAAGACTGAGGCAGTCAATTTACTTATTTGTAGGCAGAGTAACCTTTTTTCTTTTGATAAGACTAATTGTAAGTTACGTTGTAATTGATACTAGTCAAAACGAAAATTTTGTATCTAGTTATTAGATCAGTCCCTATGGCATTTATATTTTTTTTTTGTGATTACGCAATATTGTTTGTAACACGTTATTATACTCAACATTTCTATCTGGGAGTTAATATTAAAGGGAAGGGAACAAAAATGTCAAGACCCGAGAGGGTATACATATGGATGAATAAAATAAAATAAAATATTAAACTGGCCTATATTATATGTATTTTGTATCTATTTTTCCATGGAGGTGACTGAAAAAATTCCCACGAAAGACAATTATTATTATGGTTGAAGACATGAATAGCGATTGAGACCACACTATTTTAAACATAACAACGAATTGAAAATTGTAGTAAACACTCCAGGAAATTTTTCATTGTATAGCATCAAACAAGTGCGAATTGGGCTGTTCTTCAGCGTTGATTTCTGGATATTTTAGACGAAGAACAGATTGGAGTCCTCGTTATATTGAATTTTAGAACTCTTCAGTTATCAGTCTATTACAATTTTTGCTAAGAAAACTGCAAAAAAACGAATTAATAGACCACCCCATTTTAATAATTATCGTGTCCTTTCTCCATTGAAGACACCATTACAATTTAAATATCACAAAAACACTCAGCATGATTCTGACATTCACACAGACAGACACAACGTCACCCTAATTCAAACCCAAAATACACGGCCAGTTCGTCGCAGTAAAGCCTATGAGGCAGACGTGTTGTCACGTTTATCGTATTATATCGGTGCTGGTCTATTACATCTCGTCCCACATAATCTACATCTCAGAAAGCACTCACTCGCTCACGCATGTGTTACATTGACTTGCATCGGTTGACCATTGCCCCACTGATTTATTTTTAATACATCATCTTCATAATTCGTTAGGCAACAACCCGCTTACGATAACCCGATTTCATCGGAAAAAAATGCGAGATAGGAAATCCAGCAGTTTTAAACTGATGAATCTACATCGATAGTTCAGTACTTCACGGTCATCGAATTCATTAACAAAGCAGTCGATTGCTGTATAAAAGGATCGGATAGATTTAATAAAATCGGTTATCACCAATCGAGTAATCAACGATGAAGTGTTTTGTGCTCTTCTATTTATTTTGCATTTCAAAAAGCTTGTCGGTTAATGGTAATCCAAAGGTGATTATCGTTGGTGCTGGTGCGGCGGGTATAGCAGCGGCTTCCAAATTAATACAGAATGGGATTGATGATGTCATCATTCTAGAGGCTGAGAACAGATATGGGGGGAGGATTAACTCAACGAGGATCGGTAATGTTAATTAATTCACAATGTTGAAAATTTTCGTCTCAATTTTCCCTGCCAAATTCTGGAAATTTTTATCGTGCTGAATTTTCACTGAAGTTTCAGGAACTCAATTCAATTATTTATTTCCTTGGTAACAACAAAAATTTTTCTTTGTTTTATATCTACATATGATTCTCTCTTCCTTCACCATAGAACTGCACGGGGAATTCGTTAGAAAATTCTATTGAATTTCTATTGAACTGTTCTATTAGTTTTTGGCCGATTCTATTGAAATGTTCAATAGAAAGTATTCAGTAGAAAAAGTCAACAGAATTAAATTTTTCTATGTAACTTATTCGATTGAGATATTTTCTGTAGAATTTCCTCGGCTCAAATTTTCCAAGTTTTTTCGTTTGATTTTCTTGATGAGAAGAAAAGAAAAATAGAATGAAAAAAAATTAGAAAATTTAAGTTATATAGAAAAATCGAATTCTGTTGACTTTTTCTATTGAACATGTCAATAGAATCAGCGAAAAACTAATAGAAAATTTAAGAGCAATTCAATAGAATTTTCTAACGAATTGGACAGGTTTTTCTATTAAAATTTTTCGTGCGTGTGAGAAGTTTCAAAAAATGTTGTCATCGAAAAATCAAATATTCCATTGATTTTCGGTTCGAGTGATCTAAAAATCAATAAAATACTTGTTTTTTTCAGTTCAATTATTTTGTGAAACTTTAGAAAAATCTGGATAATTCAATGAAAATTTGACAATTCATGTGATTTTGTTCCTGAATATTCATTGAACCATTGAAAATTCAATCAAGTTGTGAAATTTACATATCACTCTCAGTGAAAACTCATCAATTTCTCAAATTCGAGAACTACTATGATATTTTCCAAGAAATTTCAAAAAATTTCTAACAGTGCACGAACGATTATGAATAAATGATCGAGATCATTGAAAATTTGGAACATCGCAGGGGAGTACTGGGCGGATCTGGGGGGCCAATGGGTCCACGGGGTGGAGGGAAACGTCGCTTATGAACTCGCCTCGCCACTGGGACTCCTTTCGAAATCTCGTCGCCCAGGCGGACCTGAAGAGCCTCCACTTACATCTAAGCTACGTGAATCTACGGGGAATACATTGTCAGAGGAAATTACGGCGGCTCTACTAGAGCATGTGGAATCTATCTCTTCTAATTACACGGGAATTGAAGAACTGAAGACCGGCTCTTATGGAGAATATTTCGAAACAAAGTAATTATAAGATGACGAATCGGACAGGGAAATGATCATTTTTGTTTTTAACCCTCGACCACTTTATATTTTAGCGTGTTTCTCGACGCTTAAAAATTCTGAAACAATTAAAGTTCCTAGTTCAATCCTTTCATTAAGCGTTAGCGTTGTCCGTTTTTTTCTCGGAAAATTTGTTTAGCTAAACAAAGAAAAGAAACGTCGAATGAACAGACAAACGGCGCCGCGTCTCCCGGCGCCAGTGTTGCTACATTCGCTGGCACACATGGAATGCGCCTATAGCGGTAAGCGGCAAGGCGGCAACAGCGCGCTCGGTTTAACCCGGGGACGCTGCGCTAACCGCACGACGGATCAAGGCCAGCGGCCGAGCGCGAGTGATCGAGGGTTAATTGTAATGCAATTAATTGTAGGTTCAAGGACTGGTTTGAAAAGCATCCGGAAATCAGCGCTAACTTGCGAAAGCCATTACTACATAATATGGAACTAATGACAATGGCAGCGGAAGGTGCAGATGACTGGAATAAAGTATCTATACTTGGATCTACACAAGCCCCTGCGTGCGCTGGTTTCAACGAGATCAATTGGAAGGATAGGGCTTATGGCACAATTTTAGATATCATGATGGTGAGTAAAGGATGAGAAAGTAGTATACACGGAAAAGAAAGTTGGAGAATAATTACCGAATAAGTCAACACTGAGAAAAATAATTACTTTTGCCAAAGAATTATTTTCTTGGGAGACGAATTAATTAATTTCTGTGGGGGTGAATTTTTCCAGACAAGCTATTTCCTCTCCCTTGACAATTATTAACATTTGGAATTATTTCAAATTATTTTGCGTAAGAAAATCTCAAATGAAAATCTGCGGGGGCTGTATCTTTGATACAGCCGTAATTTTACGCGGGTACGTCTATGGTCTTCAAATCCAAAATTTGTGATCAATAAATTTCATATCTTTCGTGCATCAATAACCAATTGTTGGTATACTGCCGATCAGCGCATAAAATCCCTCAAAAATGTAATTTGATTCAATAAAAACTGGAGAATTTTGTAGAAAATTCTAGAATTCCGATAGATGGCGCCACTGCCGATAAGGAACCATAAGGACTTTTTCCTTAAATGCGCCCCCCCCCCCCAAAAAGTTGAAAAATAATGAAGGGTGTTCATTCAGGGTCATATCTAGCGTAATCATCTCATGATTCAACATAATTGTGAAATTTTGAGACGAACAAGGATCGCCTGGGCGTGACTTGTCTGGAAATACGCTCCTAAAAAAATGAATTCTTCTTTCACGATTACATTTCGTACAGCAAAATATGCCACTATTTTCTGGGTAATTTTTATCCAACTTTTCTCTCTGTATAAGCATTCTGAGTGTCAATAAACCAATTTAATTGCTCAGAAAAGGTATCCAAATCTCGATGATGAACTGCCTGTTTTGAATAAAACTTTGCTGAATAAAAAAGTCTCAAAGATAAATTATGGCGAGGAAGGATCGGTAAAAGTGACCACTACAGATGGGAATGAATACACGGCTGATCATGTTATTTTTACTGCATCATTGGGAGTTCTCAAGGCAGATCATGCGAGAATTTTTAAGCCTCCTCTGCCAGAAAAAAATAAGAATGCTATTGAGCGACTAGGAATGGGTAAAAATGCGAAAATCCTGATGTATTACGAGAATCCCTGGTGGAAATCTCGAGAAAATACACACAATTCGTTCTATTGGACGGAGGAGGATAGGAATGAAATAGAAAATGACGTGAGTATTAATTCCTAGAATAAACAACGTATGTGTGGCGCTCTATTTTCCGTAATTTCCCCATCCACCCATTCCACATAATCCAGACAGCCAAACGAAAATGATTATGAGGATATATTGCCAAGATATTTCAGTAGCGAAGCCGTAAAACGGCTCAAGTAGATTTTGACAATTGATCAGTTTTCAATGAATATCTCAACATTTAAGGGAGATAGCGAGATAGAAAAAATGCAAGATATGACACTTTTGGCCCCAGGTAAAAAAAAAGTTTTTAATGTTTTACTTTTCCCATATACTATTGAGAGTTCTGGATAGCCCGTCACTTAAATAGTCGGAATTGACTTTCACTTGGCGGAAAAATTCGATTTTGGCGAAAGTCGACTTTTCCCCCGAAAAAAGCCTAAATACGACACCTATGGCTCGGGGTGGAAAAAAAAATTTTTTTATTTCTGCCTTTCTGGGGCAAGTGAGGGTCTCAGGGGTATCAGGCGGGCCAGAAAATATAGAATCAGCGTTTACCCGGCGGATAAATTCGAATTTGGCGAAAGTCGACTTTCCCCCCCGAAAAAAGCCTAAATACGACACCTATGGCTCGGGGTGGAAAAAAAAATTTTTTTATTTCTGCCTTTCTGGGGCAAGTGAGGGTCTCAGGGGTATCAGGCGGGCCAGAAAATATAGAATCAGCGTTTACCCGGCGGATAAATTCGAATTTGGCGAAAGTCGACTTTCCCCCCCGAAAAAAGCCTAAATACGACACCTATGGCTCGGGGTGGAAAAAAAAATTTTTTTATTTCTGCCTTTCTGGGGCAAGTGAGGGTCTCAGGGGTATCAGGCGGGCCAGAAAATATAGAATCAGCGTTTACCCGGCGGATAAATTCGAATTTGGCGAAAGTCGACTTTCCCCCCCGAAAAAAGCCTAAATACGACACCTATGGCTCGGGGTGGAAAAAAAAATTTTTTTATTTCTGCCTTTCTGGGGCAAGTGAGGGTCTCAGGGGTATCAGGCGGGCCAGAAAATATAGAATCAGCGTTTACCCGGCGGATAAATTCGAATTTGGCGAAAGTCGACTTTCCCCCCCGAAAAAAGCCTAAATACGACACCTATGGCTCGGGGTGGAAAAAAAAATTTTTTTATTTCTGCCTTTCTGGGGCAAGTGAGGGTCTCAGGGGTATCAGGCGGGCCAGAAAATATAGAATCAGCGTTTACCCGGCGGATAAATTCGAATTTGGCGAAAGTCGACTTTCCCCCCCGAAAAAAGCCTAAATACGACACCTATGGCTCGGGGTGGAAAAAAAAATTTTTTTATTTCTGCCTTTCTGGGGCAAGTGAGGGTCTCAGGGGTATCAGGCGGGCCAGAAAATATAGAATCAGCGTTTACCCGGCGGATAAATTCGAATTTGGCGAAAGTCGACTTTCCCCCCCGAAAAAAGCCTAAATACGACACCTATGGCTCGGGGTGGAAAAAAAAATTTTTTTATTTCTGCCTTTCTGGGGCAAGTGAGGGTCTCAGGGGTATCAGGCGGGCCAGAAAATATAGAATCAGCGTTTACCCGGCGGATAAATTCGAATTTGGCGAAAGTCGACTTTCCCCCCCGAAAAAAGCCTAAATACGACACCTATGGCTCGGGGTGGAAAAAAAAATTTTTTTATTTCTGCCTTTCTGGGGCAAGTGAGGGTCTCAGGGGTATCAGGCGGGCCAGAAAATATAGAATCAGCGTTTACCCGGCGGATAAATTCGAATTTGGCGAAAGTCGACTTTCCCCCCCGAAAAAAGCCTAAATACGACACCTATGGCTCGGGGTGGAAAAAAAAATTTTTTTATTTCTGCCTTTCTGGGGCAAGTGAGGGTCTCAGGGGTATCAGGCGGGCCAGAAAATATAGAATCAGCGTTTACCCGGCGGATAAATTCGAATTTGGCGAAAGTCGACTTTCCCCCCCGAAAAAAGCCTAAATACGACACCTATGGCTCGGGGTGGAAAAAAAAATTTTTTTATTTCTGCCTTTCTGGGGCAAGTGAGGGTCTCAGGGGTATCAGGCGGGCCAGAAAATATAGAATCAGCGTTTACCCGGCGGATAAATTCGAATTTGGCGAAAGTCGACTTTCCCCCCCGAAAAAAGCCTAAATACGACACCTATGGCTCGGGGTGGAAAAAAAAATTTTTTTATTTCTGCCTTTCTGGGGCAAGTGAGGGTCTCAGGGGTATCAGGCGGGCCAGAAAATATAGAATCAGCGTTTACCCGGCGGATAAATTCGAATTTGGCGAAAGTCGACTTTCCCCCCCGAAAAAAGCCTAAATACGACACCTATGGCTCGGGGTGGAAAAAAAAATTTTTTTATTTCTGCCTTTCTGGGGCAAGTGAGGGTCTCAGGGGTATCAGGCGGGCCAGAAAATATAGAATCAGCGTTTACCCGGCGGATAAATTCGAATTTGGCGAAAGTCGACTTTCCCCCCCGAAAAAAGCCTAAATACGACACCTATGGCTCGGGGTGGAAAAAAAAATTTTTTTATTTCTGCCTTTCTGGGGCAAGTGAGGGTCTCAGGGGTATCAGGCGGGCCAGAAAATATAGAATCAGCGTTTACCCGGCGGATAAATTCGAATTTGGCGAAAGTCGACTTTCCCCCCCGAAAAAAGCCTAAATACGACACCTATGGCTCGGGGTGGAAAAAAAAATTTTTTTATTTCTGCCTTTCTGGGGCAAGTGAGGGTCTCAGGGGTATCAGGCGGGCCAGAAAATATAGAATCAGCGTTTACCCGGCGGATAAATTCGAATTTGGCGAAAGTCGACTTTCCCCCCCGAAAAAAGCCTAAATACGACACCTATGGCTCGGGGTGGAAAAAAAAATTTTTTTATTTCTGCCTTTCTGGGGCAAGTGAGGGTCTCAGGGGTATCAGGCGGGCCAGAAAATATAGAATCAGCGTTTACCCGGCGGATAAATTCGAATTTGGCGAAAGTCGACTTTCCCCCCCGAAAAAAGCCTAAATACGACACCTATGGCTCGGGGTGGAAAAAAAAATTTTTTTATTTCTGCCTTTCTGGGGCAAGTGAGGGTCTCAGGGGTATCAGGCGGGCCAGAAAATATAGAATCAGCGTTTACCCGGCGGATAAATTCGAATTTGGCGAAAGTCGACTTTCCCCCCCGAAAAAAGCCTAAATACGACACCTATGGCTCGGGGTGGAAAAAAAAATTTTTTTATTTCTGCCTTTCTGGGGCAAGTGAGGGTCTCAGGGGTATCAGGCGGGCCAGAAAATATAGAATCAGCGTTTACCCGGCGGATAAATTCGAATTTGGCGAAAGTCGACTTTCCCCCCCGAAAAAAGCCTAAATACGACACCTATGGCTCGGGGTGGAAAAAAAAATTTTTTTATTTCTGCCTTTCTGGGGCAAGTGAGGGTCTCAGGGGTATCAGGCGGGCCAGAAAATATAGAATCAGCGTTTACCCGGCGGATAAATTCGAATTTGGCGAAAGTCGACTTTCCCCCCCGAAAAAAGCCTAAATACGACACCTATGGCTCGGGGTGGAAAAAAAAATTTTTTTATTTCTGCCTTTCTGGGGCAAGTGAGGGTCTCAGGGGTATCAGGCGGGCCAGAAAATATAGAATCAGCGTTTACCCGGCGGATAAATTCGAATTTGGCGAAAGTCGACTTTCCCCCCGAAAAAAGCCTAAATACGACACCTATGGCTCGGGGTGGAAAAAAAAAATTTTTTATTTCTGCCTTTCCGGGGCAAGTGAGGGTCTCAGGGGTATCAGGCGGGCCAGAAAATATAGAATCAGCGTTTACCCGGCGGATAAATTCGAATTTGGCGAAAGTCGACTTTCCCCCCGAAAAAAGCCTAAATACGACACCTATGGCTCGGGGTGGAAAAAAAAAATTTTTTATTTCTGCCTTTCCCGGGCAAGTGAGGGTCTCAGGGGTATCAGGCGGGCCAGAAAATATAGAATCACCGTTTACCCGGCGGAAAAATTCGAATTTGGCGAAAGTCGACTTTCCCCCCGAAAAAAGCCTAAATACGACACTACGGCTCGGGGTGGAAAAATTTTTTTTTTATTTCTGCATTTCTGGGGCAAGTGAAGTGCGCATTGTCATTAAGGGGGCAAGAAAATACAGAATCAACCTGCCCTCGGCGGTAAAATTCGATTTTGGCCTAAATCGACACTTTTGGCCCTGAATGAAAAATTTTTTTTTTATTTTTTACTTTTCTCACATACTGTTGAAAGTTTTGGATAGCCCGTCACTTGAATCGTCGGAATCAACTAACACTCGGCGAAAAAATATGATTTTGCCGGAAGTCGACTTTCCCCCTGAAAATAGCCTAGATATGACACTTCGGCCCCGGGGGGAAACAACAAATTTTTTTACTTCTACATTTCTGGGGCCTCCGAGTGTCACATTAGTCGACTGTCAAGACATTTCCAGAAGATATCTCCAATACCGAACCCTTTTTAACCACCCTATCAGAATCTGCCCATCCGGGAATGTGTCCACAAATTTCCGTGCCCATCTGTTCCACCCCCTTCCGTACTATCTTCATTTTTCTCTAGAACGTGTCCAAAACGAAATGTGTTCATCTGCGATTGTACAAACGACCCCCTCCCTATTGGTTCAGCGTTCAACTACCCTGTTACGTCATTCGCGATTTTACAGCGTTTAAAATCTTCAACTTTCGACAATCAATTATTAATTAGCGAGCCATATTTCTAATGTTTATAAATGAAAAATTAATCATTTAGGGCTGAAACTTGAGATTAACAAATTTTTTTAAAAATTCATGCAAATTCTTCATTACTATAATTCCTGATTTTATATGAAATTAAGAAGCTAACGATAAAAAAAATATGAAATTAAGATTCAATATATTTTCAGTCTGACAAAAGTTGGCTGTTAGGATTGGCGTACGACAGCATAGTCGAGTATAAACCGAAACTGTATTTTCTCTGGTTGAGCGGACCCTACGCTGAACAGATGGAGCGAATCCCTGATGATCAGTTGAGAAATCAGACTGTGGAATTCCTCCAAAAATTCTTGGGAAGCACTGGCAACATAACAGAACCCACCGAAATCATAAGATCGTTCTGGAACACCAATGAGAATTTCCGTGGGTCTTACAGCTTCCCAACGATGCAATCTGTCGGAACTAACGCGGGTCCTCATGATCTAGGAACGCCGGTAATGCGGAAAGGAGTTCCTGTTCTGCAATTCGCGGGTGAAGCTACTGATCCGGCTCATTTCTCGAATGTCCACGGGGCGATTGTTTCCGGCTGGCGGGAGGCGGATCGACTGATAAATTTGTATTCCAAAGAATAAATTCTTGGCATTTCAATGAAATGTTAAACCCGTTTGCATCAGTTCAACGATTAATTTCTTTCAATCCTAGTCTCGTCACCATGCGCGACCCTGCGGCTTTGGTCATCTGCGCGATAATTGACGCGCTATTTAGGCTTCGGCGTTGCCGGATTCACTCTACATAAGAGATTTGATGATTCTCGAGGCGGAAAATGTAATTGGTGGTCGAGTGAGAAGCATTCGAATGAGTACGGAACATTATGACTTCAAATTGAAACTTTTGAAGGTCTGAAATTGAGATTTTTTGACGCGTCAAAGTAGCTCTAATCCTCGGCCAGGCTACACTGCACTTTGGAAATTTTCAGTTTTTGGATTTTTCAACTAAAATGCATGGCAAAAATTTAAAAAAAATTCAAACCTTTCCTTCTGATAATTAAATGATAAAACTTGTTTCCAAAACGGTAGATTATTTTTTATAAGGTGTTAAAAAAATTATTGATTTTTTTCACATCTGATGGAAAAAAATTCAGATTTTAATCTTTGATTCCAATGGAAATATCTATTTTCACCTAAGACACAGGATTAAATTCTGATTGTTAAACATTTCTCCTTTGAAAAACTAAAACGATAGTTAAATGGAGAAAAAAAATTCAGATTCTGAATTTTTCACTTTCAGCCTCACAGTATCCCAACTCCTCACCATTTTACGGTAGTGTGAATGCACATTTCTTATGACGTTCCCTCACGAGCTAAAAACAAAAAAATTCAAATGGAGATAGAGTCGAATGTTGATTTATCAGGACTTCGTTTATTTTAACTGAAGTGCAGCTGAAATCTCCACACCCCACCAAAATGAATCGATAAATCCTGATTGTCAACCGCTCCAGTGACATGCGGCCAATAATTCTGAATTACTCCCGACACTCGAATCCTCTTCAATTTCATTAGAACCTTTTCCCACACTTTATATTAGTACCAACGTTTTAAGCAAGACAAAAGTCAATACTCAAGAGCTCTATATAAAGAGCCGAGGATTCTGTAAAGGAGGAGACATTCGCAAGAGTGCCGAGCGCGAGTCCACACGTACGAAAAAAATTTAATATTAAAACCTAGCGAATTCGCTATACAATTCTATTGGATTTCTATTGAACTTTCTATTAGTTTTTGACCGAAAAAGGCAAGAGAATTCTATTTTTTATACAACTTATTCTATTTAGATATTTTCTATAGACTTTCCTCGGCTCAAATGTTCCAAGTTTTTTTGTTCGATTTTCTTGAGGAATAGAAAGAAAAAATGGAATGAAAAAAACACGAAAGATTTGAGTCGAGAAAATTGTACAAAAAAAATCTCAGTAGAATAAATTGTATAGAAAAATCGAATTTGATTGACTTTTTCTACAGAATATTTTCTATTGAACATTTCAATAGCATCGGCCAAAAACGAATATGAGTTTCAATGGAAATCCAATAGAATCCAATCTAATAGAATAGTCTAGCGAATTCGCTAGGTTTTTCTATTAAATTTTTTCGCACGTGTAGAACCTTCTCCTGCCCTTCTACGTGAGGATCTAGATTTTAAATCAATCACGAAAAATTTGATATGAATGTGCAAGACCAATTTTGGCTGTTGTTATTTTTTATCTTGAGTGGTCAGTGCTGGATAAAGGGAATCAACTCGTCGCAGTGTAATCATTCTACTTTTGGTAAATTCGTACTTCAAACAGACTTGTGAAGGATAAAATTCAGTACTGTATCCCCTCAAAATCCTGATCAAGTTGGATTGTCTTAATTTTATGAATGCAGGAAAGCTTTTACATGGGCTACACAAAGATGTCGAATTCATGCACACGAGGAGGAATCAGTTGAACGTCGATTCGGCTTTCGGATTAGCTTTAGCCGAAGGTGAGAAGATATGAACGTCTCATTCATTAATTTCATCGACTCTAAACCGGGTGCTTACTTACAGCCAATCTCGGAATGATATTGACTTCCGAAAATTGGAAATATCTGAACGATGAAGATTTCAACTTGGTATTTGAAATTCGTGAATTAGCCGCTGAATCACGGAAATATGTTCAGGAGAATTTGAGAACCGAAAAAGATCGGATATTCTCAAAAGGTCAGTAATTACCCACATCGAAAAAATATATCCCTGACGAATATATCCCTGATCCTCATGACCATTATTTTGGCCCTTGTGACCCTTCATCTGACCCTCATGACCCTTAATTTGATCCTCGTGACCCTTATTCTGACCCATAAAACCCTGATTCTGAACTTCGTGACCTTTATTCTGACCCTCAAAACCCTGATTCTGAACCTCATGACCCTTATTCTGATCCTCATGACCATTATCTTGGCCCTTAATTGTGGAATCTTAATTTCGAGTACCAAATTTTCATCACCAGAAGTCGATTTGGATTTTTATAATATAAACGGATATATGAGATATATTAGATATATTTTTGGCAAAAAACAATATCCAAGATATATGCGAGATATAAGTTTGCGGATATATCCACACACTTATATTCAACATATATCTCGGATATTGTATATTTTGCCACAGATATAAGGGTCATATTTGAAATCTATCCACGGATATATATTTTTTCTGTGGGTGCCTCAATAGCAATATTTCCCCATCATAATTGTTTTTTTTATTGAATTGCATATTTTCCCCCTTCATTCTCGCGTTGCAGTCCTGACAAATGTGGACTTATGGATTCGCCCAATATCTTGGAAACATGTTTCTTCCCTGCCAATGACATCACCGAATCCAAATTTAAGCGATTTGACGATTAATGACGTGATACACGCCGGAGCTCCCAAAGAAAACGAGAGTGACTATTGCCTATTACTCCTGATCAATCAGTCCTTAAGTGGGAAATCCTGTCAGTTATCGAATGAATGCATCGAGATGATGATGAAGGAGGATGGCTCGAGGGGGTATGCAATGACCCATCGTTTGCTCATCATTCAAGTTGCAAATGCTGTAAGTAGTGAAAGCCATGCTCCCTTCATCATCTACACGTTTTCCTCCAATGACTGTTTATAAAATTCATTCACTAGCGAAGCGGTAAAACTGTTTAACCCATTGAACAGCCTCACAGTACCTCATATCTCCGAATCTAAGGGAGATAACAAATTTTTCGCAATGAATATCTCGAAATCTAGGGGAGATAGTAAAATTTTTGTCATGACCTTTTTTGTAGAGCGAATTGTGGGCTACAAAAAAGGTCATGACAAAAATGTTGCTATCACCCCTAGATTTCGAGATATTCATCGAAAGCTGGCCAATGGTCAAAATCGACTTAACCCTCGATCACTCGCTTCCGGCTGGTTACACCGGGCGCGCTGTTGCCACCTTGGCGCTTACAGTTATGCGCGCATTCCAAGCGTGGTAGTGAATGTAGCAACACTGTCGCTCGAAGGGTCGACAGGGACTCGCAGCGCGCGGCGCGGCGCCGCTTTTCTATCCGTTCGACGTTTCTTTTCTTTTTTTAGCTAAACAAATTTCCCGAGAAAAAAACGGACAACGCCAACGCTTAATAAAAGGATTGAACTGGGAACTCTAATTTTTTCAGAATTTTAAAGCGTTGAGAAACACGCAAAACTATAAAAAAACGAAAACGGGCGGCGCCGCGCTCATTGAGCGAGTGATCGAGGATTAAACTGTTCTAAAATTTCGCTATTGAATTATGAAAATATCTCCTCTCAGTTGACCTGTGACCAACATCCATCGATGGATTCTAAACCTCTAATTGAAGAATTCTGCCGAAATATCTATCAAGATCTGCTAGATCTAGAAGCCTCGGGATTCCCTGGAGTCGGAGTGGATCTGGCGATTGAGCAAAGTAATCCATATTTCCACACCGAATGAAAATATTCCCAGGAAAGAAATGGTGAATTTTTTTTTACGAAGAAAATAATTTCAGTCTTTCTCTGCGGCATGGAAGGCTACTCAGAATTCGTCACAAGTCATTACAAAAACCTTCTACTGGGTCTACCAAATTTCCTGGGATGCTACTCAGCTAGAGGGTATTCGCCTAAACCACCAATCGTTACTTGATTTTTTGACGACTCATATTTTGCTCTGATTTTCAGATTTCAACGGAAGAGATATCCCCGATATTATCGAACTAAGAGATCATCAAACCCCATGGATTATGGGTGTGACAATCACACGTCTGGAGTAGCTGCTGCAGCATTGAGCTTGCTACTTCGAGAATGCATCGAGAGCAGTGAATTTTATATTGATGAAAATTCAGATACTCGATTTATGGAATATTCATAAAACTTTCGAACCAGTTCTTTAGTTTGCTGTATACCCAACAGCTTGGTCTACATCCGGTACTATTCATGAGAATGTTAGCTCAGGATGGCGTGAAGCTGATCATCTAATTTATCAAACTCCCGATGCGTAATGATGCGATTTGAAAATTTTTTTTTCAATCGACGTGTGTTAATATAACTCAGAACTGATTAGTTTACGACGCTGATCGTCTCAGCGGTTCGTTAGTTATTTTCATAAAACGTGTGAAAAAAATGAGTGAAAATTTAGAAATTTCACCGACAGACATCGGGATAATCATAATTTTTAATTCCAGTTAAGTTTTGAGTGAATCAATTGTTAATACTACTCACTAATTTTTTGGTTATTAAATTAACCATCAATTTAAATCTTCAAATTCCGAATTCTTTTAAAAACCATGAACTTGAATTTTCAAATTCCGAATTATTTTATTAACCAATAATTGAGAAATTTAAATTACCAATTATTATATTATTTTTCAAATTTCAATGAAGATAAGTAAAAACTTGTTTATTGTAAGGGGCAACTTCTCATAATATTACTAAAGTAATGATTGATGCTGATCTATGTTTACCGAGAATAATGATGGGATTGGATTTTTTTGTGGTACGATCGATGCATCTACATTTCATGCCATTCGATTTTGATTGAATGCTGAGCACAATTGTCCCAGCCGTTTTCTCGTTATCCGGATGGTCGTTTCAAAATTTTCTTTTCTGCGTAAAAAATTATATTGATAAGAAATTAAATTAAAAACTTATTATCTTCTCTGAAGAGTTCTTTTCAACATCTCCTTTCATTGAATCCTCTGCAATAAATTCCTCGCTATTTTCCTGTGAATTCAGTCATTTCTGAGAAATTTACAAAATAATCCGCGTGAATTCTCGAAAATTCTTCGCTTTCCAAATGCTTCCAATCCTCCACCTGTCATTAGAATTATTATTCATGTATACTGTTCTCATCATACAAAGTCACTACACAGTTAACAAAACATACGTCTATGAATTAATAAATACAAAATAAATAATTGAAGTAATGGCATATGGATTGACATGAGTGTAAAATCTCGAGTGTTGTTGTCATGAGATCACAAATTTCCCCGCTGAATTATTCACGCGCGGCTGTAATTGTACGGCCTTCCGTAAGGGTCAATTTTTCCCTTTAACTTGTCGTCTTTCAATTGTCGATGGTAACTGAGGACAACCACCCACAAGTAGACGTAAATTACTGAAAAAAAATTGTTTATATGAATTTTTCAGGCATTTACGGGAATTTGTTGATTAAATCGATTCGTATTTTATGTCGTTCTTTCTCTGGTGACAGAATTTAGTAGCGAAACGATGAAACGATTTAAGGATATCCAAGAGGCTTTTACAGTTTGGTACAGACCATACTATAGATTAAATCATTTTCAATCATCAAATTTGTTTGAGGAAAATTTGAAAAAAATCATGAATGTTCAGCGTCATTGGAATTAGATTTTGAGAAGAATTATAATTTTTTTAGCATTCGTTGATTGTAAATAAATAATTGAAATTGTTTGAAGTTTCGAACAAAAGATTTTTATAGTGAAAAATTGATTTTTTATAGATTATTTATAGAAAATGCTTGTAGTTTTAAAAAATAGCGCTTTTTAAATTATTTCATCAATCTTCCTTCAAAAGTAAACTCAAATTAAAAACAAATGGTGCTCAAATAAAAGCTCTGATGTACGACTACAAAAGTAGAAAATCTATTCACTGGAGAAAAAATAGCCAAATAACTTGGATATCCTCAAGTCGACTTAGTTCTTAGCTGAGTATTTGTGGAATATCTCCGAATCTAAGGGAGATAGCAAAATTTTTGTAACCACCTTTTTTGCAGAGAAAATTACGCGCTACAAAAAAGGTCATAACAAAAATTTTGGTATCTGCCTTAGATTCCGAGATATTCACTGAAAACTGACCAATAGTCGAAATTAACTTGAACGAATCAAGTTTTACCGCATCGCTACTGAATTTTCAAGTGAAAAATTCTCACCGAAAACTATGAGACCGATCACCAGCCACAAGACGCCTCCCCATATGCTGATGTTGATCATGTGGCTTATGGCTGTGTAGAAAATACTGATCAATAATCCAATTGCTATCATGAGACCAAGTACTATCCATGGAAGCATAAGAAATCTTTTTTTCTGTGGATTAAATATGTAATTATTGTAATCATTTATTGGGGTGATAATATCAACTGGAAAATTATTGCTCGGGCTACCTTCCATGCTCCGTAAATCAATAAAGAACTGATGAAGATCGTCATGAAGAGATTTATGATCACAATTATCCTTGTGACGGTTTTGCTGAAGATGTCAACAATCACCATTCTTATCTCCATATCCGCTAGGAGTATGAGGAGTATGGTGGCTATTGATAATATCTGATGAAAATAGAAGGGATGTCAATTCATATCGCATGAATTTCTTAACGATTAATTCTCATAATAATTCAGTAACAAAACGCGTGAGAAAAAAATTTCACAGGAAAACCTAGTGAATTTGCTAGAAAATTCTACTGAATTTCTACTGAGTTTCCATTGAAAATTCTATCACCTTTAGGCCAATTCTATTGAAAAATTCCACAGCCTATCTGTGCGAAAATATTCTGTAGAAAAAATCAATAGAATTTTTCTATACAACTCATTCTATTGAGATATTTTCTGTAGAAATGTTTCGACTCAAATTTTTCACGTTTTTTGTTTGATTTTTTAAATGACAAGAGAAGAAAAGTTGAGTGGAAAATACTTGGAAAATTCAAGTCGAGGAATTTCTATAGAATGTCTGAATAGAAAAAGTTGTATAGAAAGATGGAATTCTACTGATTTTTTTCAATAACTAGTTCCTATTGCACATTTTCTGTAAAGAAACATGAACGGTTGAAATTAATAGAATTTTCTATTGGATTTCGATTGAACTTTCTCCGCAGATTCTGTGAATATTTTTATTATAACTCTACAGAATATTTTTCAATGGAAAATATTGTAAAGAAACATTCAATAGAATTCGATTTTTTAATACAATTCTGTTGAGATATTTTCTATAGAAATTCACTGGCTCAAATTTGCCAAATTTTCTTGTTTGATGTTTTTAATGAAAAGAGAAGAAAAATGAAGTAAAAAAATAGGAAAATTCATGTCGAAGAATTTCTATAGAAAAAGTTGTATAGAGATTAAATTCAGATTTTTTCTATAAAATAATTTCTATTGAACATTGTCAATAGCAAATATTTTTCTCATCCCATACAATGCCCAAAAATCCAGTGAACAAAGTTCCGAATCTGAGACTCCATCGGCAGCAGCAGCTGTTGACTCGCACTCTAAAGCAAAAAGGAAATTATAAAAATTGATATCGAAATTAATGTTTCAACAGACGTATTTTCATGTTATGATTTGATTGAATTTCGCTGAGAATTCCAAAAAAAATTGAGAATAGAGAATGATATATGGGTCATTGACAAACGCGTGCTTCGCGCCACAGTTATTTTTGAATTCTCCGGTGTTTCTGGCGCTGGTTAATGTACACACGGGTATTGCTGACCTTGCTGTTTCCCCATTTGATTCAACAAACAAATGGTTGAATTTTGTGAAAGACGGGAGCTACGGAACTTCAGCGAAATGCCTATTACCTCTCAGAATACTACGTGATTTCCCATTCTCTCAATGAAGTTTAAAAAAAACAAGTGATTAATCCCATTTTTTTATGAATGAAGATAGTTATTTTGCTAATGAATTAGCAATTTGCTTTCGAATGGATTCTCTTTTTTAAAATTCTTATTTCACTATTGTCTTCTTCTATTTGTTCATGTCATAGTCCTATCATCAATTGAAATGTCATCAAAATTTTGCGTATTATTTCGTTCTGTCAAATAATTCTACATTCAAACTCTGTCAAGACTTGAATTCGTTCTCAGTCCGGGTTTAATCGAGGTTCAATCAAGGTTTAGTCAGTGTATAATCGGGATTTAATCAGGGTTTATTCAGGATTTACCCAGAGTTTAACCCAGGTTCTGTCAGAAGTTAGTCGGGACCATGAATCAATATGAATAAGTATTCAACATAACAGACTCGTATCTGAGTTCAATAGAGATAGGGATTTTTATGTAAAAAGTTCATGATGGTATTGTGTAACTTGATAAGCAAAGCCTCTATTCGCAAGCAAAACTAAATTTTCTCGACGTAGTTCCCCATTTTGCGCCGTAAAAGTAACTATTATTAGAAAAAATTTATTGTTTCCGTTAGATACAAAAGATTCCCCCAAGGGAAAACCGAAGTACTATATTTTTAGCCGTTACTTGTCATTATTTGTTTCATTTATTTATTTTTTTCCTGACAGATCCTCAAGCTTTTATCTATCAGAAGTTCCAAAAAATTGATTTTAGGTATTTTTAAATTTTTCAGTTTCACGTTTTCCTTCGATAATTGCCCCTGTCAGGAATAGAGGTCATCAGCGTTATCGATAACGAGTGTAGACCGTCCCTTTCCTGAACTTATCTAAGAATAGAAATTTATTGCCTATCAATTGACATGTGGGGTCATAAATTTGAAATTCCCCAACTCTGTGGAATGTTTTATTTTCCAAAAATCTAATCGCCTTGATGCAGCCACTACTTTCATTTTACAAATGAATGTAGGAATGATTCATATCAAGGAAATTTGTTTTTTGCTTCCGAATGGAAGCTTTGTAATCGTTCAAATTCAAGTTTTGAATTTTTTGTTTTTTATCGACCCAGTACGATTAATAAGGTATACGATTAGTAAAAATAACTCCACTATATGCAATACGAGAGTAATTTCCCACTTGTTTTAGTTTTTTAAAATTTTACGGCTAATAAAATGATAATAACAGTAATAATAAAATGATATTTTTAATAATAAATAATATTGCCACCGCGGAAATGACCTAATTGAATTATAGAAGATGTCAAAGACCTTTCGTGGAGCCCCTCAAATTAAAAAAAAAAATGTGATGTGATAATTTCCGTCAACATCTCTCGTTACCGTGATATTTCAAGATTTATCCGTAACATCGCGACATTTTTGCAATGAAAATCCACAGCCGTGTGCCACAAACATAATGACCATGAGACCCCGAGACCCAGTCCGAGGTCTACCGGAATGATTCCGTAAACTGAATCGCTCCTCAAAAGGAAACATACGGATACAATTCTTCTCCGTTACTAATAGTGTAGTGGTAGGTAATAAAGGTTGTTTTCATTCTCCCTTTCTCCTTTTCCCATTAAGCGGTCTCACCCTGTCTCTCTCTCGCTCCCGTTTACCTCGCTTAAAAAAAGCAATGTGCGTCATCGGCCGCACAAGCTGAACAACGATCTCACGTTTTTCTCAGCAGTAAAAAACAATTTGTGTATCTACATACATGAAAATTATTGGGCTTTTATTGCTGCATTATCTTAAAGAGTAAAATTTTTAATCCGGGTTTGTCGTCCAATTCTTTAATTTAATACTTGAATATTGGAATAAATGCAATTGATGAAATGATGAACAAGTGTGTAATTGAAATATTTTTAATTAATAAAAAGAATAGTAAGGGGAGAAAACAAACTAAATTTGTTTCTTAACTCCTTTTCCTAAACTGAGACAATGCAAATTGTTTAATTTCAAATTCAATGTTTGAATGTTGAGGTGCATCATTGAGTCATTAAATCAACGATGAAGTAACGCAATAAATAAAGTGATGAACACATGTGCAACAGGAATATTCATCATCTTGAAAGAACAACAAATGAAGCGAAATCAAAAACGAATTCAACATCATTACTTATCGACTCACAAAAAAACTGATTTATCTGTAAAATGCGTAATTTTACCGCAAAATGTCAAAAGACATTTTCGATAGAAAAAGAAATTCCCCACAAAAAATTTCTTCTGACATTTTCTCCTAAACCCCCTCATTCCCGAGATAATTCCCCCTCCAACGATTCAATAAAATTCCGTAAAAACCCAGAACCAAAAATACGAAAAAATACTCCGCACAAAAATTCACGATCATCGTCCATAAATAAACATTAAATTATTCACACTCACTTATCTTGCACTGTCATTGTAAAATTCTATTTGTACCGCAGGCCGAATGCAGGATGTAACCCCTCAACTGACGTTTCAATTCAATTACTTTTGTTACAATTAGAAAATTAGAATAAACTCTTTTGTGCGATGGATTACTGTTGCGGGCCCGTTTGACTCCGCTTGCAATAGGAGATGGTCGGAAACTGTGCCAAGAACAGTCGCGCCAAACCACCGTGGCATACACCTACGGTTAACTCACACAAGTGTCCAATGACAAACGTATATTCGTTCGGTCAATGGATCAAGTGGGATTGTATAATTGTACGATTATATTAAATTTTATCAATGACACAGTACTCCATAAAAATCCCCCATAAACATTATGATCTCGTTCTCCAGTGGGAAACGCCGTCTGGAGACTAATTGTTGTTTTTAAAATTTTTAAAATTTTGGGAGAGGAGTTTTGCAACGCAACAACGAATAGAACATTATGATATCATCATGTACACATGCTACTATATGCGGCGGTATAACCAGTTTTTATTCATGTGGTTCTCATATGACGAGTATTGCGTAATTGTGGATAGTAGTCCCTTTTTAAATCTGAAAATGTTAAACTGTGTGTTTTAAGGGTGCCAAGTGAATTTGAAAAAAGATTCAAAAAAAATTTTTTCTTTCCCTCCATCATTGGAGAAATATGTATTCATCCATCCGACGAAATTTCAAACCCGCAACCGGAACCAGACATCGAGAAAATACATGCGGAAAATAATCTATTTCGCGTGACGAACCTCGAGAAAGCATGGGATCAAATGGGTACGGCGGGTTGAAATATCTCTCTTATTCACCCCGGTACCCCATTGTTTTTTGTCGCCATCACATTGAACACATCATTCCCCATATCTTCAAATTTTTTCAAATTTTTCTTGAGTTCCTAGGGGGTTGAAACGTTCAATTTAATCAAAACTCCATAAGAGGCCGTGTATAAGACTGATTTTGTTTATTTAATTTCTCGATATCCGTAAGTTCTAAAATTTTAAAATTCTCACCGATGTTCACCATCTGTCTAATACTATTAATTTAAAAAATTATAACTTTGTTGGTGAATGTCAATTTTCAAGGTCATCTCCAAATTCACTTGGCACCCTTAATTACCGAATAGATACTTTTATTCGTGAAGACGAAATGATGATTGTGGAAAATGCGCAGGTTTACAAGGGAGATGTCTTAAAATATTTTGGAGGAAAGTCGCGATCTTGATCGTGAGATAAATATGATGTCTCCAGTTGGTGATATAATAGGTGTTGATGGTGGAGGAAGGAGAGCAAAATGCGCCTTTTATCGCGTATTTGAAGATTGGGGGCATGACAAATACAGGCAATGATGATTATCAAAGTTTCAAGATTAATTTCAGAGGGACTGAATGAACTTGTACAGTAAAACATTATGAGACAGTTTACGGAGTTGAAAAATTGAAAAACAAAGTGAAAATTCACGTGTCTTCGGAAGAAATTTGCAAATTAAATTATCCTCTCAATGAGTGATTGAACAAAACATCAGGAGCTCTTTTTTCTTAAAGAATTTGTCCAGTTATAAAAAATTCGGATGATTTTCTTTGTTACCCCTTATCCCCAAAACAAATCAATAAATCATTGATAATATCGGTTGAAACATAATCTTGATCGTGAGATAAAAGTAGCTGTTAATGTCGGAGTAAGGAAAGGAAAATGCGCCCTTTATCGCGCATTTGAATATGACAAATGTAGTCAATGATGATTATCAAAGTCTCAAGGTTAATTTCAGAGGGACTGAATGAACTTGTACAGTAGAACATTATGAGACAGTTTACAAAAAAATTGAAAATTAAATTATACTCTCAATGAGTGATTGAACAAAACATCAGGAGCACTTTTTTCATAAAGAATTTTTCCAGTTATAAAATATTCTCATGATTTCTTCTGAAACCCCTTATCCCCAAAACAAATAAATGAATCATTAAAAATATCGTTTTAAACATAATCATGTAATAGAAACATTCTCATTGAAATGAATATCAAAACAAGTAATTCCCAACAAAAATGTTGAAGTAAATAGAAAAAATTCAAAACAAAATTTTTTATTTTATCAAGAATTCCCCTGCGATGTTCAATATTTTCCACTGGAATTTCCAGTGAGAGTCTTGGAAATTTCTAACAATTAACATTTCTACTGAAATTTCAAGGAATTTTGTCATTGAAAATTCATAATTTCACGGAAAAATGAGTGGCAACTGTAAATTTGAGTCCAATTAGTCCTGGAAAATTAATGAAAAATTAGGAAAATTCAGAGAATTCTCTCCTTGATTTCCAGATTCCTGTGAATTTTCAACAAATTCCTTTAAAATTCCTGGAATTCCAAGAACTTTAAAGGAATTTCCTGGAAATTCAAGGGAATTTCTCAGCGAATATTCATTTTCACTTAAAAATTCATGTAAATCGTGGAATTTCCGTCTTCCTTCCGCCACAAAATCGCGACTTGCCTTTTCCACGAAACTTGAAATTTCATTCACCATTTCCCCTTAAATTGAATTCAACCTTTTTTCGCGAAAAATTAATCTAAAATTTTTGAACAGTAGACTGCGAACTCGCCTTCCCCCTCAAAAAATCTGTAAAACTGAAGAATCAAACTGCTAATTCCCGCCTAAATACGACCGTCGAACCTCCGTTTCATTCAAAAATATGCCGTCCGGAAACGCCCGAGCCCGATGATCCCCGATTGCCTGCGTTAGCGCCCGACACCTTCCGATCGTAAAATCGGCGAAAAAGCTCGAATATTCACGACGAGAGGAAAAGGCAATTGTCGAGTGGCGCCATATCGTCAGTAGCGGCAAAAGCCTCGACGAATTGTCGACTCTTTTGCCAGTGATGCCCAACGACATTACAATCCACTCGATATACAGTTGAAAGGCACGCGAGTCTACGGCCCAGTAGAGGAGGTCGAACGCGTTTTTTTCTTCTCCTCCCCCCTCCCCCCTGACACATGAAAGTGAAGTGATTGCACACGATATGCGAGGCATACGTGATTCAAAAACCATAAATAACCGTAAATTTAATTCACCAATGCAAATGTGAACAAGTTATTTACGTTTAAAATCACCTCAACTCGAAATATTCGCATTGTGGAGGGCACAAACGGTGGGGCCGAGAGTCATTATTTTGTCACAAAGCTAAATGCACAGTGGAAAGTACAGGCTGAAGGTGGTATCAATGCAGTGTGAAATAGTGTGCCGGTGATCGTGAACCCCAATCAACCACTTAACCCTTTTGTTCATTAAAAACGGATTACGATTCAGGATAAAGGGAATAAGTCCCATTCAGGGAGGAGCAACAAGTGTTATTTTTGTCCGCAAAGGAGTCCTATTTTGTTTTTTCAATTTTTTTCTAAATCGTCAAAATGCTCAAGTTCATACGGGGAAAGAGCCAACAGCCGACACCGGAGAGGCAGAAGCTGCTGAAGGATCTGTTTGCATTTAGAAAGGTAGATTGAATACTCATAGATCATGGGATTTTACATTTCGTGGTGACGCATGCAATTAGTCCCCATTGACGTATGCATTCTCCCATTTTCCGGTACATTTGAGGTGTTTATTTGACACTGGGGCAAAATGGGAGGGATTCAGGGGGCGATTATCTCGGGATTGGCTGAGTGAAATTGAAAAAAACAGGCGCCATTTTAAAGGTATTTTTCGAGGCTTTGATATGACCTCTGATTTATTGAAATCGCATCGTTGGGTCACGAGATATTTACCGAACTCCGTTTTACCCCAGTCGATTATTGGGAATTGGTTGAGGGAAATTCAACGAATTTTGCGACATTTGCGAGATTTTTTTTCAGAGATTATGATGAATTCAAATTTTTGAAAATCCTATCGTTTCATCGAGACACATGGGAAATTTTGAGAGGTCCATTTTGCCCCACCTCTGTGTAGGATTGAGAACGAGTTCAATAACTCGAGTCTAGGATTTTTCGAATGAAATGTGTTGAGAGGTTTTTATGTATCCAGTGCCTGGGGATAATAACCTAGAAGCCATGTCAGGTTTTAGCAGTGGATTTAGTTCCGACGAGATTTTATCGCATTCCAATGTACACATCGAGTGTTAGTACCCAATGCGTCATGTTTCATTCCGGATTTTACGAGGTTTCCCACAAATTAATTAGTTTTCCTGTAATTGAATTTTTGTGGTTTTCCATCTATTTTTGGATCACTCCGGTTGCAGTCGATCGATTGGGGCTGGTGTACGTGAATAAACCGATTCTAATTGTTATTTTTTATTATAAATGTCGAACAAAAAAGAATAATTGAAAATAGAATGTTATTTAAGCGTCTTCAAACATCGATATCTCCTGACCAAATGATGCAATTTAGATAAATCAGAATTCATTTTAAAGTTTCAAAAAATACCTTTAAAATGAAGAAAGATTCGGGAAATTCCACTCTGCGGTTCTCGAGTTATTGACAAGTAAATGCCGCCCGTTTTGCCCCAGTATCCCGTAAATTGACAGAGTGAAATTTAATTAATTTTGTGGCATTTCAAAGAGATCTTTTTAGAGTTGAAAATGAGACTAGATTCATCAAAATCAAACAATAATTAATGCGTCAATAATTAACAATAATAACAATAATTGACAACTTTCAGAGCAAGCAGTCATCGCATTTTCGGTGTTTTTATATTTGATTTGTGATGTCAATGCGAGTTTTTTACTGCAAATAGGTGCTCGTGCACTATTGTTAGCATTTAGGACATTAGTTATGTCAAGGACCTGATAAAGCTAAAATATGTAGCGAAACGTCGCACTATGACAATTTAATCGATGTTGTGAACTTATTTCTCTGCTATCTCTACGAACATCTGTTTGATTCAATCAATTATTTACGAAGAGATGGAAAATTAGGGAAATATCGACATTTTTCCCATTCTTTTAAAAAAATCATGATTAATGAAAAATCATCATCATGTATGTGAAGAACTTGATTCTATTTATTCCTTTTTTTACTATAAATCGCGAATAGAAAATAATAATCCAAGATATAATTTTAGTTAAACATCGTGACCAAATGATACGGTTTGGATAAATCAGAATTCATTTTGAAGTTATTTTTTTAAACTTCAAAATGAAAAAAAGATTCGGAAAATTCACTAGGGAAATATCGACATTTTTCCCATTCTTTTTAAAAAATCATGATCAATGAAAAATCATCATCATGTGAAGAACTTGATTCTATTTATTCCTTTTTTTACTATAAATCGCGAATAGAAAATAATAATCCAAGATATAATTTTAGTTAAACATCGTGACCGAATGATACGGTTTGGATAAATCAGAATTCATTTTGAAGTTATTTTTTTAAACTTCAAAATGAAAAAAAGATTCGGGAAATTCCACTCTGCAGTTCTCGAGTTATTGACAAGTAAATGCCGCCCCGTTTTGCCCCAGTATCCCGTAGAGTGACAGAGTGAAATTTGATTAATTTTATGGCACTTCAAAGAGATGTTTTTGAATTCCAAAATGAGACTGGAATCGTCAAAATCGTGCCATTATTTCCGAAGATATAGAGAAATTGAAAAACATCGACATTTTTCCCAATTTCCTTTAAAGATAACCGACTGGTTAATCCGTAAATTAAATTCTAAAGAAACATTGAATCATCATTGCTATCTCCCCGAGTCTCATTTATTCGGATGGTTTGAGCCGCACAACAGTTGGACATCTCACAAAGATCTGTATCTTATCTATCGCTAACGAAAAAAAATGAAAGGCCTATGTAAACACACGGATAAACTTAGCCTCCTGGTGTCTATCGGCGAGTGTTTCCTGCACGCAATGCAGTATGTAATGAAAATTCCCCCACCGCACGCACAAAGAAATTTCTATAGAAAAACAGAAAAATTGCCAGAGAATTCTGTTAGTTTGTTCGCCGATTCTATTGAAAAATTTCAGATTTTCTCCGCGTTTTGTTTTTCATCACAAAATATTTTTTATTTTACAGAGAAAATGAATAGAATTTGATGTTTTGGTACAACTGCTGTTGAAATATTTTTTATAGAAATTCCGAAGCTGAAATTATCTAAATTTATTGGAAAAAAAAATTGGGAAATTTATGTCCAGTAAATCCTATAGAAAAATCGATAGAATTCGCTTGTTGTATAATGTATTCTATTAACTTATTCTATTGAGATATTTTCTGTAGAAATTTCTATATAAGTTCTATAGGAAAAAAATGAAAATTTTTTTGGCGAGCAATTTCTATAGAAAATGTCACACTAGAAAAATCAAATTCTGCTCATTTTGTCTATAAAATTATTTTCATTACACATTTTCTACCGAAGAAATGTAGATTAAGCTACAGAATTTTCGAATAAAATCGGCGAAAAACTAATAGATTTTTCAAGAAAAGTTCAGTAGAAAACATTGAATAGATAAAATCAATAGAATTCGCTTTATTTATAATTTATTCCATCACCTTATTCTTATTGAAATATTTTCAGTAGAAATTCCCATAGAAATTTCTACATAAATGTTCTATAGAAAAAAATCTAGTGAAAATATCTCACTAGAAGAATCAAATTACTGATTTTATTCCGTAAAAAAAAAATGAAGTCAAGCTTCCGAATTTTCAATAGTTCAATTGAGTATAATTTTCTCCTCTCCAAGTCCGAAAGGAAATAAATCATTATAAGAATTTCCACTGAATTCGCCAAGTTTTTCCGTAAAATTATTTAACGCCAGCAGTCGTATTTGTGCGTCAATTTATCGAAATGAGAGATATGGGCCCCCCTATTGGGCTAGAGAAAGAAAGGGAGAGTCTACAATTATACATTCTTGTTATTTGCGATTGGTATTTCACATACTTTGTTGATTGCATGTCAATCATACTAACCGCAGTGGAGAAATCATTACGAGGGGGTTTTAGTGGGATTGGAATTGGAGGCAACGCCCGACTCCTCAATTTACTGTATATACGGATACATACTTTCAGCATCTCGTGTGGACTCTATAGATATACAATGTGGCTTTTATTTAATATCAATGAAAAATATGTTTCATGCTGCATTTTCTGGTTGAATGTGGCACGTTATTAATATTCATTCATCGGAATGTTTCAATGTGAATGAAATTTTCACGCTAATTGTGAATGTTTCGGGTTTCATCTGTGATTTTCGCATTCTTTTTCAGACTGTCCAGCATGGTTTCCCCAACAAACCGACCGCTCTTGCGTGGGATGCGAGCCTCCGGCTGATGATCATCGGCACTGCCTCTGGTGCCATCAAAGTGTATCCTTTCGGCGTTATTATCATTACGTTATACTTATTTTTGTACTGAATTTTCATTCGTCGAATTTTTTCGGAAGTCGATGAGAAAAAACTCATTTTTAATTCAAGGATTTTCCTCTTATCGATTGGGACCTCATGTTATGCCACGATATGACGCCAAATATTCTATAAATATTTATAAATATTCATATATGGGAATTTTTCATCAAATATATGGGAATTTTTTTTTTCAAAATATTATTCTTTTCGATTTTATTTTTAGAGTTGATTTTTTATTGGGACTTGATGAGGAAAAAATTATTTTTAATTCAAGTATTTCCTCTTCTCCATTGGACTTCATGTTATGCCGTGATATGACTCAAAATATTCTACATATTTATAAGTATTCATATTCTTTCAAACAAAATTTTATATGAAAATTTCTCTTTTTCCCCCAGAATATAATTTTTTTCGATTTCATTTTTGTAGTGATTTTTTTATTCGTTGAATTTTCTTTTGGGACTTGATAAGAACAAATTGATTTTTAATTCAAGGATTTCCTCTTCTCGATTGAAGTTCATGTTATTCATGAGTATTCATATTTTTTCAATAATTTTTTATATAAGAATTTTTCTTTTTTCCCAAAATATTATTCTTTTCGATTAAAAAAAATGAATAAAAATCTCTATTTTTCATTCACGATTTTGACAACTCTATTCAAGAATAAAATATTATACTTTTGATTTGATATACTACTGCCTTGATATTTGAGATGTGTTTCAATCCAGTAATGAAATACGTTTCGTATTTCGTATGTTTTCATTTCCGCTGATTCGTTACAGTTGAATTTATCAGTCCTTAACCCACATTTAATATTGATACAATAGTTTTGGAAGGCCTGGTGTTGAATTTTACGGACAACATTCGACTGAGAGCGGTGAGAATGCTGTTACCAGAATCATTGCACTACCGAATGAGGTAAATGTTGGGTTGGGTAATCATAGCTTTCTGGGAACAATGAAATATGGGAGGCTCAAATTGCACTGGGGGGGGGGGGGAGAAAAATAGTGCTGATATTGGAAGTAATTTGATTGAGTTGGAGAAACATATATTACAATTGTGTTTAAAAAGAACAATTGTTAAGATTTGAATTCCCTCGATATTTTGTTTTAAAGTCACTCATTTATTTAGAGGTGTTCGAATAATTTTATGCACCAAAAACATGTCCCAACATTTTTCAAACCGCATTATGATGCCAAAATTAGTAATGACATTTTACGAATGGGCTTCATCTCCCATAAAAAAATAGTTCACCTCAATTTCCTCCCAAAAACAATTCAATTTGTATTGTTAATCTATTCTCTACACCGATGGAAAAACGTAAACCCATTCGCATTGTATAAGAGGGGAGTATTGTAGTGGACACGCCATAGAGTAACATCATGACACTTCTTTTGTTCGCCTGTATAACGGTAAATGTCCGGTCAACACGCAATGCCCGGAGATTCTAATGTGGCATCGAAAAATCTATCAAACATAACAGAGTAGATGAAGCTGGGGCCAGCGGAATACTTGACAGCGAAAAATTCAATTCAGGGGATTTTCGAGGGCCAAAATATCGCAGGAGGATGTTGAGACATTTTCTATAGGAATTTCTTGACATGAATTTTCATTCTATTTTTCTTCTTTTTTTATTTAGAAAAATAAAATGAAAAAACATGGGAAATTTGAGTAATTCTTTTCAAAATTCTAGTAGGTTTTGGTTGATTCTATTGAAGAATTCCGTAGCTTTACTGTGTTTTTTTATAGAAAATGTCCAATAGGATCTATTTTATAGAGAAAAAATTTATACTATTTTGAATATAAAAATTTATTATCAATTATTTTTAGTAAAAAATTGATATACTATTTTATAAAGAAAACTTTTTCTATTGAAATTCCTTAACATGAATTTTATAAATTCTTTCCACTCTATTTTTCTTTTCTTCATTAAAATTTTTTTTTTAAAACAAAAAATTTGAGCCAAGTAATTTCTATAAGAAATATCTCAACAGAATAATTTGTTTAGAAAAATCGAAATCTATTCATAATTTCTATAAAATATGTTCCATTGACTACCAAAAATTCCAAATAATAGAAATCGAATAGAATTTTCCAGCGGATTCGCTCAATTTTCCCATAAAATTTTCAGTACATGCCCCTAGATTCGCCGAAATCAAATTTTTCCCCAGTTTCCGTTTCATGCAGAACAGACCTTTGATCTAAAAAATATTCGAATCTCCCGTTACGTATTCTCTCCGAGGCACGTGCTACAGCGCAAATACTGATCCCAAGTTGTAAAAAAGCAGAGTAGAGCAGAAATTATTTCAGCAGACTACAAAAAGTATCTCCACAATTATTCCCTGTTTTTATTACGAATACCTATTATGCACAGTGTAACAACTGTGAGAAGCCGGTGAAGTGTCGGTTGCGTAACAAGCCCTGTATGCACAGACGTAATTAAGAGAGCAGTGGTGTGATGATTCGATGTTGTAGTAATCCATTTAGTTCCCGAACATATGGGGAAAAAATAAAGAAAAGGTAAAGATGAAACTGGTAAAACTGCATTAATGCGTTATTGATGGTATTTCAGGGACGTCTCGTGTCGCTGTGCGATGACAATTCCCTCCACTTGTGGGAGATTAATGAGAATTCAGTTGTGGAGACAAAGTCATTGGCACTTGAGGGTAAATTGAAGAAAATTTCGGCAATGTGTCTGGAGTCATCGGGAGAGAATTTACTCCTTGGAACTGAGGGGGGCAATATTTATCTCCTGGATTTGAAGAAATTTAAAATGTCTGATAATATTATTTATCAAGATGTTGTTATGCAGAAGTGAGTAATGTATTGATGAACAGTTACTGCAATAAATCCTGTCCTTAATTCAGTAGCGAAAGGGTAAAACTGTTAACGGTAGTTTAAGGATATGCAAGTCAATTTAATTGTGAATTAAATTGCTTGAAAACAATTTGAAAAAAATCATGAATAATATCATAAATTATTTTTTTTATTTATTGTTTATAAATCAATAATTTAAGTTTTTTTAACTCCCGGAAACCTTAAGTTTTTAGAGATGAAACCGATTTCTGGTAAAATTCTGAATATGAATAAATTTGTTACAATGCCAAACAAATGATTGTTATGATGGAAAATTGATTGTTTAAATTATTTATAGAAAATGTTGGTAATTTACCAAAATTGCACTTTTCAAGTTATTTTATCAATATTTCTTCAAAAGTAAACTTCCTAATCTTTTTCAGATTTTTAAAATGTTTTCTACCGGGTCCATATAGAGATTCAAATTCAGACCTGCAAAGTTTAAATAATAAAATCATTGCAAAATGTCCGGAAACTTAAGCTCAAATGGTGCTCAAATGAAAGTTTTGATGTTCGAAAAATTACCATATTCTCAAGTCGATTTTGACTATTAGTCGGTTTCAATGAATATCTCTGGATCTAAGGCAAATAGCCAAATTTTCGTCATAACCTCTGTCGTAGAGCGGATTAAGATCTACAAAAAAGTTCATTACGAAAATTTCTCTATCTCCCTTAGATTCGGAGATATTCCTCGAAAACTCAGCCACAACCCAAGTCAACTCAAGTCGTTTTACCACTTCACTACTGAATTGTCGATAAATCAAGATTGGCTGAGTGAAATTGAAAAAATCTTGCGCCATTTGAAACGTATTTTCATAAGCTTCACAATGAGACCTGATTTTTTCAAATTACATCATTTTCCCAGTAGATATTCACCATCAAATATTTCCCATTTTGTCAAACTATTTTTTTACTTCATTTTTCAAATTTACCGATTGAACTGGAGTACACGAAAAATTATGATTGACGAATTAACAGTGTCCCTGAGGACTACAAGAAGAATCCAGGAGCGGTGGAGGCTATAGCAGAGCAGCCTGGCCATCCCGACAGCATCCTCATTGGTTACAATCGTGGCCTCATGGTTCTGTGGAACAAAGCCACACCCGGCGCTCAACAGGTGAGTGACAACTCCCTAAATTACGCAAATTAATCGTAATCGTGATGTCGTATGAATGCACATGAGCAAAGTACTAGCCTTGTATGCAAGTTGTTGATGAAAAGAAGAAAAAAAAATGAACAAATGTTATGTTACACATTGATAATGGGTCTGGAGATGGGAATTTAAATAGACTGACTGTGTCGTTTGTGTCTTTTGTTGTTCTTTCCTCCTTTGGACGAACGTGTGTGTCGGCAGTTGATGGGTTTATTTTCCCGTGCCCAGACATTTATTTCTAATCAACAACTGGAATCGGTTCACTGGATATCTGAGGACAGATTTGTATCGTCACACAATGATGGATCATACATGTTTTGGAGTCCTGGTAATGATTCAACACCCGAACCAACAACTGTTTATGGACCATTTCCATGCAAGGCCATATCGAAAATCTTTGTCTACGGATTGCCTGAGTGAGTAATATGTTTATATTTCATTGGTATTGTAATTTGGGAGAATTGTAGGGTTGATGTGTCATGAAAAAGGTCAAGACACTTTCAAAATATCTGTGAAAGTGGAAGGTTCAACCGAAAATGTCGAGAGGGTTCAAAAAGGGCAAAGATTAATTTTTATGCCAGCATGAATATTGCAGATTTTATTTATTCGGTGAGGCTCCAATTTTGCCCTCGACTCTTTAAGAAATTTTGAAAAACATGTCATTCTTAAACGCTCAATCCTTAAGAACGTTTGACCCTTAAAAATGGCCGTTGAGAAAATTTCATTTTTAACTTTTGAACCGTAACAACTGACCCTGAAGAGTGTTTGATCATTACGAACATTCGATCTAAACTTGCGAGTCTGAGGAACGCTTGATTCTTAAGGACGTGTGACCCACGCTAATGTTGCAATTTAATCCCTAAGGACGTCTAAAACTTGAGAGCATTTGAACGTCAAGAACGTTTGACCCTTAACAACGTTTGACCCACACTAATGTTGAAATTTAACCCCTAAGGACGTCTAAAACGTGAGAGCATTTGAACCTGAAGAAGGTTCGACCTGAACGTTTGACTGTTAAGAACGTTTGACCCATGCTAATGTTGAAATTTGACCTAAAGAACATTCAAAAACTTCAAAACATTTGAACTTGAAGAACGTTCGTTCCTCAATTCCGCTATAACAAACCTCCAAACAATAACAAAATCCCCAAAAAAGCTTACATAATCCTCAAATGATCTCAAAACCCCTAAAATTCTGAAGCCCCCAAATAAAATTCCAGCGACGACGAGATGATCCTCTTCTCCGGTGGCATGCCCCGCTCAAGCTACGGAGACCGTCACACAATAACCGCAATGACAAAATCAAAGCACGTGGTATTCGACCTGACCTCCAAAGTAATAGACTTCTTCGTTGTCACCTCTAAACCCCCCGTGGAAACGGAGTCCTCAGACGACACCGACGAGAAAGATCCCTTGAAAAACATCCCCGGCCCGGAGGCCCTGATAATCCTCGCGGAAGAGGAAATTGTGGCAATAGACTTGACAGACCCCGACTGGAAGATGATGGCCCTTCCGTACCTCGTCTCCCTCCACGCGAGTGCAGTCACATGCTCCCAACACGTGCCCAACGTCCCCGAGGACCTCTGGAGCTCAATCGTAACGTCCGGCAAAACACAGACCGAGCACCTCTACTCGGATAAAGAGTGGCCGATAGACGGTGGTGTTCTTCTCTGCCAGAAGGGCAACAAGAAGCTGACGGAGAACAAGAGAGATCTCCTGTTAACCGGTCACGAGGACGGAACAATCCGCTTCTGGGACGCCTCAGGTGTCACCCTGACCCCTCTGTACAAATACAGTTCATCCCTTTTGTTCACGGGTGAGCATCTTGACGTTCTCGAGCAGTCGCCAGACGACGACGAGGAGGAGTGGCCGCCCTTCCGAAAGGTCGGCACCTTCGATCCTTACTCGGACGATCCTCGTCTTGCTGTCAAGAAGATCCTCCTTTGCCCACTGTCATCAACCCTCATCGTAGCAGGCACTGCAGGCCACATAATAGTGGCCAAAATCGTCCCGGAGGTCACACAGAAGCAGATGAAAGCCGTCACCATGAACATTGTCAACGATCGCGATGGATTCGCCTGGAAGGGTCACGACAGTCTCCCAGTGAGAACAGCTGAGATCTCATTTTCCACGGGTTTTCAGCCTCAAAATCTCGTCCAACTTTATCCACCAGCAGCTGTTACAGCACTGACGATTCACAGCGAATGGGGACTGATGGCTGCAGGAACAGCCCACGGCCTCGCAGTCTTCGATTACACTCGGAATAAACCGGTCAGTGTTAAATGCACATTGAACCCGAATGATCGATCAGGCTCTGGTGACACACCGATCTCACGAAGGAAATCCTTCAAGAAGTCATTGAGGGAGTCCTTCAGGCGATTGAGGAAAGGAAGGTCCCAGCGACGAGCTACCACAGCCAGTCCTTCGGGTAATGTCACCGAGAAGAAAAAACCAGAGCCACCGTCTCCCGGTGGAATTGGTGGAGAGGGGGCTGTTGATATCAGACCTGTTGAGAGACAGATTGAAGCCCGTCCAGCTGATGATTCACTTGGTTCAATGGTCAGGAGTCTCTACTTCGCTAGGAGTTTCATCGTCAGCATGCAGAATACAACGCCAACACTCTGGGCTGGCACCAACAACGGTACTGTCTATGTTTTCACACTTGCCATACCTGCTGGTGTCAGAAGGGCTGAAGAGGACGTTGTTTGCACACTTGGCAAGGAAATTCAGCTTAAGCATCGTGCACCAGTGATAGCCATTACAATTCTCGATGGATCTAGTGTACCATTGCCCGAGCCTTTTGAAGCTGAAAAAGGTGTTGCACCTGGGCCAGACATGACTGCACCTCATCGCGTTGTCATTGCCAGTGAAGAGCAGTTCAAGATATTCAATTTGCCATCATTGAAGCCATTCTGCAAGTATAAACTCACTGCCCATGAGGGATCGCGTGTTCGTAAAACAGGTTTTTCCAAGTTCACTTGTCCCGTTGAACCTGCTGGCACTCACGAGGAAACTTGTCTACTCTGTCTCACCAATCTTGGCGACTGTTTGATACTGAGTATACCTGAATTGAGGAGACAGCTTAATGCAGCTGCCATTAAACGTGAGGATATCAATGGCATTTCGTCACTCACTTTTACCAGAGGTGGTGAGGCACTTTATCTTCACTCGAGTTCAGAGCTTGAACGCATTTCACTGTCTGTTAATAATGTTACAAAAGCACATTGTGCCTTAAATTTACCTCCCAATGCGAGATCAACACCGGAGACAACTGTCAGCTCGGTGCAATCAGTTAAGGAGGGGGAGGGGGAGGGCGAGCAGGAGGGGGTGGTTGAGGGGACTGGGGAGAAGGAGATTGAGGCCCCAGGGGCGGCTAGGGGTGTCACGGAGAATGGCATCGTTGGATCCAGTGAGTACAGGATTTTTTCACATCACCCGGGGGAAATTGAAACTTGGCTTTCAATCTGATCATTCTGAATAATAATTAATTTGAATAAATAATTCACTGATGTTTACATTTATTTAACAAAAAAATAACTTTAGCTCCTGAATCATTCAAGATCATTAGTGCAAGCGTAATTAGTTATTGAACTTTTAATTTTTTTAGTAATTAATTCTGAGCCAAAAGGGGATGATGCAAAAATGTGAAGTATGGCTTTAAAAATTTGTTCTTTTTTTAGGAACTGAATGAAACGAGTTGGAGGGAATCTGAAGAGGATAAAGAATTTTTAAAATGTTCAAAAATACGAGGTGGCCCAGAGTTCTAGGCGCCGACATCTTGCTTGGATTGCTCCCTCTGCCGCAAGGATTTCTCCACCTCGTATTTTCAAATATTTCTTAAAATTGTTTATCCTCTTCAGATTACCCTCAACTCACATCACCTCGTTTTTATAAAAGGAACAATTTTTTTAAGTCATCTCCCAAATTTTTCCATCAACTTCTTGCAGAGAATTCATGTGACAAAGTTTTCAAAAAATTCAGATTTGTTTCGAAAAGTTTTATTTTAAGACCCGGTTGGATTATCTTTCGAACGTGATCTTCGTTGTTTTTTTTTTATTTTCATAATCTGAAATGATCTCCAATTACTATTCAGTTTTACATACTCCTGGATTCTCAAAAACTTATGATTGTACAGACAAAAAAACGTTGAAAAAAAGCTGAACATTTTTAAAGAGCTTTTTTTAATAATATTGGGAAATAAACCCAATAGGGAGGAAATTGCAACTTTATAATTCAGTAGTGAAGTGGTAAACCGATTCAAGTCAATTTTGACTATTGGCTAGTTTTCAATCATTATCTCGGAATCTAAGGGAGATAGCAAAATTTTTGTTATAACCTTTTTCGTAGAGCCAATTGAGAGCTACAATAAATGTAATTACGAAAATTTCGCTATCTCCCTTAGATTCGGAAATATTCCTGAAAAACTCAACTGGGAGATAAGTCGAATTGAACCGTTTTACCACTTCGCTACTGAATTTGATGTATCAAAGCCTGTCAGACCGATATTTCCCACGATAAATTATGCATTCACTATTTCCTCTCTATCGAACTTATTTCTCAATCTTTCTTAAAAACGCTCTTTGAAAATGTTAATTTTTTTCTACTGTTTTTTATTGTACAATCATAATTTTTAGGGGATCCCGCCTGACGTAAAATCCAATGGAAATTGTGCTATATTTTACACTATGAAGATGGAAAAACAATCGAGATAACGTTCGAAAGATCATGCACCTGGGCCTTAAGGTCTTTGAAATATTAAGCCAAGTGAATTTTTCCTCTGGTGATTGGCATTATTTTTCGATAAATCATTTGTCGTTCATTTGACATCCCCTTTACCCGTAAGTTCGTCTGCATCTTGTCGCTATGCTTGTCTGTGTAAAATTGTCCCTTTTAGCTGGTGATAATGACTCTAAAGAGCCATCATTGAGGCCAGCAGCGAGCACCAATGATATCAATGGAGACGAGGATCGACAGGACATTAATTCCATCGGTGACATCACTATCGACAGCGTTAAGGACCATCTGCTGTAAGACTATTATGATTTCTCCTTTGTACATAGAACTTGAATTGAAATTTTCGTTAATTTTCGTTGTTGATTTTTTTTTATTCATCCTTTGGGTTTTTTTTTTCTTGGTACTTGCCATTCTATTTGGCAGTAACAGTTCACTTTTCAGAAATGCAACGAGCTCGGAGGATCTTCATAACAGGCTTGCTGGCCTCAAGATGGAAGTTACATCACGCACTTCGGAGATATCAACACAAAATCAATCGGTTGTTGTTAAAACAACAACTGTGATATCACAGACCTCGAGTAATGGCACCACTAATGGTGAAGTTGAAACGAATCAGAGTAGTGAATCCCAAGAAGTTAATAGTGAGTTTAGTTTTTCTTATTATTTTTGTCGTTGAGCTTATTTGTTGTATTTCATCGTTTTATTTGTTTAATGACGATAAATATTGTTATTCTATGCAAAGAATATCCGCATTGTTTAATTGATGTTTTGAAAGATTTAGTAGTGAAGTAGGAAAACGTCTCGTCGAAGAATGGAGAATTGAATTGAGGAAAAAAGCAAAATTACAATTTTGTACCTTCAATATCTCTTGTTGAAATGAAACAATTTGGACGAATCTGGTCTTATTTTGAAGTTTATAAAAATATCTAAAAAATGGCGCCAAATTTTTCAAATTTCACTCTACCAATCTCGAGTTATCGTCAGTTTAAAAAAGTCAATTTTCTTATTCGCCTTTATTTTCCTCTAAATCTCCACTGCTAAATTCTTTTTTCATATTAATTTATTTTTATTTGTTACTGTTATGTATAATTTGTAGGCACTACAGTAGAACGAGAAATACGAAGTGGTACCGAGACAACAACAACGCATGCAACAATTACACTACCGCCCAATGTTGAGGTTTGCTCATGAGCTGTTTAAAAATCAATTGATTTAATGATTATTTTTCGTAATGCATGTAACTGCTTAAACTAACCAACCATTCATTAATTCAACTGGTGGTTAGTGACATCCCATCATAACAAATTGTTGACTAACAAAATTTTCATTAGTCAATTGAACCACCAATGGTCAATGTTGAATGCTTTCATTTTGCAGATTAGCGCTGCAGATCTAGCCAACTTAGAAGTCCAAACGATCACAGTGACAACGGAAAAATCCAAGTCAACGATGCCGAGAACCGAGGAAATAAGCTCTCAGAATTAATTTACAGACTGCATATTTTCCACCCTCAAATTACCAGAAATACTGCATATATTTTAATGCCCCCATTATTTTATCAATAATTAGAATTTTCCACGATTAATCACCGTTGCAAAGGCGATAGATAGAATTTATACCTATGCCGAAATAAATTTTATATCATGACGAGAAAAAAAAGAACATTTAGATTTGTATGCAGATTATAGTATTACGAGTGAAGTAGCACATGCTAAATTTTCAACGAACTCAACGCGTCAAAAGAAAAAAATTACATTGATACAGGGAATTCTACTGTCAATGATTGAGTTTCAATCACTTGTTTTCAATATTCGTGTGGAAAAACAAAAAAAAAATGCAGGAAACCATTGACGAAGAGGATGTACTCAATTTGTGATTAAATATATTTTCGTTCGAATAACTCATAACTAAACTGTTATGATTTACGATTCAGATTGTCCATTTGTCACGATAAAGTTGCATTTATGTTAGGAATTTACACTTCCCAAGTACCAGTATTTTTCTTCGTTCTTTTAATTGTTTGTTTTTTTTTTATTAAAGAAGGGGTGAAGTAATAATGAGTTGAAAGGGATCTCTTGAAATGTGCATTTATCCCGATACAGAGTATTTTCAATGGAAAATGTCGAGAGAAATAAACTAATTTCACATTTTCTCGCTGAACAATTTGTTATCGTGACAATTTCATATTTAATGTGGAAAAATTAACTTTTTTCACCCCTTCACCACTTGCATTGGTCTTAATGCTTTTATTTGCAACCACAATGTACATTAACAATATGTATTTTATCCGTTGAAATTGTTTAATACCCGGTAGCTTAACGCCTCATCTTCGCAATGCGCAATTGTTAAGTTTTTGATGAAAAAAAAATAATAATAATACTTCCAGTACAGACAGTACGAGTAGAATGAGACCACCAGGCGATAGTTTACTTAATAAATTTACTTATAAATTAATAAATAAATTTTATCATACCATAGAGATAACGATTAAATCCACAGGCCATACTTCTCGAGGATTATTGATGTTTGTTAGCCAATAATAACATTCCATAAACAATAATTATAAGATTCATGATTTAAGATGAATGAGAAAAAAAAACAACACCGAGAGCTTCGTCGGCATCTGATTAACTATTTTATTATCACAACTTTTTATTATCTGTAGATAGTTTATACGTGGTTACGATTTTAATACTTTTTAAATGTAAAAAAATTTGATTAAGTTTTCAGGCCTCTATTCAACTAATCGAATGACAATACACGCTGACACTTGATTACAAGTTCATTCACTCATTAAACGAAAAATGTCGATTATACTCAAATGTAATTAATTATCTAACACGACACTGCCCTGACACTGGGAATTCTTTTTTTTTTCGAAAATGGTTAAACGAATTATTGGCAACTCTTGTAGCATCACTTGATTTTTAATACGATTAAACGCTTTTTTAAGGAATTTTATGTTTATTATTTCCCATGGATGACGAATTACTTGGTGTTTTAATTTTTTGGGGGTGAGGGATGTCAAGAGACGTTTTTTGAGGGAATATTCTCAACTGAAGAAGCAAGCTCTTGATATTTTATTGTAGAATTGAATGTTTTGGAGATAATTGAGAATCAAGGAAATGCATTTTGCATTGGAAATCGTTTACGATTGATTAGTAATGATATATCAATAATCAATATTTTTATTTTATTTTTATTTTTGAGATTTCAAGGGATTTTCAGATAAATTTAACGTTTTTTAAAGGAATTTTATGTTCATTATTTCTCATGGATGACGAATTACTGGATAATAATTTAATTTTTTGAGGGTGGGGGATTTGAAGAGATTTTTTTTGTGGGACTATCCTCAACTAAAATAATGGGCTGTTAATATCATGTTGTGGAACCAATAGTTTTGGATAATGAAAAATTGAGGAAGTACATTTTACGATAGATTATTAATTATTTATCATTATTTTGGGGCTGGGCCAATAGTTTTGAAGATAACGAAAAATTAAGGACTCGATTATATTTTATACTGAATACATTTTCTTGGAACTACGTGATGCAGAAATTTGAGAATTTATGATATTTTAAATAGGGGAAAATGACCAGAATCTTCACGGTTGTTTCCTGCTGTGCTGGGTCAGACCATCAAATCCTGGCCTAATCCTGTGTTTAGGGTCTCTAGTATTCGAACACCTGCTTACCTACTCTCACTACAATTTTATGATGTTATTTTTACGAACCCTTCGGGTGTAAATATGATGGTAAAGAATGAAATTTCATATTCATTAAAAACGCGTGAAGAAAAAGTTTATCGCACTTCTATAAAAAATATTTCACGGAAAAAAATCAATAGATTCCTAAGCATAAATTCTCCAAATTCTTTTGTTTGATTTTTTTGTAAGAAGAAAAAAATTAAGTTTAAAAATTGGGAAAATGAGGACGATAGCAATAATCGTTACTTGGATTTATTGGATAATTTTCCGAAATTTTGTATTTTACCCCACCTCCCCCTATGATCCCCTACTAATAAGAATCGCTTGAAGCAACCTGATTTCTCCTATTAAATTTTTGCACACCTGTTCTCAACTTCTCATCATTTTCCAAAATGAAAAAAATCAAAATTGTTTATTTTACCCCGCCTTCCCCTATAATCCCCTACCAATAGAACCAAATAGAATCGCTTAAATCAACCTGATTTTTCCTATTAAATTTTTTCAAACCTATTCTCGACTTTTCATCATTTTCAAAAATGAAAAAAGTCAAAATTGTCCATTTCACCCCGCGTTCCCCTATAATCCCCTACCAATACTCAAAAAAATTGCTCGAAGAAGCCTAGTTTTTCCTATTAAAATGTTACACACCTGTTCTCAACTTCTCATCATTTTCAAAAATGAAAAAAAAATCAAAATTGTCGATTTTACCCCGCCACCCCTATAATCCCCTACCCCTCCCCTTAATTAATCCCATAGACTCTCCCCAAGCTAGATAGCACACTAGACCCGTAGAAATCCCCGAGCCACCACCAGCGCCGCATCCTCAACTCGCTAAACCTCCCGAACAAAAAGGCAACCACACACACACGTACACACACACACACCCTCCCAGCCGAGAAAATAGTCAGAACCTTGGGATGCGCCAAGATACTGGTTAGGTAGGTAAAACTTGGGTGTATTGGAGTGAGCCTAGAGGTGCCCAGAGGCCCGTGAAACGAAACAGTTGGGTATTTTACCAGCGAGTAGAATAAAAGATTCCCGAAAAAAAAAAAGAATAAAGAAAGAGGAGAAACAAGTGTAGTGATGGCTGTGTGAGAGTTGACGAGCGGAAATGCGATCAAACATGGAGATCGCAAATTCTCAGAGTCTCTGAGGCAGTTTTCTTTGATAAATAATCCCCCCCTTTTTTTTGTTACTTCCATCCCCCTTTTATCATTTTACACCTGTGGTTATACAATTGTACATTGTTTAACGCGAGGACTCGAGGATTTTTCAAGAGAACGAGGGCAAACTCCTACGCAAAGGCTAGAGGCAAAAACGAGGGGAGTTGTTTTTTTTTTTTATATTTTTATAATTTCTGGAAGAAAAAGTGAAATACCAAGATACACACACGTTGTCCGGCCAGCACGCGGCCAACGGCTGCAACAGAATGGAACTCCGCGTCGGCAGTAGATACCGACTCGGACGGAAAATTGGGAGTGGTTCATTTGGAGATATTTATTTAGGTATTGTTGACTTTTTATAAATCGTCATTCAGTCGTATGCATTGCATTCTCTCACCACAATATCATTACTCCGCCCCCTCCCACTCTCTCCATCATCATCATCAGCATTTTCACGGAATTAATCGCGACTATTCATCCGACATTTGGGCTTTTATGCATTGTTCATTCATTAGGTTTATCAGGGAATGCTTTATATTCCGTGAGGGTTGCAGGGCCCTTTCATCGTTTGAAAGATACATCTATTGTTTTGCTGTGATTTTTTAGCACCCGTGGGTCATCCATTGCTCTCCCGTTGTTGCCATCTCCCTCTCCCTCTCTTCATCCCTCACCAATCGCGCTCCTCCCTCTTCAGCCCAACCTCATGTACTAGAGGATACAGACGAGTCATGAATCTTTTTCTTTGTTATTATATCAGGCACCAACATCTCCACGGGCGAAGAAGTCGCCATCAAGTTGGAATGCATAAAAACACGTCATCCACAGTTACACATAGAGTCGAGGTTCTACAAGATGATGCAGGGTGGTGGTATGTAGATTTGAATATGAGGTTTTCGAAGGAGTCAAGGGGTCTCGGCTGGATTTGAAGAGATTTTTTTTGTGGGAATCTGGAGATATGCTCGGCTACGAAATTGGCATGTTGATATTTTCGTGTAGAATCGATAGGTTTGAGGATAGAGGACGTGCATTTTCTATAGCAAATCTCATGTAATTGATTATTAATTATTTTGCGTCGTCTTGTACAAATTTTGAAGGTGTTTTTCTTTCTTGTCCTCAAATACAAAAAGTATTTTGACATTTCTATGTCGAATTGAATGTTTTAGAGTTCATTAATAATGAATATGTAAATTTGGGCTTTAGGGGGTTTGAAGAAAAAAATCAATTGCTCTAAAAATAATTCCAAATTAAGAAAATCGATTTTGCGTCACTTGGAATTTTTTCCTCATCAACTTTCCACCCTAATTAATTATAAAAGCATTTCTACAATTGAAGGATGCTAATTGCATTGAGAAGACATGACATTTAACAAACTCTGCTCAGATATTCCAATTGACGTAATTACGTATTCTCCCGAATTCTACAATATCTCCCTCAAACAGCTGTAACAAATTTCAATAGGATGATATGTCGTAGCAATCACGTCTTTCCAGTCCACTCACCCCACGCAAATCACAATTATTGTGATCATTTGAAACAATCAATTTTAGTTGGCATACCGACAATAAAATGGTGCGGATCGGAAGGTGACTACAATGTCATGGTTATGGAGCTACTTGGACCCTCACTGGAAGACTTATTCAATTTTTGTTCACGTAGATTTACGTTAAAAACAGTTCTTCTACTTGCTGATCAAATGGTACGTTAATTAATCATTTTCATCAATCATTCTGAGAATTATTCTGTTACGATTTTTTTTCTATAAAAAATACAAACTCTTGGGCATGAATTTTGCATTTTTCTCCTGAAATTTCGTGATGAGAAATAAAATGAAAAACGCAAATGAATCCCAAAAGAATGAATCATTTTTTTAATTCAACATCTATTTACTTTTTGTCATAAGCATATATATTTTTTTATAATACAGATAATAAAAATGGTTCATTCTTAATTTTTGTATTCCAATATTAGATTTGATTTTTTTTTCTGTGGATTCAATGCGAATCTACAAGAAATAGGCAATTTCCCCTAAATTTCGAAATTAAACTTCATTAAAACTTGAAAAATAAATGAACATTCAATGCACATTAATTTTTGTATTGAAACCTCATGTATTCAACGTGATTTACATGATTATTCACAGATCAGTAGAACAGACTTCATTCACAGTCGCCACTTCATCCACCGTGACATTAAACCTGATAATTTTCTGATGGGACTAGGTAAAAAGGGTAATCTCGTGTATATTATAGACTTTGGATTGGCCAAGAAGTATCGAGATGGTCGTACACACAGACATATACCGTATCGAGAGAATAAAAATCTTACAGGAACTGCCAGGTAAAAAATCAAAACTCGTTCCACTCATTTTTCATTAAAATCGAGAACCATTGAAATGATTAAATCTTCATTTTTTCGGAAATATTTGCAACTCCAAACGTCATAATGAAATTTTTGTAGAGACCTTTTTTCTAGGGAATTTTCTCAGCAACAAAAAAGGTTCTCATGAAAATTCCACCATCTCTGTCAGATTTCGAGATATTTACCAAAAACTCATGACAAAATTCAATTAAATCGACTTCTGATCTTTTCCACGAATAAAAATGAAATTATTTAAATAATTAGGGGTTTAAGGAGAAAAGATCGTCTCAAAATGACCAATATCATCACTCCAGAGCCCTTATTACTGAAATAATTCCATAATCAAGGCGAGAAAATAATTTTTGACAATTGTTGACATTGAAAAATTAACATTACAGATACGCTAGTATAAATACACACATGGGAATTGAACAATCCCGGAGAGACGATCTCGAGTCATTAGGTTATGTCTTTATGTACTTCAACATTGGAAGTTTACCTTGGCAAGGACTGAAGGCTGCTACTAAAAGGCAAAAGTACGAGCGGATATCGGAAAAGAAAATGTCAACACCTATCGATGATCTTTGCAAAGGATATCCCGGTAATGGATATTTTTTTTCACCAACTCATCAAACACTAACAATTCAATCAATGACAATGACTCCCACGAATGCAAATGCAAAATTGATAATAGAAACTTGAGAATAAGCCTGCAGTGGAAAAATAATTCAATATTCATAAATTATTTGTGATTGAATATGAATTATCGATGATTATGTTAGAAGTGGGCGATTTGAATAAAAAATTTCAGACTTTTTTTTTATTTCTGAACTTTATAAAACATCTTTTCATAATTTGCTGTAGATTTCATAGTTTTCGAGATAATTGAAAATTAAGAAAGTGCGTTTAGCATTGAAAATCTTTGATAATGGATCATTAATTATTTAGCATTATCTTGTTAAATAAAAAATTCAGTCAATGCCAATGACTCGATACGAATGCAAGTGCAAAATTGTTCTAAAAAACGTGAGAATTAAACCCCGTAGCGGAAAAATAATTTAACATTCATGTTAATTATTTATTTTTCTCCATAATGAGCACCTTGAAGAGGAAATGTCCGATAAAAAAAAGTTTATTGACATTTTTCAATGAACTGTAAACGATGAACTTAGTTTTTTACGGCTGCAGTCGTGCATGAGAAAATCATTGACAATTTATTTTTGTTTTTAAAGTTGAATTTGCCAAGTACCTAAAATACTGTCGACAAATACGTTTCGAGGACAGGCCAGATTACTCATATTTGCGACAACTATTCCGCACCCTTTTCCATCACGAGACCTTCACTTACGACTACGTATTTGACTGGAATCTGCTCAAATTTGGTAATGCCAGACAGCAAGCATTGCCACCAGCCCAACAACCACCAACTCACTCACAGCCAGCTAATATTCCACTGTCGTCTGGTACGAATAATGAGCAAGAGCATCCATCAAGGTCAGTAGTTCATGTCATTAACAATCCAATAACTTTTGACACGTAATTTTGACACCAGAGACACAAACATAATGCAGGGAATTTCAGAGTTAAAAAAATGTCTGAGAAAATTGAGTTGTCTCTTAGATTTCCAGACATTTATGGAAAAGAGAAACTAATTCTGGAATCGATGAAACGTTTTCTGAAGGTTTTTGTTAAATGTCTTGGAATCTAAACGAGATCGAGACATTTTCGTAAAGATTCTTTTTCCAGATAAAACGAGAAGCTGTTAGAACTTAAATTTAACCTTCCCCTTTTGATTTCAAGATGTTTTTGAAAAAACATTCACAGTTTAGAAGCTGTGGTGAATAGAAAGTGAAAAATTTCTAGACATCAGAGATAAAAAAAAATGTGAAAAAAGGGGGAAAAAGTCAAAATGTGAGTTTTCTAAAATTTTAATTTCAATTTTCATTTTCAATTTTCCTCTACAAAAAAGGAATTCATGAAAACTTTCTCACTGTTTCAAACAAAAATTTAATTTATTTGACTTTGACTGAGACTTTAAAAATGCGCAGATTTCAATTCCTCCCAAAAATATTCCGATTATCCTCAACAATGAAAAAAAAAATCATAATGTAAGTTTTTTCAAAAACCTAAATAGTTAAAAAATTACGTTCAGTTGAAAATAGAAAATCCTAGACATTTTATTTCACGAAAACTTCCCCATCTCCAACAGCTTGAAACTCGAATTGAATTAATTAAAATTTCCTGAAATGTTTTTTCGAAATACCTGAAGGTTTAACTGAGGCATGAAAATTATCCGAAAAGTGTAATCTCCGAATGCCTCCCAAAAATATCCCCATTATCCTCAAAAATGGAAAAAAATCTTTTTTTTTTTCAGAATGTACACCCGCCAATGCCTCGCAAACGCCTCAGGCACAGCAGGTGCAACAGTAAGCACATCAGGGCGTCGTCAGAAGCACGAGACTGATCAGGAGGATTCCCAAGATAAGAATGATCTCCAAGGTAAAATACAATTCTACCAAAAGTTGTCCTCTAGCCATCAGCAGCTGACACCAGTTAAGCACGTGTCATCAAAACCAGCAAGTGGTCCTAGTGGTCATGGTGGTGGTTTACCACTGGGACAATCACTAACACCAGAACGCCAATACAAATTCAACACATTCAAGCTCACCCAACCATCTCAAGCCCAATCAACCCCTGATAATCTCGATATATCCGGTATTTGTATTGGACAGATTGACAAACACAGGGAACACATTAATTACAATTCTCAGCGTTCACACAATTACTATCAATCATTTATAAAACGTTTACCCAATGATAACGCGGAAACACGTCGTATTGACAAACAGAGTTATTTTTTTCATGGGCATAAAACTGAGAAAAATTTAAATTCAAAGGAAAAAGTAACGGTGGAGGAGAGCTACAATAGATCACATAATTCACTGGACGATGTTGTTGACACTACATTGACCAGTTTCTACGGTCCTGGCGAAATTAAAGACATTGAAAAACCGAAGAACGTGGAATTCACTGAGCTCGAGGGTGAGATATTCAAGAAAAATTCCATTCAAAATGAATCAAAAGGTTGTAAGAGCCTAGATTCCCTAGACAGCACTGCAGACTGGCCTGCCAAGAACGCCAAGAGTCTCGATGAGCTCGAAAAAACTCCCACCCCAGGATACTTTTCACGCAATAAAACCTACAGGACTGTGGACTCCACGACAAAACGAAAGCGAACAAATATATTTCATCGCATTGGGCGTTCCCTTCATTTTTTACCCAGAGGGAGGAAGGAGGGGAGTCCCCCGGATCCTCGAAGGGACCAGGAGCATCTCCAGGAGAAGTCTGATGAGTATTTTCTGAGGAAAAATCAGGACAAACAGATGCATTTTTTTGAACTATCCAGGAGTGATTTTTTTGACAAAAGGAGGCAAAAAGTCACGAGTGATAACGAGAGGGAGGGAGAGGACGAGGAGGAACTCCTGAAGGATCTGTTTGGGATGAACTCAGTGATTGATAAGTTTGAAAGATCGAATGGAGATGATTATTCACTTGGAACAAGTGCCAATAAGGATAGCCTGGAGATTGGTTACTCCATCAGTCAATTTGGAAGACTTTATCTTCAAAATGTACGGCAGAATGAGGGGTGGGGCGGGGGTGAGGCAAAGGGGGGAAAAAGGATCGAGTGTTACAGGGATCTCAAGCCTCAGGGGAATCTTGATATCATCAAGGGAATTCTCCTGGATCTATTCGTTTGCATTTGCATCTGAATTATCTTGGAGGGGAGGTAGTCTCTTACCACCGTTACTTATTTTTGGAAATTTTGGTGTTAGGAGTTGAGGGGAGAGCATTGTAGCCTCGTCAGAGTAGGGAGATTGGGGTGAATGGAGTCTTTGATGAGAGATTTCTGGAGATCGGCTGAGCGAGATCCAACAAGTCTGGGCTCATTTTCAAGGGTGGAAAAATGTCTTTAAAATGAGCACAGACTTGCCGCAATCAGACCACTGGATCCGGAGATATTGTAGATTAAAGAAGATTTTTGAAAAGTTTAGTTTTTTTGATCCAGGAAAAACCGGGGATTATCTCAGGGGGGAGTCGGTTTACGAGAAAATGTCAAAAGATCTCTTTTGAAGAGCTTTGAATTCTCTACAAAAAACGTGTTGTGGCATTTTGTCGTAGCACTCCTCGTTACCAAGCTATTGCGATAATAAAAAAAAGAAAAGAAAAAATTCGGATAATTCCGTGGAAATTAATGCTCCATTTTGCCCCATTTCTCTCCTAATTCTTAAATAGTCCAGTTGTCATACCAATTTTACTTATTACCAACCGATACATATATGTTCCTATGATTAAACTCAATGCAGTTCGCGACTTATACCAAATTATAACATTAATACGTTCAATAGATAATAGAATATCCTAGGTAAACCTATTTTAAACGATCATAAATGACGCACATCTGACAAAATTCATTACATACGGCTGACTAGTGATCATTTGGAAATCATTTAGTATTTTTTATTGAGATTGTGGCGATGAGACTGATCAATACAGTCATTCATTCGTTATTTTAAACTTGAGACTGCGAAAATTTTGATACTCTCGTTTTTTTTTATTAGTTAATTTACGTCTTCTGGGGAATTATGATGACTTTTAATCCCTGTGTTCACACTTTTTATACATATTTACACAATTTAATTCGTAGTTTAAGGACTCTAGTGTGCATCGTATGAGGGAATCAGAATTCTGGTGAAATGAGAATTATTTTCAAGTTTTTCGATTATTTTTTTGTTATTTTTTGATTGATGGAATAATCTTGGGGTTTGCTCTTAATTTTGAGGATCAGAGATGATTATCAAGTGCCTTAATACACTATAAGATACGTTTTGCAGATCAAATAAGACGAAAAATATCTTCATTTCACCAGTTTTCTGAGATTTTTCAATTTTTTCTCAATTTATCGTTCAAATGTCCCCATTTTTACGGACATTTAATGCCATTTGATAAATGTAAACTTAATTAGGAAGATTTTTTTCTCCTCCTTTATTTTATCGATTTATTAATTAATTATAAAGTTCATTAGACAAATGAATTATAGAAATAAATGTTTTTCCATTCAAGGACTGGTCTAATTTTATTTCTCTCTGCACACCATGAATTATTAAAAGTAGTATTGTGATGGTTTCTAACATCCTTGGTTCATTTTTTCTCACTTGGCTTGAATGGAAAAACCGTTATATCGTGTATTAGATTGAAATGTATATCAACTGAGGTATCGATGGGTTAATAACAAAAAGTTTCATTGACTACACATTTTTTGTCAACTTTTTGTTTTTTCAATATCGATATCCTCTCGCTTTATTCTGCTTAAACGATGTCTTTTAGTTTTTGACGATAATTTTAATTAGATGTTGTTCGTACAATTTCTTACCATTTCCATAGCCAAGCGTGAAAAATTATTATCTCATATTTGCTCATTAACAATTGGAATTTTGTAGTGAAGTAGTGAAAAATTTGATGATTTGGTTGTTAGTTTTTTACGAATATCTCATGAGGGAGTGGGTTTGGAGAAAAATGTCATAGAAGCTTTTTTTAGCGCATGAAATTCCCTGCAAAAAAGGTACTGTGACATTTTTTGCTAAACCCAATAGTTCCAGAGATAATCGCAGCCATATCTGATTGTCAGAAAATCACATTATTAGCTTTTTATTCGAACTTATTTGGAAATATCTCGGAATCTAATAGGTTTAGAGAAAAACGCCACAAGAGCTTTTTTGTAGTTCTTGAAATTCTCCATAAAAAGTGTAACACCATATTTTTCTCTAAACCCAATAGTTCTCGAGATATTCGCAAAACAATAAAATCGAAATTTTGGAACTTATTGCATTTCACTGCTTCGCTAGCAAATAAATATCAAAGAGACTCATAACGTGAATTTTCGCACAATTTCATTCATCATAAATTAAATAGTGGTGATTAGACGGTTGCACCGGTGGGTATTCATCCAGAATAATATCAGAATTTTTGTGAAACCTTTAAAAAAATGAAGAATTTAACTGAAATGCTTAATCCGTCAATATCGCATGATTAACGGCCCTTGAATGATCATGAGATGATATGAATTTTCATGGCACGACTGTTGATTAATGGATTAAAAGCCTCAATTTTTCATGCTCGGTTTTTTTACGAGGAAAGAGGAAAATGAGTGGTCTTTGAACATCTCTGTTTGAAAGAGAAAAGATCACTCATTCTGCATTCCTTTCCTCTTGTTTTTCCTTTAATGATGACGGAGATTACTTCATTATGAGTGGTTTATGTGGACAATATTTTTCAGCAACCACTGCAGACGGTCATGAGAAACGAAGGGTCAGCATGCGAGTCCTACGTAATCCCGCACCCACGCCAGCGATAGTTGATTTGACAAAATCAAAGTGAGTTACATTACATGATATCACGTAGGTTACGTGGAGAGAATTATCCGGTGAAAATCAATGAGTTAATAACATTTATCATCATGATGTCATAAAAAAAATTATGGGAATTACAGGGGAATGTTCGGGAATATTTCAATTATTGCATCGAATATGCCGAATTCTTCGAGAAAAGTCAAAAGAATTTTTAATTCATTTATTGAAATGATTCCTAAATTGATGGAAATTGAAAAAAATCGGATGAAATTCGGGAAAAACATTGCATTATGAATTCTCAGGCAAGGGGGATAACAAAATTTGATGAAAGGAATTATTCATAATTTTTTAAGCCATTTTTTTAGATTTATTTATCCTTTTCTGGCGGAAAATGACAAAAGCCTTTTTTCAAAGAGAAAGAAATGCAAAAAATGGCGTGAATTTTTCTCGTGAGATTTATTATTAATTGACTGAAATGATTACTAAATTGATGAAAATAAAAAAAAACTAATGAAATTTGGCAAAAATATCGCGCCATGAATTCTCCGGCAAGAGAGAATGAAATAATTTGAAGAATAACTTCAAAAATTTGTGTGGAAACTAGGTGAAACGAATTCTTAAAATTAAAAAATAAATATCTTGAATTTTTCTCCTGAAATTTCTCATCATCGAGACAAATATTACTAAAACTTCAATTTCCCAATAATTCTCTCCACGTACAGCACCCTAAAAACAACACACTGGTAACGGGTTTTCGTGGTTCATTGGTATCTAATAAAACATCACAAGACATTCACCATAATAATAAAATCATAGCTTTACACTGGGATATGGTGTCACTATACCGTGGCATGGTGCGGTATGAGGTTATCGTTATCAATCCTAAACAAATAATAATTCCAAAAAGACTGATAATCAATTGCTCTTACCCATTATTCTAAAAACTATCTAAATTTCAAAATTCTAAAAACCATAATCCGTAATTTAACGTTTTATTTGCATGCAGGGAAGTGTCGTGAGACATGAAACAACAAATTTGACAAAAAAAAATTCACTCCATTATTTCTGTTTCTGCGTTGATTTTTCAGGTAAACTGACACTGCTATGATTTAAAAAAAAAAACAATTCTAGAAATCGAATAGTGTATAAGACTAGGGGCAAAATCTATTGATCGAATAGAATAAATCGAGAATAAATGAAACAACAAAACAGAAAAACAAAACAGACAGAACATTTAAAACAACAACAGAACATTAAAGACCACTGATTGATTGTTTGATTGATTAATGATGAAAAATAAATAAACAATACACAGAAGGATTCGAAAGAAAATGGTTGCTGTGCCACGGTAGAGAGGACTCCTCATCCAGAATTCAGAAAGTTGATTAAAAAAAAGTCAAAAACTTGAATAAAGAAGTACAATGAAACGCCTAATGTGGCCGTTTGTGTATCTTTTGTTTTGGAAGCGACATAGTGAGGGGTTTGACCCCAAGGAAGCTCAGCTAGGCAAACGTTCAACGCAACAAGTGAATCGACAAATTAATCAAACGTCTAGTGGAAATCGACAGTCATCGTCAACGGGTGCTCGTCAAACTCGTAAACAATAGTATCCATTATGATTTGAAAAAAAAAAAAACTGATGATTGATCTATCGATTTTATCGTGATTAATCATTAATTCAATAAATGAAAAACTATTGTGAATATTCACTGTGCAAGGGAGACTGTGTACATGCGTATGATATGGATGAATGCATAATGTGAAATTAATCCATTATTCGTAAATGCAATATTTAATACGCCCTAATGACTATTATGTGTTTATTAAAGTATGGCATCATTAATTAACCATTTTTCATGGGTGTGAGGCACGTCGGATCATCCCCCAGCCTTTGCTAATATTTTTTTTTCTCATGTGGGATTGAAGAATTTACGAGTGGAGTTGTGAAATCGAAGGGAGTGAGTGGATAAATGTCTCTTGATGAGAATCAACAGGAATTAAAATGAAAGTTATCAACTTTATTCAGTTGAAAACAAAAGTTTTTCAACTCATCATCGAAGTAATTCACTATAAATGCATGAACATGTGATTTTTCACTCGTTATATTTCACAACTTCACTGCCGAATTCATTGAAGAGAAACTCGTGTATTGACATGTGCAATTTTTGTATAATTTGATGATAAATGAACATTTTTTTACATAAATGTTGTCGAGAATACGATAAAATTGGCTGCAAGTTGCTGATAAAACTTGATTGAATCTGTATATCAATTGATCAGTTATTCTTGGCGTTTAAAGAGAGTCTCGTCTGCAAACTGTCATAATCAATAATTTGCTATTTGTAACTGATGTAATAAAACTCGTGATCCTGTTACCGCTGCGTCCTCAGGGGTGGGTTTTCGTAAAATGGAAATGTTCAATCTTCGATATCTCCTGAACGAATGGTACCACTTCAGCAAATCTGGTCTCATTTCAAAGTACAATAAAAAAGCTTCAAAATGACGCCAAATTTGAGAAAATTTCACTCAGCCAATCTTGAGTTATGGAAGATTGAAATCTCGCTATTTATACGATATTTCATAAATGCTTCTCTAACGCTTTAAGATTGAATTATATACTCTTCACTAAAATTCACATTTTCCTCTTCTGTTACTACTCTCATTTAGAATATTTATGTGATTTTTGTATATTACTTTTTTCTGTATCGATTATCACCGTACGTTTCAATTCATTCGAGACGAGAACGAAAATAAAAGACACTGCCAGGAATTTTTACAATTCTAGAAAACGGGATTCCCTCCTTCCCCACGGTTATTCCAATGTTTATAAATCGTTCAAAGATCTTATCAGCGGTTTAAATTATTTACATGTGGTTAAACTAATGGGGGAGTGATATGAAGTTGAAACCAATTATAAAGATGATTTTGAGAATATCTCAGGAACGACGAGGTTTAGAGGAAAATGTGAAGAAACTTTCTTAGAGAATTTTGTCAGCTTTAAAAAAGATCTCTTGACATTTTTCTCTAAACCTACTAGTTTTTGAGATATTCGCGAAATAGTGATCTAGAATTTTCTGAATTTCCAACTGATCATTAATTTTTAGTTCATTTCATGAGTGATGGTTTAGGAGAAATTCTTCATTTCACGCCCGACTCGGAGAATTTTATCATTTTCCCTCACAAACGCATTCTCGATATCGTCATACCATGGGTTAAATTTCGAAATGACTACATACTCCTTAGATTTTTATTTGTTAGGGGATTTTTTTTCATTACTTCATAGATAATCCAAATGATTTTTTTTATTATCCGTTAATCATACGTAGGTATTGCACTCGTGTGCGTTTGAATAAGGCCTTTGCTGGCCTACTAGCAAAAATATGTTGATAATGAGAGGGTAGATGTGAGTGAGTGAGAATTTTCATAGCATCTGCAGACGCGAAAAAAAGGGATTACGAAGCAATGATAAATACGTTTTTTGCTAATTGGATGATAATCGTTGTGACGCATCAGACGATTTGTACATATTATATACGATTTACAATATATGATAATCGATTAAGGATTTATATCGTAATTCGAGTGGAATGGACATTGAAGTAATTGAGTGTGTGAGCATATGAGGGCGTTATAAAAAAAGATGTAAAGCGAGATGACTGTGACAAGCTGAGCATGAACACAGAATTGAATTGTAAACTTTTGTGTACAATATAGAATCAGAATTGAGGTATTTATGGTTTTTGATTTATTTGAGACGCTTCGAGCATCCCACTTCTTCGAAAATTATTAGTACAGAAGAAAATCCTTCCGGAAACGGCCGTTAGCAATTCGTTAAATGAATAAATAAATGAGTATGTTGGAAGGACTCACCGGCGTTGGATGAAAACAACAGCTCCGTTTTCACCTCTCGTACCGCGTACCTCTGCTGTCACCCACAGGGTTGAATCCTCCCTTCTCCTTGTCCTTTGATGTGCTGCTTTGCGCATCCGGCCGGTGTAATCACAGTTGAATCCTCTCAAATGCACTTTCACTCCCAAAATAATAAATTTTATTTGCACTAATAAGAAGGAATGAACGAAAGAAATTCCCTGAACTATGGAAAATTTGAGACTCTTGGCACATTTCACCAATAATAATTGCATCATACAATGACTTCCCTCCCCCATTATCACTATTTCACCCTTCACTCACGATTTTTTAAATTAAATAGCCCCGAATTCACTCAAAAGAAAAAATACAAAGAACACCCGCGACCTCGAAATCGCGCACTGAACGCCATCTTTTGTATTTATCATCACGTCGACAACGACGGAATTCCCGAGAACACTTTGACACTTTTCACAACCCCACAATCACCACAAAATCCCTCATGTCCATTGACTCCACTAATTCCACACTTTAATCACATTTTTAGTCAATTAAAAAGTCAATAATCACGAGGAGACGTCCAAAACCCTAGTCCCTTGTCCAGAATTACACAGCAGGCGTCATCTTGTCACGTCACAAAGACGTCGGTCACACAGGGACGAGAGATATTTTCCGTGTGACTTTCATATTGTCCTGGCACTTGTAAAGCACCAGGATAATCGCCAATTCAATCATAAAATGGTTGCTGTCCATCGTTATTAATTAACTGTTGCATTGTTCATAATTATTTAGACGATTTTACCCTCATTTCTCCTCAAAAACGCGCCAAATCCTTTGTTCAGCGTTAAACACTGGTCGTCATCTTGAATGTGCGCGGAGAGAGTGCGCGAGGGACTAGAGGTTTTGGTGGTATGAATTATTTTTCAGTCTCCAGTGTTTGTAATTCGCCACACCAATCATTAATTTCATGATAAAGTCATTGTTGGACATGATGAGTAATTAATTGTTGCATTTTTAATTATTATTAAGTTCATTTTACCGTCTTTTTCCGCGAAAATACGTAGAGAAAACGCCAACGTGCCGTTCAGTATCAGAGACTCTCCGCCATCTTGAATATGCGCAGGGAGAATGCGTGAGGGGCCAGAGGTTTTGGTGGTGTGAATTATTTTTCAGCCTTCAGCGCTTGTAATTCGCCACACCGATCGTTAATTTCACGATAAAATCATTGTTGGACGTAATGAGTAATTAATTGCTGCATTTTTAATTATTATTCAGTTCATTTTACCGTCTTTTTCCGCGAAAATACGTAGAGAAAACGCCAACGTGCCGTACAGTATCGGAGACTCTGCGCCATCTTGAATGTGCGCGTAGAGAATGCGCGAGGGACTAGAGGTTTTTGGCGTTGTGAATTAATTTTCTTCATGTCCTTACGTTTGCATTACGCGATAAAAACTATCAATTTCATGTTAAAAACTGTTGTTGGACATTGTGATCCATTAATTACTGCACGATTAATTATTATTCTGTTGATTTTACCCTGTTTCTGCCCGAAAATACACGAGGGAACGCCAAACACGACCAGTCCAGCCGCCATCTTGAAAATAGTCCCGCGCATTGAGACCTCCGAATTCCAATATGGCGACTGGCCTTTCTACTGATTCGGGAGTTTGGCGTTCGCTCTACATGTGTTCGCGGAGAAATAGGGTAAAATCAGCTGAATATTAATTAAAAGTACCATAATTAATTAATCATCACGTTCAAGAATCATTTTATCGTGAAATTAATGAGTGGTATGGCGTATTACAAGCGCTGAAGGCTGAAAAATAATTCACGCCATCAAAACCCCTAGTCCCTCGCGCATTCTCCCTGCGCCTATTCAAGATGGCGGAGAGTCTCCGATACTGAACGGCACGTTGGCGTTTGCTCTACGTATTTTCGCGGAAAAAGACGGTAAAATAAACTGAATAATTATTAAAAATGCAACAATTAATTACTCATCATGTCCAGCAATGATTTTATCATGAAATTAATAGTCGGTGTGGCGAATTATAAACGCTAGAGACTGAAAAATAATTCACACCACCAAAACCTCTAGTCCCTCGCGCATTCTCTCCGCGCATATTCAAGATGACGACCAGTGTTGAACGGTGAACAAAGGATTTGGCGCGTTTTTGAGGAGAAATGAGGGTAAAATCGTCTAAATAATTATGAACAATGCAACAGTTAATTAATAACGAGGGACAACAACCATTTTATGATGGAATTGGCGATTATCCTGGTGTTTTACAAGTGCCAGGACATTATGAAAGGTTCACACGAAAAATATCTCTCGTCCCTGTGTGACCGACGTCTTTGTGACATCACAAGGTGACGCCTGCTGTGTAATTCTGGACAAGGGACTAGGGTTTTGGACATCTCCTCGTGTTTATTGACTTTTTAATTGACTAAAAATGTGATTAAAGTGTGGAATTAGTGGAGACAATGGACATGAGGGATTTTATGGTGATTGTGGGGTTGTGAAAAGTGTCAGTGTTCTCGGGAATTCCGTCGTTGCCGGCGTGATGATAAATACACAAGGTGGCGATCAGTGCGCGATTTCGGGGTCGCGGGTGTTCTTTGTATTTTTTTGTCCGAATCAATTCGGGGGTATTTAATTTAAAAAATCGTGAGTGAAGGGTGAAATAGTGATAATGGGGGGAGGGAAGTCATTGCATGGTGCAATTAATATTTGTGAAATGTGCCAGGGTCTCAAATTTTCTATGGTTCAGCGAATTTCTTTCGTTCATTCCTTCTTATTAGTGCAAATAAAATTTATTATTTTGGGAGTGAAAGTGCATTTGAGAGGATTCAACTGTCATTACACCGGCCAGATGCGCAAAGCAGCACAACAAAGGACAAGGAGAATGGAGGATTCAACCCTGTGGGTGACAGCAGAGGTAGGTGGTACGAGAGGTGAAAACGGAGCTGTTGTTTTCATCCAACGCCGGTGAGTGCTTCCAACATACTTATTTATTTATTCATTTTCATCAATAATTCGAGACAATTGTCACTTGATCTCGAATTATTACATCACTTTGACAATCACTTTTTACCTGGCAAACTCTCAAAAATAATCATGTCGCGAGAAATCCACCATCCACAGGGAGTGCTGTTCCTGTTATCATGCTACTGCGATCACTCAACAAGTAAACAGTTGCGTCTATGACTTCGTCGACCTCTGTAATTAGAGAAAAGCAGGATAACACTCTGTGATATCATTATCACGTAAGAGAGAGTTAATTTTTCTCGATTTATTCATATCTCTGTTGAGTTATATTCAGTGCTTACCAGCAAATCTGCCGAGGGGAATTTTATCAATCAGATCTTTCGCTTTCTTCGGATCCTCCCAACCGAGTTTTCCCATAGCCGTCATAACTACCGTCGGATTCACACTGTTGACTCGAATTTTGTGTGGACCCAGTTCCAATGCCATCGCTCTATAATGAAAAATTGCAAATCAACTGCAATAATCACCTATTCAATCGTTTTTTTCAGTTGTTTTAGGAGAAAATCAGTAGCGAAGCGGTAAAACGGTTTATATCTCAGAATCTAAGGGAGATGGCAAAATTTTTGACATGACCTTTTCTACAGCACTCTATTCGCTCTACAAAAAAGGTCATTACAAAAATTTCGTTATCTTCCTTAGATTCGAAGATATTCCTCAAAAACTCAGATGATAGTTGAGTCGACTTGAACCGTTTTACCGCTTCGCTACTGAAACGTCAACATGGCTCTTCTCAACTGCCTCATCGCCGTTTAAATTGTTTATAAAAATTGTGAATTACTTTGTGAGCATTTCGACAGCTCCCTTGGACGCGCAGTAAACCGCGTGATCCTTGATGGCTGCCTGACTAGCCTGCGAGGAAATGTTGACAATACTTCCTGCGCAATTTCGTTTAATCATGTCTTCAGCGACTATTTGCGAGACATTGAAAATCGCTTTGACGTTCACATCCATCGTGATATCGAAATCCTCCTTCGTCAGTTGTAGAAATGGGGCGAGGGTGGCAACGCCGGCGTTATTGACGACCATATCGATCGGTAAAATGCTCTTCACAGCGGTTCTTGTCGCATCCCAGTCTCTCAGATCCACTGTCAGTGTGATTATCTTGGGGTCCTCGATCTTCAGAGTGTCCAGGAATTTCTTGGTTCGAGATATTGCTATTACCGTGGCTTTGTACTTGGATAGACGCAGCGCAAGATCCCTACCGATTCCTCCAATTCGAAAAAAAATCGTGATGAAAATTTTTTATGATGACTGCATCTAAATTCTAAATTTTGTGAATTGGACCTCCATTTTAGCTATGTTAAAGAATTGAGGAACGTCAATTATTATACATACATTATTAGATTCAATTAGAATTAAAATAGATTTAGAATTTTAAAAAATAGGCGTGTAAATTTTTACAATTTTCAATGATTTTTATTGTCGTTCGGATCTGTTGATTATTCCAGATATTAACTACTAATCACATCCGTACAAATTTTACGTAAATTAATCGCTGAAGATTCCAAGATTTTTATGGTTGAAACTTCAAGAGTAATTTTATAACGGTTCATCATTTTTAACATCGGTTGTGAAGTTTAGTGATCGTATCTCGTTTATTACTGCAATTACTTGCCCGAGGAATTGAAGATTTTATTACAACGAGGAGAACTAGAACCCTAATAATATAATATAGTTGTTTATTACGTACCTTGACCTGCACCAGTGACCAATATCCTCTTCCCCTCGAACGAAATGTTCATTGTTGATGATTATGTAGAGTAAATGCGTTGAATTGATGTTGCCTGCTGGCTGGTGACCCACAGACTGATGTTAGCGATGTTATCTTTACGGTTTTATGAGTGGCTACAATGTCTTCGGAGGGTCTTATATAATATTTTGAATACTCATGCGAGAATATGCAGCTGCATGAGGAAAAAGTTGAAGTAATCGAATGCAACAAGTTGATATTTCGCGCCTCTTATCACGCAATTATCTCCAAAACGGTCAATCCCACAGGAAAATGTCAAAAAACATTTTTTGTTGGAAATTTTCGCGGCAACAAAAAATGTTTTGTGACATTTTTCGCTACAATTATTCGTTTCCAAGATAATTACAAAACATCAAAAACAAAAAAATTCAACTTATGAAGTTTAATCTCATGAACAAGATTATGTTCAATGCCGAATAACTCGGGATCGGCAGAGTGAAATTCAGGGATTTTTTTATTTTGAAGATAGTTTTTCAAGCTTTGGAATGAGCTGTAACTCGTTAGAATCGCGTCATTAAATCAGGAGATATTTAAGATTGAACATGCGCCAGTGATTTCAATTTTTCCGGTGAAGTGTGGAAATTAAATCTCTACTTCACCGGTCTCGCGGACATTTTAATAGAGAAACATTCCGGGAGAGGGCTCTCTTCACAGTTCAAGGTCCTTCACCCAAGTAAAAAAAATTTCCGTCAAGTCCTACATAAACACCAGAAGGTTATGTTTTCACAAAATTCTTCAACCTAATTCACATCATCACTGATTTTCCATTGAAATTCACGAGTCAGAGGTAATTGACGAATTCTACGATCAGAATTGAAGCATTAACTTCGCTTTACCAGTGAAATTCAACCATTTGCTCCAGTGTTTTGTGCCAGAAGTGAAATAAACAGAGCAGGCTCGAAAAATAAGTAAACAAAACGTCTCTGACAAATCGTAAAGATGACGTCGGTGGATTCAGGCGTTGACACTGGCAATGACTCCAATGACAGTGGCCAAGCTGAGGGACAATTGCTGTTCGCACCACCATCCACAAACTCTGTTAAACGAGGAAGAATTGTCGAGGTGAAGAGGAACCCGGAGGATAATGGAAAACAGTTGGAGATTGTGGAGACGAGTAATGAACAAACAACTACACCCACGACAATTCTATGTCTCACCCAGAATTCAAGCCCATTATCTCTTCATTTTGTGAGGAATGGGGATGCACCTGGAGGTGCTCTTGCTCTGGAACGGGTAATTTGATGATTAATTCGTTAATTAGTTAGCTGAGAGAAGTGTGGGAGTATTATTCTTAATTTGATCATGGAGCAGACGAATTTGGTTCACGTTTTTTAAAATTATCTTGGGAATGAGAGACATTGGGAGAAATTATCAGTATATCTTTTTTGTGGGGAATTTAATGGGCTTTCAATAATTTCTTCACGAATTTTCGCGTAGAAGTAGTCGCTATTGAGATAATTTGATATTTAACAAAACGTTAATTGAGTTGTGTACTCATTTTGTTGGGGAAATTTTCGTTTTCTTTTTGTGGATTATCTTGGTAGCGAGTAGTTCTTTGGAAAAATGTCACAAAACCTTTTTTGCAGCTGAGAAAATTTCCCATGAAAATGATTTGTGACATTCTTTCATAGGATCACTTGTTATCAAGATAATCAGGGGATAACATTATCAATATAATTATTGATTCGATGTAGATTCTCATAATTTTTCAAATTATCTTGATCATGAGTTATTTTAAGAGGCATTGACGTAAGGAGATATTTTCTGTAAATAATTTAATTTTTAATAAGCTATAGAAAATTCCTCTTGACCTTTTTCTCGTAGAATTCCTCATCATTGAAATCCTTTTATATTCACTAAAACGTGAATTAACTTGTTCAGTGCTCTAATTTCCCTGATTCTCTTATTACAGACTCTAGAATTTTGTTTACCAGAGCCTGTGCTAAGGGCAGATAGCAAATGGCTCTGTAAAAATAATGTCAAAGGTACGATATACCCTTAAATTCCATTAATCCATACACATGGAATTATCCTGGTAACGAGTGATTTTAGGAGGAAATTTCAAAAACACTTTCTTTAAAATTTCATAACCTACAGCAAATGGTTTTTTATTTGATAAATTTTTCCTGATTGCTCAATTGTCGCGGTAGTGACTCATTTTATCACAAACCTCTGAGACTTTGATGTCTCTTGAAATTTTCTCCCAAGTCCAATAATAAAAATCAAAACCCCATCAATCAGCTGAATTCTTTCAGAACAACTGGGTAGCATAAAATTCCATTCAGAACACCTCGGTGACATAGGATTCCATTCACATAAATTGTGTAATAAGAGCGGAAGGGCATATACTAGAAGCGAAAGGGCATGCAGTACAAGAGAAAGAAGACAAGCTGGAGATCCATTTCAGCGTTCAATGTGGGAAAAACGGATGCGTCTTGCGGCAGCAACCAACAATGTAGAGTTGATAACCAGTCTCCTGGAGAAAGGGGTGTCCCCTAACAATGCTGACGCCCAAGGACGCTCTCCCCTCCACTTGGCGTGCTCCAGTGGCTACACGGACATCGTTAAATTACTACTGGATTATGGGGCTGATCCCAACAGAACTGACACACTGGGAAATACTCCACTGCATCTGGCAGCTGTCACCTCCAAAACATCAGTTGTTGTTCTCTTGTTGAAGGCTGGAACCAATGTATTGTCCTTTGATCGTCATGGGTACAATCCCCTTCAGCTCGCTCAAACGAAACTACGAATGCTCCAGAATTCCAAGAGCTCGGAAATCAGCCAAGTTAAGGAGGAAGTTCACAAAGTTGTGGAGATGCTTCTCGCTTATCTCCAACAGCAGAAGGACGTTGGCGTACAAATCGAGGCTCTGAGCTCTTTCTGCTCAAGACTCTCTTTGTCAAACACCACTGACCAGGTGCAGGACGATGTCAAGGACCTTCTCGCAAGCATTGATTCACTCAGTTTGAGTAATAACTGAAGATTCTTCGTTAATTTTTCATTGTTTTTTGTGGGAGCGAGTGGAAGTCTCTGTCATTAAATCAACAGTTGGAGAACATTCCATTGGAGAAATCAACCCTCATACGTAATTTTATATATTTTTTTGCATTAAAAATATATTAAAATGATTTTTTCATTCATTTCAACGATTTTTTGATCGAATTATTCATTCATATTCTTAAATTTTTCATTTTCTTTGAGACATTCTGGCGATATTTTATGGGTCTCCCCTAAATTTGTTCGCTCATGGCGACTTCCATACAACGTCTCCTTAGTTTTTCAATGAGAAAAATGAAAAAATAGGATCAGAAAATGTTGAGATCTTGTCAATTGCATCTCATGTCAGGAGTGATGAATAAAGGAGGTTTTTTGTAGATCTAAATGATAAAAAGAGTTATTTTGAAAAGGAGATTGCATTAGTGATGGAGTGATAGAATATTTTCTCTCAAATGTTGAATTATTTCATTGAATTTAATGGTTTTGGTGAGAAATGTCGAGACACCATCCTCTTAAAACATATTCTTCATAGAATGACATTTTGTCCGGAACCACTCATCACTGACACAAATACATGATTAGTAACAACTATTAAATTATCTAATTGATTTGATCAACAAAATGTCGACACTAATTTTTTGCAAGTGAGGAAGTTTCTTACAAAAAACTTTTCTAGACGAATTTGTAATGAAAAAAAAATTATATTCAACTTTTAACGTTCTATTGCTTCATTACTGCATCCACATCAATCTCGTTTTTATATAATTATCATTATATATTAATATTAATATTATTATTTGAATTGTGGACTATCGTTTCTGCCGAATGAACTGCTGTGATTGTCTAACGAGCAATAACATTTTCCCCCTGTGAGATACATCGCCATGATTGCTCCATTGTTTCAAATACTTATCATTTCTTATTCGAGGTTTATCAGCATTGTAAATATCCAGTGTAATTGAATTGGCATCAGCTATAATGCAGTGAGTCAGTAGATGAGTGGTCTATCTGTTCCTCTCCGATAATTATAGCTGATAAAATTATATATGCGTATGTGTGCAGCTATTGCCTGTAGTTTTTATACTCGTGAAATACACGGATTAAATGAAACAAGTGGCTTATAAATTCAAATTCATTTAATACGTTTATCATCATTACTGGGACGGCTAATCAGAATTCTGAATATTCAAAAAAACGTGGAAAATGGGAAAGGAACCATTCAGTTCTGTAGGGAAGTGGTGAAAATTCCGAGAGAGTAAAACGATTTTTCACCTGTTTTTTTGAATATTTTTTCAAGGAAGAGATCAAGGGAAAAATGTCAAGGGACTTTTTTCTGCCTAACTCGCACGCCTCTAATCAAGTTTTTTTAATTTCGGTGATTATTTTGAGGGCACGTGGATTTAGAAGTAATTCTCACGTGAATTTTTTGGAAAGGTTTCTAGAGAAATTCCACCCTTCAATTCCGAGATATTCAACAACAACTGGAGGGGAATTTGTTTTTCAAGAAATAAAAAATTCGGTTGTGTTTTGGAATTTTTCAAAAAATTCCAATGCTGCAATTTTCAATATTCTTCTTCTATCGTTTTTTGAAAATATTTTTTGAAGGAAGAGGTTTAGAGAAAAATATCAAGAGACTTTTCTCTACCAAACTCTCGCGTCTCTTATCAAGTTTGAGAATTTCGGCGATTATTTTGAGAGCATGTAGATTTAGACGGAATTCTCATGTGAATTTTTTGGAAAGGTTTCTAGAGAAATTCCGCCCTTTAATTCCGAGATATTCAACAAAAAGTGCAGGGGAATTTGTTTTTCAAGAAATAATAAATTCGGTTGAGTGTTTTGGAATTTTTCAATAATTTCCACTGCCACCCTTCAATTCCAAGATATTCAACAACAACTGGAGGGGAATTTGTTTTTCTAGGAATGAAATTTCGGTTGAGTGTTTTGGAATTTTCCCAAAATTTCCAATATTGCAATTTCCGCTATTCTCCTTCTATCCATTGAATTCGTTTTAATATTCTCATCTTCCAAAAACAATTAGGGAACTTTATTCAAGAAAGAAAATTCCCCAAGCCTGGGATAACTTAGGTGTCAAAAGCTGACAGAATGAGTTATCCCAGGTTTTTTTCCTCATTTTTTATACAAAATTTTGAATTTTTCTTGTTTACATTTTTTTGGCGTTTCATAGAGAAATAATAAGTTTTTGCCTTAACAATGCAACTATTGCCTATAGTTTTTGTACTCATAACATGCAGGAATTAAATCAAACAAGTGATTTATAAATTCAACTTTATTTAATACTTTTATCATCATTACTGGGACGGCTAATCACAATTCTGAATATCCAAAAAAAACCATGGAAAATATCGAAGAAACAATTCAGTTCGGTAGGGAAGTGGTGAATAACGAGAGAGTAAAACGATGTTTTCAACATTTTTTTTTTCTTGCAAATATTTTTTCTTAGAAGGAAGAGGTTTGGAGGAATATGACGTGGAACTTTTTTCGCAGAGAACTTCCCGAAAGTCATTCACCACCTACTATATTCATCGCGCATAAACAAAATGAAGCGTTTTGTAATTCCCTAGTAATTGCTCATAGAAATCGCGGGTTCTAAAAAATATTCAACAGTAATTTGTCAATGTATTTTCTCATTTTTAACTGGAAAGAACATCTCCGATCAAAATTAACGAGACCTAGGCCAGTAATTCAGTTGGAGAGTGGGAAAACAATCAATTTCTGGTTTTAAAAAATTTTAATTTCAAATTAATTCTCTGATTTAAAGTCAATTAATTAATTAACTTCAAATTTTAAGAAATTAACTAAAAATTTGATCCAATTTTTCGTGAATATCTCGATAGCCAAGCCATGTGTGTACATTTTCCTCAAGACCTTTTCTATAGCTCTGTGAATTCTCTACAAAAAAGTTTCTACAAAATTTTGTCCATCTCCCTTAGATAGGGAGGTATTCATAAAAAAAATGGGTTAGAAGTGAAATTTCATTCAATTCCATCTGCATTTTTTGTCGAATATCTCAGAATCTGAAGAAAATGTAGAAATTTTCATGAAAATACTTTTCGCAGCCCTAAAAATTCCCCAAAAAACGTCTATGAGAATTCTCATCCAATTTTTCCTTAAATTTTGAAAAATTGATTTAAAAAAATTGAAACGAAGGCTCAATTTTTGGTGAATATAACCGAATTTTCTACAGAAACTTTATCATCTCACTTGTACACTGAGATATTTCTCTCGTCCCACTTCCCCACTCCCCAACATTGGCACATGCGTCCTAGGACTTGAAATTCTCCCAATTCTCTTTAAATCCTACAACTAATCGAACGATCAACACTCGTCAATCAAAATACAATATTTACAATTGGAATTCTCCCCGAATACATAACGAATGATCGAAGTGATCGATCTAGTCATCAAATCCGTCTTTGTCTCCCCCAAAATTATTGATTTTTCCTTTTTGATCGACAAAAAGGATCAGGGAATTGTCTCGAAAAATACTCTAGTGGTGCATCAGCAGCGGCGTAATTTATGAGCGTATTAATTTTGATTGAAATTCATCAAGTGCATAAAATAAGTGTTCTCATGGCACTGGTCAAGGACTCATTACGTTTGCCAATGAGGGGAAGACCTCAGCCTGCAGTGGCCCATAATCCACCTCCTCTCCATCGACAGTCATGTGGCCATTTGTACCTTCCGGCTCGATACGAAAGGCTCTTACAGGTATCATTTCCACTCCGGGACATGTCAAATGGGCGCCTGTACTCAGCCCCAAGAGGAACTGACGAAATCAAAAAATATCGTTAATTTTATCACCTGCAATACTAATTGAATCAGTTTTAAGAAGTTTGTGTGTTTTTTGTTCTTATCTCTTTGATTATATCACGGGGTAGATAATCTTATCAGTTTTATAATTTGATGAATGAATACAGTGAATGCTACGTTTGTTTTCATTTGAATTTCCGTAATTTTTCATTGAAGTTTTCGAGATTAAAACTGGAATTTGAGTTGGCCTTATCTGAAATCATCAATATCTCCCGAACAAATGATGCGATTTTAGTGGGTCATATGTCACTTTGAAGCCTGAAAAAATACCTTTGAGACGAGAAAAAAATCATCGAATTTCAGTCAGCCGATCTGAAGTTATTAACAATTGAAATCAATGCATTTTACATTTCTCGCTTCTAATCAAGTTTTGGAAATTCGGCGATTACTGCGAGAGAACGGGGATTTAGAGGAAATTGTTATGAGACTTTTTTGAAGAGAGTTTCATGATTTACAAATGAAGTTTTAACCAAAATCCCGGTATCTCTCTTCAATTCCGAGATATTCAACAAAAACTGAAAGTGGAATTTGTTTTTTCAAAAAATACCAATTTCGTTTGAGCGTTTTGGAATGTTTTCAAAGCTTTCAATGCTGCAATTTCCATTATTTTTCTGTGCGTTCAATTTGTCTCAGTATTCTCATCATCCAGGGCAGTTGGAGAATTTTATTTAAGCGGAATAACTTACCTGAAGAAGATTAGTACGTGTGATTCCAGCTCTTATGATCAATAGCCATATCACACCATCGGCTAACTTTGCTCTCGGCGCGATGAAGCAATCTTGACCGATATGTGACTGATAAACTGCGTGCACAACGACAAATTCACCTAGATAAATGGATTATATTTCATTAAATGTAATGTCTCGAGACACGACAGGAGTTTGCAAGTCGGGCTGCCAATTGAAGGGGATGATAATTAAATACCTTGTATCTGTGTCCAACTGTTGGAGAGTTGCGCAGTCAATGCAGGAAGCGATGAGGATGGACCATACATTACGCGACTGCCGCTCTCATTATCTTCATCTGCTGAATTACATTCAATTAATTGGATTCAGGAGATGAGTTTAACTAGTGCGAAAATCATCTCATTAAGGGGAGACTACTATGAGTTTTAAAAGGCACGGGCCATTCATGTAAAATAGCACAGAAAATATTTCTGAAAGAATATATTTTAAATATTTTAAGGATAATTTTTCCTATTTTACATGACTGGCGCTAATTTTTGATTTAAATAAAACGAAATTAGCTGTGTCGGAGTAGATTTTCAAAAAACTAATGCATAATTATTATTGCACACATTTTTTCAAAAATTTTGAGAAAAAAGAAACCTCTGGAGCTCGAAAATTGGAGGGCCCCGACTATTTTTAACATTTTAAGCGTGTGCGGGGCAAACGAACGACAAACAATTTTTTTGCACTTATTATTCTTTTTTAGACATGTATAATCGATCTTCAATGTATGAGAAATCTGACTCCAATCGCCCGCGACTCTTAAAACTCTCCCCTTAATATCTTCGAGGGGGTGAGGACTGCAGAGGAATGTTAGAGGCCATTTTGTTGATTGAGACATTCTCCAGAAAAATATTTTTTGGCATTTTGTTCTCAAAACACTCATTCACAAAATAATTGGACACTGAGGAAAGATGTTTTCAATGAATTGGGAATTCCACTTTGGACTGCAAGGCTTATTAAATATTAAATTGTCTCGAGAACTATGGGATTTACAAGAAAATATCACTAGACATTTTTTTCAGAGAATTTCATGATCTACAAAAATGAATTTATGACATTTTTTCGTTAATTCAATGGTTCTGAAGATATTTGAAAAATACTGTTACTAAAATTTTGAAAACTGGAGGGATTGATTTCACCTGGCGTTGAATTTTCGTTGTCCTCCATACTGTGATAACTCGATGCAGATCCAGTGCTGAAGTACGTAGATTTCCGCGATGTTGCTGAATAAAAACTGTCTAGTCTCGTTCGTGCCTGGGTCTCAGTTTCCAGTGCTAAATTATCAGTTATCACTTCATTTTCGTCCAGATACATGTCGTCAAGGTCACCCGTAACTGAATCCAAAACATCGTGATAACTCTTTGACTCTCGAACTCCACAGTATCTTCGAAACAAAAATATTTACTGTTCATTTTTATTTTCGTTACTGTTGTTTGTGAAGATTTCTATTTCAATCCATTAATTTTGGGATTATTTCGAGAACAAGTCATCTTAGAGGGCAATGTCGAGAGAATTTTTATGTAGATATTGAAAATTTCTACAAGAAAAGTCTTTAAACATTTGAATAATTCTTCTACACTTCATCATTCAACACACAATTGCATAATTATCAAAAAAACAGAATGAATTATTTCTATGAAGTTCTGTTAAAATATTGAATAATTTGAAAATATAATTCACGTGAGTTCATACCTATCGAGCTCATCTCCGTAGCTCCTCGAGTGTGGAATAATGACTCCATCCTTGAAATCCTTATCGTAGATATTTCCATTGCTCTTGCTCGCGACAATGGGCACTTTGTCACACGGCAAGTATGATACCCTTCCTTTATATGTTCTTAATCCAATGAGCCTGGCTAAACTCCAAATGGTGAAGCGTTGGGCGCCAATGGCTCGTAGGCTCTCGCTCTCGATGTCAATGTCTGCTAGGAATCCCCATCCAATTGATAAAAACGAGAAGAGAATTTGATTGCGCGTTTCCACTCGAACAAGGTCCATGGGGGTTTGTCTACTCTTCACGACGGATAGGGCACTTATCAGCATTGGATTCGAGTCGTATGGCTCACTAAATCCAACAAAATGTTTTTTTTTGCATTGGTTGTGCGGAAAAATGTTTGAATTGATAGGAATCGTGAATTAATTCAGTGAAGAAGTTAGTTTTTTTATTTTTGATAGTTGTGTATTTAAAAAACGAGTGGTTTTAGAGGGAAATGTCGAGAGAATTTTTATTCTAACTGGTTAAATTCTCAAAAATATCTTCTGAGCAGTTTTTTTCATTGGTAATTGGGAGGATTTGTTTGAAATAGACGAAATGAATTAATTCAGTAAAGAAGTTGATTTTTAAATTTTTGATAGTTGTTTATTTCATAATCGAGTGGTTTTAGAGGGAGATGTCAAGAGAATTTTTCTTCTAACTGGTTAAATTTTCAATAAAAAATATCTTCTCAGCAGTTTTTTCAATCGACTATAAATTAAAAAATTTGAATATTGGATTATAAATGGAATAATTAAAAATATGGCATTTTAAATTGACTATCGGACAAATATTTCTAAATTTCTTAAAAGGGCTTTTCGATTAACTAAATAATCGTCAAACCTCCGAACTCAATCATCGATTGATAAAATAATTAGAAATTTGGATATTTAATTGTTGATTAATTAAATCATTTAATCATTTAAAATTGACGAGTGTTATTAGCTATTGACTTCTTCAAAATTCAACTCTATTTACAATTGACGATTCTGCCGATGTCTGCTGTATGATAAGAAAAGTCTCGTTCGTACGAGAGGAAAAAAATTGAGAGGAAGAAATCAATGAGCAAACGCTGGATTTCAATGTACATGCACACAGATTTAATGACTCCTGAATCAACAAGTTGAATGTAAATATTGAATGTATCACAGCAGTGTGAAGTAGTCACCAGTTTCATTGAGAATCATAAACCAGAATTAAATGCCTCTATTCACCAAAACATGTTTTTCATTCACAGCAAATCATTGTCATTAAGTGTTAAATAATTAATTCACAGCGTCAGTGATAGAATCATTATTTCTACCGGATATCAAAACAGTATTGGTGATTAGTCGGGCTAAAAATAGGAATGTTCAAGTTGCAGGGAATTACATAATCATCGAGGAAAATACATTTTGCCTGCTTCTTCCTGAATAATTTCACTGGCTAGAACAGGGCGCGCGCATTGTTGAAACATTACCGTTTCTCATTATCATTAATTTCTATCTCAATAGTAATGCAAGAAAAATGAATGGTTTCAACAAAGTTTTTACAATTAAAATTCAATTGTTGAATAATTTATTCAGAATCGTCATAATCCTCTTCATCTGCTTCGCTTCTCTTTTGCTTTTTGCGTTCTTTTTTATTTTTAGGAATGTATTATGTACTATATACATATATACAATCTATATATATTTTTTTACAGAACTATATTAATTTTTTCAATTGTTGAAAAAATTCCAGTATCAAAAAACATGTATGTATAGTATATAGCGTATATTATATGATATATACATATATACTATGTTATATATGTATTTTTTTATTACAATAGGGAATTAATTTCTCTTTTTTTTACAATTACTGTAAACGAATGATTGCAGTACATAACAAAAATATATAAAAATATATAAAATACATATTTAAAATACATATTTAATATATTTTTTTATCAATTGGGCCGATTAAAAATATTTTTTAATATATTTTTTAAAATATAAATTTTTCCGCGGGAGATTCCTCTTGGGAAATTGATGAATTTTTCGAAATAAAATCAGTCAAATGGTTTCGTGAAGCTTCAGCACATACTGACTCACCCCTTGGCATATGCGATAGACTTGGCTAATCCATTTCCCGATCCACAAGGGATAACACCCAGTGGCACTTCCCTCAGCGCCTTATCCCAATCCGGTCTCTCCAGAATTCCATTAACAACTTCAAAGACAATTCCGTCACCACCGACTGATAATATACCACTCCACTGGTATATATCCCTCGTCCTGACAAATTCTCTGGCATAATTCGAGTGCTTTGTGATATGTACGTCATAAGTTTTCTCAGATTCCGATAAAATTGGATGAATTCGCCGTTGGAATAGCTCCTTCCCCCTGCCAGGACCGGATTTTGGGTTCAGGAGGACGAGAATTTTTTTGCGCTCACCTGCGCATGCTGAAATGAAGAAATGGAGTGGTTATAATTTTTGGTTCATTGGGGTTTCATCTGAGGATCATGAGGAAAATTATTAAATTGCATTTTTTTGTGTCACGCCTCACTTTATGAATCATTTATAAACGATCCATTTTTCGCCCTTAATTTTAGTGTTGGAAATCGTCCACTGATTGAACTAATTTATCTATGTTATGTCACGCCGTGCAATAAGTCGAGTTTATCAACGAATGTGAGTACAAACCTCGCCTTCGGCTCGGCTTGTAAACTTCACGTTCGTCGAAAACGAAATTAGAAATTAGAATTAGTGAATCATGAGAATCAACGTTCACCCGACGGAAAAATTCGATTTTGGCGAAAGTCGACTTTCCCTCCGAAAAAAGCCTAAACATGGCACTTTGGCTCCGGGTCGAAAAAAAAAATTTTTTATTTCTGCATTTTTGGGGCAAGTGAGGGGCGCAGTGGCATTAGGCGGGCCAGAAAATACAGAATCAGCGTTCACCCGGCGGAAAAATTCGATTTTGGCGAAAGTCGACTTTCCCTCCGAAAAAAGCCTAAACATGGCACTTTGGCTCCGGGTCGAAAAAAAAAATTTTTTATTTCTGCATTTTTGGGGCAAGTGAGGGGCGCAGTAGCATTAGGCGGGCCAGAAAAGACAGAAGCGGCGTTCACCCGGCGGAAAAATCCGATTTTGGCGAAAGTCGACTCTCCCCCCGAAAAAAGGCTAAATATGCCACTTTGGCTCTGGGTGGAAAAGAAAAAAAAATTTTATTTCTGCATTTCTCGGGCAAGAGAGGGGCGCAGTGGCATTAGGCGCGCCAGAAAATACAGAATCAGCGTTCACCCGGCGGAAAAATCCGATTTTGGCGAAAGTCGACTCTCCCCCCGAAAAAAGGCTAAATATGCCACTTTGGCTCTGGGTGGAAAAGAAAAAAAAATTTTATTTCTGCATTTCTCGGGCAAGAGAGGGGCGCAGTGGCATTAGGCGCGCCAGAAAATACAGAATCAGCGTTCACCCGGCGGAAAAATCCGATTTTGGCGAAAGTCGACTCTCCCCCCGAAAAAAGGCTAAATATGCCACTTTGGCTCTGGGTGGAAAAGAAAAAAAAATTTTATTTCTGCATTTCTCGGGCAAGAGAGGGGCGCAGTGGCATTAGGCGCGCCAGAAAATACAGAATCAGCGTTCACCCGGCGGAAAAATCCGATTTTGGCGAAAGTCGACTCTCCCCCCGAAAAAAGGCTAAATATGCCACTTTGGCTCTGGGTGGAAAAGAAAAAAAAATTTTATTTCTGCATTTCTCGGGCAAGAGAGGGGCGCAGTGGCATTAGGCGCGCCAGAAAATACAGAATCAGCGTTCACCCGGCGGAAAAATCCGATTTTGGCGAAAGTCGACTCTCCCCCCGAAAAAAGGCTAAATATGCCACTTTGGCTCTGGGTGGAAAAGAAAAAAAAATTTTATTTCTGCATTTCTCGGGCAAGAGAGGGGCGCAGTGGCATTAGGCGCGCCAGAAAATACAGAATCAGCGTTCACCCGGCGGAAAAATCCGATTTTGGCGAAAGTCGACTCTCCCCCCGAAAAAAGGCTAAATATGCCACTTTGGCTCTGGGTGGAAAAGAAAAAAAAATTTTATTTCTGCATTTCTCGGGCAAGAGAGGGGCGCAGTGGCATTAGGCGCGCCAGAAAATACAGAATCAGCGTTCACCCGGCGGAAAAATCCGATTTTGGCGAAAGTCGACTCTCCCCCCGAAAAAAGGCTAAATATGCCACTTTGGCTCTGGGTGGAAAAGAAAAAAAAATTTTATTTCTGCATTTCTCGGGCAAGAGAGGGGCGCAGTGGCATTAGGCGCGCCAGAAAATACAGAATCAGCGTTCACCCGGCGGAAAAATCCGATTTTGGCGAAAGTCGACTCTCCCCCCGAAAAAAGGCTAAATATGCCACTTTGGCTCTGGGTGGAAAAGAAAAAAAAATTTTATTTCTGCATTTCTCGGGCAAGAGAGGGGCGCAGTGGCATTAGGCGCGCCAGAAAATACAGAATCAGCGTTCACCCGGCGGAAAAATCCGATTTTGGCGAAAGTCGACTCTCCCCCCGAAAAAAGGCTAAATATGCCACTTTGGCTCTGGGTGGAAAAGAAAAAAAAATTTTATTTCTGCATTTCTCGGGCAAGAGAGGGGCGCAGTGGCATTAGGCGCGCCAGAAAATACAGAATCAGCGTTCACCCGGCGGAAAAATCCGATTTTGGCGAAAGTCGACTCTCCCCCCGAAAAAAGGCTAAATATGCCACTTTGGCTCTGGGTGGAAAAGAAAAAAAAATTTTATTTCTGCATTTCTCGGGCAAGAGAGGGGCGCAGTGGCATTAGGCGCGCCAGAAAATACAGAATCAGCGTTCACCCGGCGGAAAAATCCGATTTTGGCGAAAGTCGACTCTCCCCCCGAAAAAAGGCTAAATATGCCACTTTGGCTCTGGGTGGAAAAGAAAAAAAAATTTTATTTCTGCATTTCTCGGGCAAGAGAGGGGCGCAGTGGCATTAGGCGCGCCAGAAAATACAGAATCAGCGTTCACCCGGCGGAAAAATCCGATTTTGGCGAAAGTCGACTCTCCCCCCGAAAAAAGGCTAAATATGCCACTTTGGCTCTGGGTGGAAAAGAAAAAAAAATTTTATTTCTGCATTTCTCGGGCAAGAGAGGGGCGCAGTGGCATTAGGCGCGCCAGAAAATACAGAATCAGCGTTCACCCGGCGGAAAAATCCGATTTTGGCGAAAGTCGACTCTCCCCCCGAAAAAAGGCTAAATATGCCACTTTGGCTCTGGGTGGAAAAGAAAAAAAAATTTTATTTCTGCATTTCTCGGGCAAGAGAGGGGCGCAGTGGCATTAGGCGCGCCAGAAAATACAGAATCAGCGTTCACCCGGCGGAAAAATCCGATTTTGGCGAAAGTCGACTCTCCCCCCGAAAAAAGGCTAAATATGCCACTTTGGCTCTGGGTGGAAAAGAAAAAAAAATTTTATTTCTGCATTTCTCGGGCAAGAGAGGGGCGCAGTGGCATTAGGCGCGCCAGAAAATACAGAATCAGCGTTCACCCGGCGGAAAAATCCGATTTTGGCGAAAGTCGACTCTCCCCCCGAAAAAAGGCTAAATATGCCACTTTGGCTCTGGGTGGAAAAGAAAAAAAAATTTTATTTCTGCATTTCTCGGGCAAGAGAGGGGCGCAGTGGCATTAGGCGCGCCAGAAAATACAGAATCAGCGTTCACCCGGCGGAAAAATCCGATTTTGGCGAAAGTCGACTCTCCCCCCGAAAAAAGGCTAAATATGCCACTTTGGCTCTGGGTGGAAAAGAAAAAAAAATTTTATTTCTGCATTTCTCGGGCAAGAGAGGGGCGCAGTGGCATTAGGCGCGCCAGAAAATACAGAATCAGCGTTCACCCGGCGGAAAAATCCGATTTTGGCGAAAGTCGACTCTCCCCCCGAAAAAAGGCTAAATATGCCACTTTGGCTCTGGGTGGAAAAGAAAAAAAAATTTTATTTCTGCATTTCTCGGGCAAGAGAGGGGCGCAGTGGCATTAGGCGCGCCAGAAAATACAGAATCAGCGTTCACCCGGCGGAAAAATCCGATTTTGGCGAAAGTCGACTCTCCCCCCGAAAAAAGGCTAAATATGCCACTTTGGCTCTGGGTGGAAAAGAAAAAAAAATTTTATTTCTGCATTTCTCGGGCAAGAGAGGGGCGCAGTGGCATTAGGCGCGCCAGAAAATACAGAATCAGCGTTCACCCGGCGGAAAAATCCGATTTTGGCGAAAGTCGACTCTCCCCCCGAAAAAAGGCTAAATATGCCACTTTGGCTCTGGGTGGAAAAGAAAAAAAAATTTTATTTCTGCATTTCTCGGGCAAGAGAGGGGCGCAGTGGCATTAGGCGCGCCAGAAAATACAGAATCAGCGTTCACCCGGCGGAAAAATCCGATTTTGGCGAAAGTCGACTCTCCCCCCGAAAAAAGGCTAAATATGCCACTTTGGCTCTGGGTGGAAAAGAAAAAAAAATTTTATTTCTGCATTTCTCGGGCAAGAGAGGGGCGCAGTGGCATTAGGCGCGCCAGAAAATACAGAATCAGCGTTCACCCGGCGGAAAAATCCGATTTTGGCGAAAGTCGACTCTCCCCCCGAAAAAAGGCTAAATATGCCACTTTGGCTCTGGGTGGAAAAGAAAAAAAAATTTTATTTCTGCATTTCTCGGGCAAGAGAGGGGCGCAGTGGCATTAGGCGCGCCAGAAAATACAGAATCAGCGTTCACCCGGCGGAAAAATCCGATTTTGGCGAAAGTCGACTCTCCCCCCGAAAAAAGGCTAAATATGCCACTTTGGCTCTGGGTGGAAAAGAAAAAAAAATTTTATTTCTGCATTTCTCGGGCAAGAGAGGGGCGCAGTGGCATTAGGCGCGCCAGAAAATACAGAATCAGCGTTCACCCGGCGGAAAAATCCGATTTTGGCGAAAGTCGACTCTCCCCCCGAAAAAAGGCTAAATATGCCACTTTGGCTCTGGGTGGAAAAGAAAAAAAAATTTTATTTCTGCATTTCTCGGGCAAGAGAGGGGCGCAGTGGCATTAGGCGCGCCAGAAAATACAGAATCAGCGTTCACCCGGCGGAAAAATCCGATTTTGGCGAAAGTCGACTCTCCCCCCGAAAAAAGGCTAAATATGCCACTTTGGCTCTGGGTGGAAAAGAAAAAAAAATTTTATTTCTGCATTTCTCGGGCAAGAGAGGGGCGCAGTGGCATTAGGCGCGCCAGAAAATACAGAATCAGCGTTCACCCGGCGGAAAAATTCGATTTTGGCGAAAGTCGACTCTCCCCCCGAAAAAAGGCTAAATATGCCACTTTGGCTCTGGGTGGAAAAGAAAAAAAAATTTTATTTCTGCATTTCTCGGGCAAGTGAGGGGCGCAGTGGCATTAGGCGGGCCAGAAAATACAGAATCAGCGTTCACCCGGCGGAAAAATTCGATTTTGCGGAATTTC